CCATCTTGCACATATGCACCCACCCATCGAAGGAAGCACATACTAAACGAGTTGATGCCCCAGATGATGCCCTGTGTGCAGATCTTGGGCTCGTAGAGAACGATGAGCTAGCGTCGCGGGCCTGAGTAGCGGGAAGAAGATGCTGTTGCTCGGTCGGCTGCCCTCGACAACCTTACTCTTCATAAGCGCCTCGTTCGCTCCCGAGCCTACCTCCTAAGACAGTCAGTGTTCGTCAGCACCGCCGAAAAAACACATGCAAATCCTCAGAAAGTAGACAGAGGGCGAGGCGTACCCGGCAGACCTGCTCCTCGGTCTTGCCGAACACCAGCGCCTTGGACTGCACGAAGTAGTTACTGAGCAGGATGCGGCGGTGCAGGGAGCCACGGAGCGGATTGTGCGACATCCCAGGGGCTAGGAAGTCTGCCGGGACAATATTTGTACCCTGGTGCAGCAGCTGGTAGAATGAGTGCTGCCCATTCGTGCTGGCCACGCTCCAAATAACCAGCTGCAGCACACGTAGCACAATCAGTCTTGACAGGGGATAGTGTGTAAAGAGAACAGAGACGCACGATGGTCTGATAGTCAACACGCTTGCTGCCCTTGGTGATGACCTTACCGCTAGACTTCATGTCGCAAGAATGTAAGTAGTCTGCACATTTGTGCGTGTGCTGGTCGTACGGAGCCGCGCGTACGTCTGTGCGCCTGCAAGCACACACACGGTTCAACCACAAGAAAAGTAAGGGAATGCCGGAGCGCGCGCGCTGTAAAAGTACAAATTGTTGTACCAGAGCCCAATGACAGCGAGGAGCACGGGCAGGTTCTTCTCGAGTGGTGCGGTGAGGAAGTGAGCGTCTATGTCGTGCGCGCCGCAAAGGCGAGCCTCATAGTGTTCATACCCGATCACAAGCGTGATCGAGAGGCCGATCGCGCTCCAGAAGCTATAGCAGCCGCCAACCCAGTCCCAGAAGCCGAACATGTTCTCCTTTGCAATATCGAACACATTGACCACCTTCTCCTTCGTTCTGAGAGGGCAACAAAGTGCTTTGCGACGTGGGGGAGGCGCTAAGGCCATCGACAGCGTCTAGGAATTAGGCGCGTATGGTCTCCTGGGTGTCTTCGCTAGTGTTGAGGTGTTCACCGATGAACACCTTGCCGTGGACCTGCTCGACACTGGCTTTGCGAATGAGGTTGAAGAGAGTTACGAAAATAGGCTGGGTGATTCGGCTCTTGGAGTAATCGAGAAGGAAATTGTTGGTAGGGTCGGAGGCAGCGGTGTATTCCTTGGAGAAGCGGGAGAAGTGGGAGAGATCAGCTGCGAAGAGGTCGTTCAGGATGAGCTGATCCTTCTCTGTGTCATACAGCTGCTAGAGATTCTTCTCTTCCAGGCAGGGTAGTCCGAAGGTTATCAGTCAACACCGTGCGCGAGATCGGGGAGGATCGCACCAGACGTGAGCTTTGCAGACATGGTGGTAGGGTGAGGGGTGCAGATGGAGTGAACTGACGAGAATAGAATATAAAAAGTGGTGGCACAGGGTGACAGAGATGTGGGAAGTCGTCGTGTCCGTGTGGCGCATGCCATGTACATTGCGAGTGTTGCCCGCGTCGCCCAATAATACCCGCATGTTGTCTGCATCCTGCTCCGCTCGTGTGTGTCGCGTGAATTGATCGCGCGTCGCTCGCGTGTGGCTGATGGTCATCTATCGCCTGCTGTTGCGCAGGTCTATCGTCGAGTCGAGGTCGTCGGAGGCGGTGGCTGCGAACCTGGTGTCGTCGTCGGGAGTGGGGATAGAGACGGAAGCGTTGAGGCGGCGGCGTGGTCGGGACAGGGCCGCGTCGAGGCGGTAGGGTCGAGGCGGCGTCGTCGAGTCGGTGTCGTCGAGCTGGTGTCGTCGAGTCGGCGTCGCCGAGTCGATGTCGTCGAGTCGGTGTCGTCGAGTCGGTGTCGTCGAGTCGGTGTCGTCGAGTCGGTGTCGTCCGAGGCGGCAACTGCGAGCCTGATGTCGCCGTCAGCACCGGCCGGTGTGCGAGGATGCGGATGCGGATGCGGCAGCGGCTGCCTGGTCGAGGAGGGCGGCGCGGAGGAGGACGCTGCTCGTGGCGGATATGGGCTTGGACTGGTCCTGCACGGTGCAGTCTCGGCCGCCGGCGCTGGGCATGATGCGTCACAACTCAGGAGCGGCGTCAGCTGGAGGAAGCGGTGGTAGTGGTGGTGTGGGTGGTGGTGGCGGCGACAGCGGAGGAGGAGGCGGAGGTAGAGGTGTTGACGAAGGTGGAGGAGGCGGAAGACGTGCCGGGGTGGTGGACGGCGGTGGTGTCGAGCTGGAGCGAGCAGGCGAGCGCGGCGTTGAGCGGGAGATGCGGGTCAGTCGAGCGTGGGTCCGGGCAACCCATGCGATGCGCGAGACGATGTGGACGATGCGCGCGAGCCGGCCGGTGGGCCAGTGGGCATGAGATCGTGCGAGGAGAGCGGGGAGGGCGGTACAGCGAGCGATCGGGTCAAGAGGGCCGGGCGGGAGAGCGAGTTGGACGGGAGAGCAGGTCGGACGGGAGAGCGGGTCGGACGTGGGAGAGGTTGAGCGGACGAGAGGAGGGGGCGGGTAGAGTCGAAGGATAGGCCGTTGAGGGCAACATGGAGAGGACGTCGAGGGCGAGAGGTGTGCGTGTACGGGGGAGGAACTGGGGCGAGTGACGACGTACCTATGGTTATGTCCTCGTCGTCCGTTTCCTCCCTCTTCTGTGCTCCTTCTCGTCCTCCTCCTCGTTGTCGTGCTTTTCCGCCTCGTCAAGCAGCGTTGGTTTGTGGGTGTTGGTGGAATGGGACGCCGCTGCCGTGGAGACCGTGGATCGTGTCGAATGAGACAGCGGTGGGAGCGGGCAACTGGTCGAAGGGACGCGTGTGCAAGGGGCCGAGGGAACGAGCAGCTGAGGCAGATGAGCGGTCGTGGCATCGAACGAGCCAAGCGGGAGCGCACGAGGGAGCCGAGAGAGAGAGGGATATACTGGACGAGAGCGGGAGGGACGGATATGCAGGTCGACGCAAAGAAAGACGACGTACCCCATTTGTGCCCTCTCTGTTCCCCCTTGTCTTTCCGCCACCACCGCCGTTCCTCAGCGTTGTCGTCCTCAGCGTCGCTGTCGTCGTCATCGTCATCTTGGTCGCCTTCGTTGTCGTCGTCGTTGACGCTCGGACATTTGCGATGATTGGCGTGCCATCGGGTGGCGTGGGCGTAGGGGCGTTGGTGGAGCGGGACGCCATCGCCGTGGAAACCGTGCAGCATGCCAAACAAGACAGTGACGGGCGCAGGCGTGGGGTCAAAGGGATTCGTGTGCACGAGGCCGAGGGAACGAGTGAGGGGTTGAGGCGGACGAGCGGGAGCTGGAGAGTCACGAAGTTAATTAAGTGGTCGCGTGCGCGCGAGGCGAAGTTGAGTCCTTCGCACCCGTCTCTAACTCAAGTCTGTCCGCGCGCAAACCTCAACCTTCGTCCCCTCGCCCTCGCCTCGACACCATGCACACCCACCACCCACTTCCTTCGCCTTCGTCCTCCCATCCTCCCGGCCCGATGCACACGCGTCCACTCGGTCACAACAACTCCTTCGACTGCTCCCTCACGCGCCCCTGCCGCCGCCACACCCATGCTTTGCCCTTGCGCACAGCGTGTCGCAATCGTCACGCTACCCGTGCTTCAGCGCGTTGACGGCGAGGGTGAGGAGAGTTGTCAATGAGAAGAGAAGGTGCGAAGAGGAATGCCATGAAAAAGGTCCGTATCACTTACTTTCGCTAGCCCTCCCCCAGCCCTAGTCCTGCCCCTCCCTGCCCGGCCCTGCCTGTCCCGCGCACCTGCGCACACCCGGAAGCGGCTCCTCACGCCGCGTCTCTTCCCCTGCTCTCTCCTAGGAAGCGAGGGCACGACCACGCTCCCCGGTACCCCACCGCCCGACGCCCTCTTCTCCAAACACGCCCACCGCCGCGCATGCATCGCACGAGCGCACCCTGTCTTCCGCCTCCGGCTACGCGCACCACCATGTGGCCGGCACTGCCAAGAGCACCACCTCGCCCACGAAGCAGCGCTACGTCGCGGACGCGCACGGCCTCGAGATCGTCAAGAAGATCCAGCAGGACGAGGTCGAGCTGCGCGATCGCACCATCGTCCTGTGCGACATCAAAGCCAACGTCCGTCCAGCTCGCTTTGCGAAGCTGAGGGCCATCAAGGACGCGAAGAAGCTAGGCAAAGCCCCCACCGCGATCCCCGCTGTCTCAGGTTTAAAACGCCTCCGCGGCCGACATCGTGGCGGCGCAGGGGAAAGAGGCGGCGGTGAGCGGGGGCGTAGGCGTGGACGAGGACAGAGACGGGGTCGGGAAGGGAAAGGTTAGTCCCTCGAGGATCTGTAGATAGTAGAAGTAGAGGAAAAGAGAAGGAAATCAGTACATGCCCTCGGCGATGCAGAGGCCCATCGTCCGTTTGCAAAGCCGAGTGTGAGAAATAAAGGATACAATAAGATATAATAAGAACATACTCACAGTGCGGGCATCTGTAAGGTTAATGCTTATAGGTTGTCTCGTTCATGTAGAGTCGAGTTTGTGCAGGTTTTGTGCTTGTTGGCATAGCGGAATCCTGATACGCGGCTGACATGACGAGCCTATCTAGCCACAGACAGGCTCGTCATGTCAGCCGCGTATCGGGACTCATCCCTGTCAATACGCAGCTGACATGACGAGCCTCTCTAGCCGCAGCGAGGCTCGTCATGTCAGCCGCGTATCAAGACTCAGCCAAGCTGATACGCGCCTGACATGACGAGCCTCTCCAGCCGCAGAAAGGCTCGTCATGTCAGGCGCATATCGGGACTCAGCCCTGTCAATACGCGGCTGACATGACAAGCCTCTCCAGCCGCGGACAAGCTCGTCATGTCAGCCATGTATTAGCATGGATGCCTTCTTCACCTCTTAATGGCCTCTTTAGCCCTGCCATACCCCTGTCCTACCCTGAACCTTCTAGCTTTTCAGGTTAGAATACCACCATAATTCTCGCCATGCGACCCAACCTCCCTGAGGTAAACACATGCCCCTTGAGGGCCAATGCAGAGCATAGAGTTGGATCATGCTTACATACATTCACACTACCGCAGAGTACATACAGCTACACGTCTAGACATGCGGCGCGCCGCCACTAGACGTTAATACATGACTTCACACACACACACACACACTTGAAGGCAGGAACGAGTGAGGGAATGAGGCGAACGAACTGGCGAGCACTGGGATGGTGTCGCGGAGACGAGCATGGGCTCTGGATGCGCGGGCGCGGATTTATATCGCAGATGAGGGCGCGTACCCGGACCTAGAGGGACACAGACACGGCCATGGCAACAAGGGAACGCTCGTGCATGCACGACGCACCGGGTGGCTGCATGTGTAGCGTCGACAGTGTGAGTTGCAGGGGCCAAGCGTAGAGAAGGGTAGCGAGTAAGTGTAGCGTGGCGTCGAGGGAGGGAACGTCGATATCGAAGGGGTTGTGATCGGGTCCAGCAGGCGAGCAGGCGGGGAGCGGAAAAACGGGCAAGCAGGCATAACAGTGAGCGGGTGAGCAGGTGAGCGGACATTGGGGAGAGTGGGCAGAGCGGGCATAGTGGAGGGCAAGTCGAGCCTTTTCTACCCGGCCGACCCACACATACAGGCCATCGAAGTGTCACGCCTTGTTATTGATGATGTGCGACCACACGACCACACCTGGTACCGAACCGAGGCAGCAATGCCCTCTGCGAGCAATCTGAATGCTCTTCCGAGCCTGCGCGGACGATGTTGACTCAATCACAGCGAGGGACTTGAGCTACCACGACCCAAACCACCTGCCGTTCGCATAGTCAGGGCCTCGGCGGAGGCCCATCGTCCGCTCGCGACGGTGCCACCGCGTGAGAGGGCGAAACTCCCCTGACAGACGACACAGCCAGGAAGAGATTGAGCTGGAAACTACGACGTACCGGCTTGCTCAACAAGTTCGCATCCATTGTGCATGTCCTCGTTGTCCGTTTCAACCCTCTTCCCACCTCGTATCCTCCTTGCAGCCATTCCTTGTCCTCGACGAGGCGCCGGGTCCGATCTGCGGGCAGTCGACAGTTGGGGGTTCGAGAGACTGAACGTCGAGGCGTTTGAGAGGAAGAGTAGGCGGCTGTGAGTGGTGTCGAGGAGACGAGCGTGGGGGCGGATATCAGTCCCAGCCGAAAGCGCACGCGTGGACCTGAGGGGACAATCCCGGATCCCGGATCACCAGTTGACCGAGCCGAGCACACGAGTGCCCATGGCCTCGAGCAGGCAGTCCGGCCGTGTTGAGTGGCATCCGGGCAATGCAGACGATGTGCGGAGGGGACGTGGAGGACACGAGCAAGTGGGCATGGCGCCGAGTGGGTCGAGCACGAGAGCGAGCGAGCGGGTTGAGAGCGTCGGGCAAGCAGGTCGAGAGGGTCGAGCAGGAGTGAATGAGAGGAGGACCGGACGAGTGTACAGCGGGAGTAAGAGATGACGACGTACCTGCATCCCTCATGGATAGCCTCGTCATCCGTGCCCACTCCCTTCTCACCTCGTCTCTCCGCCGCACGACTTCCTCGTCCTCTGCCGCCAGCTGGGTCTCATCCTCCTCGTCGACACTCGAACGGCTGCCATCCTTTACGTGTCGTCACGCAGCGTGCGCTCCGGGGGTGCAGACGGCAGTGAACATGGGCGTAGGTGTGGATGAGGACAGAGATCGCGGTCAGCGGAGGGGCAGTGCGTGGCGGCGGTGCATGAAGTCGAAGGAGGGGACGTCGGCCTTGAGACAGTGAAGCGGCGCGGTCCAAGGTGCGTAGGGTTCAAGGCTGTTGAGAGGAGAGAGGACACATGTGCATGAGTTCGAGGGGATGCGTGCGTGCGGCGGAAATGTTAAGGGAGGGGCAAGAAGAAACACGAGAGGAGGGACATACCCTCGTAACAATCAGCCCTCCCTTTCCCGTCTTGTCTCTCCGCCGCCAGCTTGCCCTTGCCCTCCTTGTTGACACGTTCGAACGCATGTAGCGCGTCTGAGCAGAGCGCAGGGTGCATCTTTAGTCGTCGCGCTCGGGTTCACCTAGCGACGGTAGCGGCGAGTCGGTGGAGGAGGGGTCGTGCGAGGGTGAGAAGCCGCTCTCCTGCATGGACGCCGAGTCGGGGTGCAGGGGCAGGATGAACTTGCTGAGCGCGTGCGCAAAGGCAAGGCATGTCGCCGCTCAAGAACGCGCGCGCGGAAGGCCTCGGCGACGCGGGCAAGGAGTGCAGGGTAGACGATGGGGGCGCGTCAGCCGCCGCGTCTCCTCCTTGCCGTTCTTCTGCGTCGCGCGGAGTTTCTCCGTCCTGTACCGCTCATACAGCAGCCAAGGGTGAAGGGGGGCGTGACGCTGGGGGAAGGCAAGGCCGGCCGGTGCGCGAGGATGCGGATGCGGATGCGGCAGCGGAGGCCTGGTCGAGGAGGGCGCCGCGTATGTGAGCGGTGCTCGCCGCGGACATCGACTTGGAGCGGTCCTGCGAGGTGCGGTCGCGGTCGCGGCGGTTGGCGCTGGGCATGGTGCGCAAGGACTCGGAGGAGCGGCGTGAGGAGGTGGAGGAGGCGGAGGCGGCGGTGGTGGTGGTGGTGACGGTGGACGAGGCGTCGGAGGCAGAGGTGTTGACGAAGGTGGAGGAGGCGGAGGACGTGCCGGGATGGTGGGTGGTGTCGAGCTGTAGCGAGTAGGCGAGCGCGACGTCGAGTGGAAGATGCGGGTGAGACGAGCGGGGGTCCGGGCAACGCATGCGATGCGCGAGGCGATGTGGACGATGCGGGCGAGCCGGCCGGTGGGCCAGTGGGCATGAGATCATGCGAGGAGAGCGGGGAGGGCAGTACAGCGAGCGATGGGGTCGAGAGGGCCGGACGGGAGAGCGGGTCGGACGGGAGAGCGGGTCGGACGGGAGAGCGGGTCGGACGGGAGAGCGGGTCGGACGGGAGAGCGGGTCGGAGGTGGGTGAGGTTGAGCAGACGAGAGGAGGGGGCGGGTAGAGTCGAGGGATAGGCCGTTGAGGGCGACGTGGAGAGGAGGTCGAGGGCGAGAGGTGTGCGTGTACGGGGGAGGAACTGGGGCGAGTGACGGCGTACCTATTGTTACGTCCTCGTCGTCCGTTTCCTACCTCTTCTGTGCTCCTTCTCGTCCTCCTCCTCGTTGTCATGGGTTTCCGCGTCGTCGAGCAGCGTTGGTTCGTGGGTGTTGGTGGAGCGGGACGCCACCGCTGTGAAAACCGTGGAACGCACCGAACGAGACAGTGATTGGTGCAGGCGTGGGGTCGAAGGGATGCGTGTGCACGACGCCGAGGGAACAAGTGAGGGGTTGAGGCGGACGAGCGGGAGCTGGAGAGTCACGAGCGTAATTAAGTGGTCGCGTGCGCGCGACGCGAAGTTGAGTCCTTCGCACCCGTCTCCAACTCAACTCTGTCCGTGCGCAAACCTCAACCTTCGTCCCCTCGCCCTCGCCTCGACACCATGCACACCCACCACCCACTTCCTTCGCCTTCGTCCTCTCATCCTCTCGGCCCCATGCACACGCGTCCACTCGGCCACAACAACCCCTTCGACTGCTCCCTCACGCGCCCCTGCCGCCGCCGCACCCGTGCTTTGCCCTTGCGCACAGCGTGTCGCAATCGTCACGCTGCCCGTGCTTCAGCGCGTCGACGGCGAGGGTGAGGAGCGTTGTTAATGAGAAGAGGAGGTGCGAAGAGGAATGCCATTAAAAAGGTCCGTATCACTTACTTTCGCTCGCCCTCCCCCGGCCCTAGTCCTGCCCCTCCCTGCCCGGCCCTGCCTGTCCCGTGCACCTGCGCACACCCGGAAGCGGCTCCTCGCGCCGCGTCTCTTCCCCTGCTCTTTCCTAGGAGGCGAGGGAACGACCACGCTCCCCGGTACCCTACCGCCCGACGCCTTGTTCTCCAAATACGCTCACTCGATGCTGCGCACCGCCGCGCACGCATCGCACGAGCGCACCCTGTCCTCCGCCTCCGGCTACGCGCACCACCATATGGCCGGCGCTGCCAAGAGCACCACCTCGCCCACGAAGCAGCGCTACGTTGCGGACGCGCACGGCCTCGAGATCGTCAAGAAGATCCGGCAGGGCGAGGTCGAGCTGCGCGATCGCACCATCGTCCTGTGCGACATCAAAGCCAACATCCGTCCAGCTCGCTTTGCGAAGCTGAGGGCCATCAAGGACGCGAAGAAGCCAGGCAAAGCCCCCACCGCGATCCCCGCTGTCTCAGGTTTAAAACGCCTCCGCGGCCGACATCGTGGCGGCGCAGGGGAAAGAGGCGGCGGTGAGCGGGGGCGTAGGCGTGGACGAGGACAGAGACGGGGTCGGGAAGGGAAAGGTTAGTCCCTCGAGGATCTGTAGATAGTAGAAGTAGAGGAAAAGAGAAGGAAACATCATGTATCAATACATGCCCTCGGCGATGCAGAGGCCCATCGTCCGTTTGCAAAGCCGAGTGCGAGAAATAAAGGGTACAATAAGATATAATAAAAACATACTCACAGCGCGGGCATCTATAAGGTTACTGCTCGTAGGCTGTCTCATTCATGTAGAGTCGAGTTTGTGCAGGTTTTGTGCTTGTTGGCACAGCGGAATCCTGATACGCGCCTGACATGACGAGCCTCTCCAGCCGCAGTGAGGCTCGTCATGTCAGCCGCGTATCAAGACTCAGCCAAGCTGATACGCGCCTGACATGACGAGCCTCTCCAGCTGCAGCGAGGCTCGTCATGTCAGCCGCATATCGGGACTCATCCCTGTCAATACGCGGCTGACATGACGAGCCTCTCCAGCTGCGGACAGGCTCGTCATGTCAGCCATGTATTGGCATGGGTGGCTTCTTCACCTCTTAATGGCCTCTTTAGCCCTGCCATACCCCTGTCCTACCCTGAACCTTCTAGCTTTTCAGGTTAGAATTGGCATGGGTGGCTTCTTCACCTCTTAATGGCCTCTTCAGCCCTGCCATACCCCTGTCCTACCCTGAACCTTCTAGCTTTTTAGGTTAGAATTGAGGGGGCGCAGGTCGAAGGAGGGGCGGGCAGAAAGTTGAGACCGGGATACACGCGTGTGCGGAGAGGAACTGGCGTAAGGAGGGACGACGACGCACCTTCATGACGTCTGTCCTGCTCAGCAAAGGGGCATCCATCACGACATTCTCGCCGTCAATGATCATATGAGCTCCCGGTCCCCCTCCTCCTCCACCGCCGCCGCCCTTCCTCAACTTCCTCAGCCACGAGCGCGGGACGGCCGAGGAATGGGGGATCGGGCGTGCACGGGGTCGAACGGTCGCATCGTCCACAGGACGAGGTGAGGTGAGGGTGTGGGGATGCGGGGTCAGGTGCGCGTGCAGTGTCGGCGATGATACAGGATGAAGAGTGGATGGAGGGGTTGACGAGAAGTCGGACGTACGTGCGTGAGCTGGAGGAGTCGCGCGTAAGCGAATGTGGGTCACAGGCAAGGGCGAGTGCGTGAGCTCAAGGATTCCAGTGAGTCGAAGGCACTCGGCGGCGGGCAAGGGGCAGTAGGAAAAGATGAGCTCCGCGTCGCCGCCGTGAGGGCCGAGAGGCGTGAGGCAGCGGTCGAGGTCGAGGCTGAGGTCGAGCGCAAGCTTGCGCTCGTCGTCGTCGTCGTGGTAGTCGATGAGGTTGCCGATGAGCGGCATGCGTGGGAGGTGGATGCTTGGCATGCAGAGCGGGGAGGATCGGCACGCTGGGCACGCGCTGGCGCTTGCACTTCTGGTCTGCAAACTGGTGGCGCATGAGCAGCGGCGCGCTGGGGAGCGGCACCGAGCCCTCATCGTCGTCGGCATCCGTGTCGACGTATGACTTCTCCTCAGCCTCCTGGCGGCGGGGCTCGAACGGCTGGCTGAGGCTGCGCGCGCGTTTGTGCGTCTGTGTGAGTGTGAGCATGGACGGGAGAGCACGAGAAGAATTGCTGGGGTGCGGGTGGCTTTTCCTCTTTTTGGGGCTCGAGCGCGGTGTTCATCCCCCAGCGCAGGATGAAGTGCTCGAAGCACCTCTTCGCGAACCTGGGCTGGGCCACCTGCCGCACGAGCGCTTCCTGCGGGTCATGATGTCGTCGATCGCCTCCTTCGTGTTCTCCTGCGCGCCGTCCTGGCTCAGCGTTAGGAGTCATCATGTACAAACAAGCAGAAGGGCACCGACCTTGTGCATGTGGTCGAAGAACTCCTAACATGACGAGTTGATGGGCGTGTGCCAGTTCAATCCTTGCAGCGTGAGTTCGAGGATCGCCTTGACCACGTCCTGCTTAAGGAAGTGTACCAGGATGTTCTTGTTGTTCCAACGGAGGTGCAATTGGAAGTAGCGCAACGCAGCTACAGTAGGCGCCCGAACGTGAGTCAACATCAGTCGAAGGGGCTCAGGGAAGTGCAGACGCCCCGAGGCACAAATGCTTATCCCTGCTGCAGAGCAACCTGGCGACGTGCGTAGAGATGTTCAAGGTGAGCATGAAGAAGTGGCTTCGGAGCGTGTGCTGCAGCGCGAAGATGGAGGGCTGGTCACACAGGGACAGGAACAAGTTCGTCTTGTCCCGCGTCAGGCGCAGTGTCGACTCCGCGCACCAGCCGAGTAAGCGTCGCGTAGACATGGAAGGGAAGATTGGGGTTGGCAACGGCGACAGAGGGGCTCACCTGCGAACAGCTTGCGATCTGGGACGCCGAAGACGGGCTTGAGCAGCGAGTAACGCAGAGCTTGTAGAAACAATCGAGGAAGCATTGCGTCTTGGGGTCGTCCGCTAGGTGCAAGAACATGTGCATCAGAATCTGCTGCCCGTAGAAAAACAAACGTGATAACCAGCCCGGGCACTGCGCATATAGGCAGCCTTCGCCAAGTAGAGTGGGGAAAGGGAGCGACGCACCATGGGATTCGCGCCATCCGGCAGCGGCATCGCAGCGGCATCTCAAGCACCATCCACAGTGCGCCCCCGACGAGCGTCTGCACCGCCAACTCACGGCTGTTCATCAGCATCGAGCACAACAGTACCAGCAGAGTCTGCTCCCTCTCTTTTCTTCTCTCCGCCGCCCGCGCCCGCACGCACCCCATTGCTCGGGCCCGCACCCACGCCCTTGAGGCCCTCGAACTGCTACAGCACGCGCTCTCGCACGCTGTCCACATCGTGGTCCAGCAGCGTCGTGAGCACCTCCCCGCCAACCGTGATCATCCGCCGCCCGTCCGGCTCGCCCGTCGCGTGCACGACGCCGCAGTCGACGAGCAGCTTGAAGAGCGCCATGCGCTTCGGCAGGTGCATGTTCTTACCCATGCTAGCTGCTGCTGCTGTAGGGACACCGCGCGCCAGCGCTGCGCGGTAAGGCGGGATGCAGCCCGAGCGACGGCGTGCGCGCGTCGACGTTCATCGAGCCCTTCTCCTTGACGCCCGACAGAGTCCCCAGCCGGTCGTTGTGGTCCTCCGCGCGCATGCTCCCGTCCGCGTTGACAAAGAGGTCGACGATCTCGTTAAGGAAGCGCACGCTGCTCTGAAAGTGGTTGATGATGTCAATGTGGTTGAAAATGATGCACGTGTTGAGCATGTTGGACGTTGAGTTGTCGAGGATGCGCGCGAGGACGGACTCCTCGAGGAACTGTACCCGGTACGTGTGATGCACCTTCTGCACACTCGCGTTGTGCAGCGTGATTGGCTCGTGGGAGCTGGCAGACTTGCGAAGAAGTTGTGGTAGTTCACCTTGTGCGTCGGGAACTCGGAGTCATCTGTTGCGAGATGTCAGGAATCTCCGAGGATGATGTGATTGGATGGTGGGGACTCACACATTCGAGCATGCCTACAACACCAATAAAGTACTCGTTGTCTGGTATGTGACGGCGAGCGGGGTGAGCGGGTGAGCAGGGAGAGCGGGTGAGCAGGGAGAGCAGGCAAGCAGGGAGAGCGAGCAAGCCGGTTAAGCGGGTTGGGCAGGAGAACAGGCGAGCGGGTCGCGAGGGGCGCGCCGGCGGGCACGCTTGATGGTGGTGACGAACACGCGGGTGTTGATGGGGTGGACGGTGGCGTTGCACCACACGTAGAAGGCGAAGAGGATGTGTACCTAAGCGGACGGGAGGCCGTAGGCAGGGGCAGGCGAGGGAGGACGCGGCGTTGATCCTGGCTGAGGTTTAGGTGAGGTGGACAAGGGCACAACAATGCTTCTGGTGATAATGGATGGGGACGGTTGTCTGCACGCAATTGCATGCACCCATGCACCCAAAGATGCACGCACCGAACAAGTTGATGGCCAGGATGATACCCTGAGTGATGGTCTTGTGTACTGAAGCGCGATGGATGAGCCAAGCTTCGCGGGCGTCAGCAGCAGGGAGAAGAGGATGTTGCTCGACCAGTTGCGAACAAAAGCCTTGCTATTCACGAGCGCCTCGTTCGCGCCTAGTCCTACCTCCTACGACACTAACCGTGCGTCAGCGCCACCGAAACAACACACAAACACTATCCAAGAGGGGATGGAAGAGGGAACAGAGAGGGAGGCGCACCTGGCAGGCCTGCTCCTCAGTCTTGCCGAATACGAGCGCTTCAGGCGGCGCGAAGTAGTTACTGAACAAGATGCAGTAGTGAAGCGAGCCACGGAGCGTGTTGTGCGATGTTGCAAGAATGAGGAAGTCCGTCAGATTGAGCTTTGTACCCTGGTACAGCAGCGGGCAGAATGAGCGCTGCCCGTTCGTGCCCTCCGCACCCCAGACAATCGGCTGCGGCATGCACAGCGCATTCGCGTATGAGATTAGCACGTGCATCTGGGCACCTGCAGGCACAGAGAGCCGGAGGGGACTAGTGATAGAAGACAGAGTAATCAGGAGTCAGTGGAATTGGAGGAAAGAAGAAGGGAGGCTGAGTGTCTGGGGAAGGGACGTGCATGCGTAGAGTGGAGGGCAGAGATGTCGAGAGAGGGGCAGCAAGGAGGAGAACAAGAGGTACGCACCTTTGTACTATTCTGCGTGCTCATCGAGTGCACGTTTGTCGTGGACGTCCCCATCGTCTATGCTCGTCTCCTTTCCTAACCTGTCTCTCCGCTGCGGCTGCTGCCATTCCTCTTCCTCCATTATCAGCCAGTTATATAAAGTCCAGGGTGGGACGGTCGATGAATGAGTGGTCGAAGGAGTGAAGAGCGAGGGTCCAGGAGGTCGGGAGGTCGAAGGGAAGAGGGATCGAACATGTTCGAGGTCGAGCGGGTGCGATGTATAGCGTGTGCGGTTCGATGAGCCGAGAAGGGGAGGGGTTATGCGAATGTGAGGACGAGGGGTCCAGCATGCAAGCTAATTCAGAAAAATACAGTAGACAGAACGTTAAGGCAGTGGATAACAGGGCAAGCATGCAATCTTTCTCAGGGCCTCAGCGGAGGCCCACTGTCTGCTCGCAAAGTCGAGTGCGTGTAAGAAGGGGTATTTTATAAGTAATACAAAGACATACTCACTTGAAGAGTAGGTGTCCTCTCAAATTGGTAGTTATAGGTTATCTTGCTCGCGCGGAGGGGCGTTTGGACACAGTGCTAGGTCGTGGTTGGATGGAGAGCAGGCTGACCACGATCGGATCGACGCAGATCGACGCGCTTGTCAAGAATTTCGCCCACACAACGTGTAGGTGAACGGTGCCATGGTGTAAATACTTGATCTCATTGACAGAAAATGACGATTTGGGGGACTGGTGTCTGTATACAGGAAGAGAAGAAGACAAAGAAGACATGATTTATTTACATAGGCAGGGTGTACCGAAAAGCAAAGAAGCCACGAGTGCGTGAATAAGTGTACAAAGAATAAAGAAATCGAGTGGCAGATAGTACAGGGGAGAAAGGTGGGTGTCGCCGGCGAAGGCGGCGGCCGCGTGCTGTCTGCGGCAGCCAGGCTCCCCACAAAGCTCAAATTAACCTTCGGCGAATTTGGGCTGTGGGGAGCCTGGCTGCCACAGACAGCACGCGGCCGTTTCTGTACCATGCACGACTCGCCCACTACGGAGCCCTAGATGTCCGGGGTCTTGGTATCGAAGGTCGAGGGTGAGCGGGAAGAGCAGGTAAGCGGGTGAGAGGGGATGGAAATGAGCAGATTTATTGTCAAGGGTTGGGATGTGGAATGGAGACTGAAAGGCAGAATGAGGGCGGGAGTTGCTTGTGCGAGGGGGAAAGACTGGCGTGAGAGGGGGAGGGATAGCGCGAGGGACGACGTACCTAAGTCATCGTCGTCCATACCCACCCACGTCTGTCCGCCGCCTCCATCCATCGTCCTTATCCAGCCTTTTTCTCTGCCACCTGGCGAATCTCGTCCTCTTTGTTCATGTTCGAACGGCCGCAATGATGGCGCGTCCTGCGCTAGCGCGCGCGCGAAGGCGTCGATGTAGCGGCCTTGCCGTTCAGCCCTCAACAATGGACACATTGAGGGCGCTGTATTGCGGGGATGTCGAGGCCTAGGGATGAACATGCGCGGGATCACAGATACCGGAGTTCAAGGGCTCGAGGTAACAAGCTTGCAAGGTGCCGAGCGTGCGTACGCTAATGGTTGAGGCGACGAGCACCAGTGGGTTGGTGAGATGAGGAGGAGGGCACCGGGTAGAAGCTGTGTGCGCATCCGAGGGAACGAGTGTGCGAGGCTGTAGGTGGCAGGATGCAGGCGAGAGTGAACACGAACGGATGGAATCGAGGGGGCGGTTGACATTTGATAAGAACGAGGGCACCGGGGGTGCTAGGCGGCGAGGGTGTGCAACGTCGAGAGTGGGAATGTTAACAGCAGAGGGGATGCACACAAAAGTGCTGGGCGTGAGCATGCATAGGGCTGAGTGTGCGCGGAGTCTTGGCAGCGACGCAGCGCAAGCAAAGTGCGAAATCGTGAATTGTGAAGGGGATGAGCGTGAGGTTTGCGCGGTCTGAGCGTACGACTGGGTACGGCATCAAGAGTGGGAATATCACCGTGGAGGGGGTCGAGGGGACGCATGTCGAAGGAGGGGCTCCAGGCCGTAATAGGAGAGCGGCGTGAGCGACTGGCTGTGGCGTCGAGTAGGGGATGCGGGCGTGTCAAGCGAGGATCCGGGAAACGCAGACAATGCGCGAGGGGGAGCGGACGATGCAAGAGAGCGGGCGAGCGGGCCAGTGGGTATGACATCGAGCAGGGAGAGCAAGGAGAGCGGGGAGAGCAGAAGGGCAGGGAATCGGTTTGAGAGGGTAGGACGGGAGAGAGGAGAAACTAGGGCGAGTGACGTACCTCTCGTAGATGTCCTCGTCACCTGTACCTTCCCTCTTCTGTGATCATCTCCACCAGTGCCAAACCTCATCCTCATCCTCATTGTCATAGATGCCTGTGTCATTGAGCAGTGCAGGTGTAGGCGTGTGGGCGTTGGTGGAGCAGGACCCCTCTGCGGTGGAGATGGTGGATAGCCCATGGGGAGAGAGACAATAGGAGTGTGAGCGTGGGCATGGACAGTGAGAGAGGACAGGATCAGGAAGGGAAAAGTCAATCCCTCGAGGATCTGTAGATAGTGACAATGCGCTGTTAGCAATGTGTGGACGCGACGCGACATTGCAGCGTGCTTGATCACGAGACGTTGAAGGAGCACTGTGTGCCGACACAGTCGGACTGTGTTCCGACACAGTCGGACTGTGTGCCGACACAGTCGGACTGTGTGGCGCGACAATCAACGGACTGTGTGCGGCACGGCCGGACTGTGTGGCGCAGATTCACCGCCAAATCTCGGACTGTCACCGAGAATCCGGACTGTGTGGCGCTGAACTAGCGCCAAAATCCGGACTGTGTGCGGTCTCGGCCGGACTGTGTGGCGCAGCAGAGAGACTGTGCGTGGAGTGACAACAGTGTGACAACTGTGCGCCCGCAATCTCCCGACTGTGTGCCGCCCTTTCCCGATGCTGACTAAACTGTGTCTCCGGGTTGCAAAATACCCTCAACATCACAAACAATTACATATCTCTGGATCCCCTCATCCAAATAATAAAATTAGGGTATAATCTGAAAGATAGTGTATGTAGGAGCATTTTATTAGTTTGGCAATGGAAATCAAAGGACAATTGTGGACTAGAGACTCGGTGTTTTGAGCTTTTCTTTCAATTCTGTATTTTGCCTGTAACATCTTTAGTACTCCATGTCTACTAATGAAAATATTAAGGTACCATGAAAACTACATTTTAAGCCTATTGAATCAGACAGAATTGCGTGCAACTTCGGATTTGGTTCCCAAAACCCAGACTGTGCTTCACACAATCTGATTTTAGGGGGTAGACTGTTTAAATCCATATCTATTGAACCCCTGATTCAATCTCGCTGCTTCTGGGCCTCAAAGCTGAAGCAGGATATGAAGATTACAGAAAGAATTTTTTTATATTTATATTTACATTTAATTGGCAACACAGTAGTTTCGGATATCGGTGGACTCAAAAGTGTCGGTAATACTACTAGGAGGCGAGGGCACGACCACGCTCCCCGGTACCCTACCGCCCGACGCCTTCTTCTCCAAACACGCCCACTCGACGCTGCGCACCGCCGCGCACGCATCGCACGAGCGCACCCTGTCCTCCGCCTCCGGCTACGTGCACCACCATGTGGCCGGCGCTGCCAAGAGCACCACCTCGCCCGCGAAGCGGCGCTACGTCGCGGACGCGCACGGCCTCGAGATCGTCAAGAAGATCCGGCAGGGCGAGGTCGAGCTGCGCGATCGCACCATCGTCCTGTGCGACATCAAAGCCAACGTCCGTCCAGCTCGCCTTCTAGCTTTTCAGATTAGAATGACGAGCCTCGCTGCGACTGGAGAGGCTCGTCATGTCAGCCGCGTATCAGGACTCAGGCCCCCCAATACGCGGCTGACATGACGAGCCTCTCCAGCTGCAGACAGGCTCGTCATGTCAGCCGTGTATTGGCATGGGTGGCTTCTTCACCTCTTAATGGCCTCTTTAGCCCTGCCATACCCCTGTCCTACCCTGAACCTTTTAGCTTTTCAGGTTAGAATGGAAATCCAAGGACAATTGTGGACTGGAGACTCGGTTTCTTGAGGTTTTCCCTCAATTCTGTATTTTGCCTGTAACATCTTCAGTGCTCCATGTCTACTAATGAAAATATTAGGGTACCATGACAAATACATTTTAAGCCTATTGAATCAGACAGAATTGTGTGCAACCTCGGATTTGGCTCCCAAAACCCAGACTGTGCTTCACACAGTCTGGTTTTAGGGGGTAGACTGTTTAAATCCATATCTATTGAACCCCTGATTCAATCTCGCTGCTTCTGGGCCTCAAAGTTGAAGCAGAGTATGAAGATTACAGAAGGGATTTTTTCATATTTATATTTGCATTTAATTGGCAACACAGTAGTTTCGGATATCGGTGGACTCAAAAGTGTCGGTAATACTACTAGGCATCTGTAAGGTCAATGCTCGTAGGCTGTCTCATTCATGTAGAGTTGAGTTTAGGCAGGTTTTGTGCTTGTTGGCACAGCGGAATCCTGATACGCGGCTGACATGACGAGCCTCGCTGCCGCTGGAGAGGCTCGTCATGTCAGCCGCGTATTGACAGGGTTGAGTCCCGATACGCGCCTGACATGACGAGCCTGTGCAGCAGCAGACAGGTTTGTCATGTCAGCCGTGTATTAGCAGGGCTGAGTCCTGATACGCGCCTGACATGACGAGCCTCTCTAGCCGCAGTGAGGCTCGTCATGTCAGCCGCGTATCAAGACTCAGCCAAGCTGCTACACGGCTGACATGACGAGCCTCTCCAGCCACAGCGAGGCTCATCATGTCAGCCACGTATTAGGACTCAGCCCTGCCAATACGCGCCTGACATGACGAGCCTGTGCAGCTGCAGCGAGGCTCGTCATGTCAGCCGTGTATCAAGACTCAGCCAAGCTGATATGCACCTGACATGAGCCACAGCGAGGCTCGTCATGTCAGCCGCGTATCAGGACTCAGTCAAGCTGATACACGCCTGACATGACGAGCCTCTCCAGCCACAGTGAGGCTCGTCATGTCAGCCGCGTATCAAGACTCAGCCAAGCTGATACGCGCCTGACATGACGAGCCTCTCCAACCGCAGCGAGGCTTGTCATGTCAGGCGCTTATCGGGACTCAGCCCTGTCAATACGCAGCTGACATGACGAGGCTCTCCAGCCGCGGACAGGCTCGTCATGTCAGCCGTGTATTGGCATGGGTGGCTTCTTCACCTCTTAATGGCCTCTATAGCCCTGCCATACCCCTGTCCTACCCTGAACCTTTTAGCTTTTCAGGTTAGAATTCCCACCACCGTCTGGCCAAAGCTGAGCTCGTGGTTTGTAAAGTTTGTTAGAAGAGAATATGACCGAGGCATGAAGTTGTTGTCCTATATCAATCCGTCGGCCTTTTCCAAGATGAGGCCTTGGGGATCAAGTCTTAAATTCAACATCACATGCTATCGTCAGAGAACATACCGAAACGTTGTGATATTCTTGCCCTTATACGACAGCCGTCTGATAGGGAGAAGCTCAATAAACTTCCAGGCCAAGGTCAAGGATTCGTTCACTGCCCCTAGTTTCTCCCATTCCCACCTCGTAAGCCTGGGCGCGAAATGGATCCCGACAGATTCCGCTTCTCGGGACATCCATCGCAATGCCGGCTTTCCCCGATCCAAGTTCGAGTTCTTAGAGTTTCCACCCCCTCTACGTACACCGCAACGTCAGCAGATGAGTAACAGAGGTGTATTCCACTCACATATCAGAATGTGTGCCAGCAAACCAAACTTCCTTGGTGTGGGGTATGGAATCTTCCGCGTGTTGGACTGAAGACGTGAAACGCTCAGAATAGCTTTCCTCTTTGCTCGCTCTGCCGCCATATGTGTATTCGGGCAGAAATTTCACCCGACGCTCGTCGAGTGCAAGAGCATGGCGAAAAAAGCAGACGTGATGCATGCCCTCAGCCGTGTTGGGAAGCGTCTTATCTCGCAGAATCCCCACAGATGACACAGTGTCCCTTTAAAATCAGTATTCATACGAGAAAGATGGGGAGAAGGAGATATAATCGCACCAGGCTCCCACGAAATGCACTCGCACATTGTGTGAAAACGTCTCCTTGAACATCTCTGCCGTAGGCCCTTCCTTCTCCTGACTTTTGCTTGGTCTCGGCTTGGCATAAAGTTCGTACGCACTGTTCATTTTGGCGTCAATATCTGCGGGTGACAGATATCAAGCAATGCTTACAATGGAATCTGATCCTCGTTGCCTCTGTGGATGAGTCCAACCTGAACGCCGACCGCTGTCAGATAGTGCCAACAGAACAAAGACGGGTCACTACCTTTGCAATCATAGCAGACAGAGCGCGAACTTGGTATGCTCCTCGGGAGAAGCCTGTAGCATATGTCAATGCAAAGACACTACATGACAAGGACCAGGTGATTACCAAAGAGGAATATACGATCCCCGCTACGATAATTTTCTGACAGCCAATGATATGCGCTTATAATGATCTTTTCAAAGTTCCTGAAAGTATTATACTGCGTTAGCTTGTCTGACACAACACAATCGTGGGTACGCGTTCACCAAGCAATGGCAAGATCAATTGTGTTGTCTACGACTTGCTTTAGATAGCTCCATGATTTCCACGACGGCCTAGCATATGTCCCGATACCACTATTGTAGAACGTTACCTGCATATCATCCTTTACAAGGTCCCTATACATCTCGATCACATTAGTGTTCTACAGTAGCACGCCTCAGAAAATTTCGAATCAGATATACTCGAGAGATAGGTACCTTCTGACCAAACTGATTCGAGGTACCGTCAATGCAGACGACGAGGTTTCTGCCCGAATCCTTGCATTCGCAGGTAGTCAACTTTGTCTCGTCGGGGATTTGTTCCGATTGCGAATATTTTCCCGTGCGAGGATGTTCGCGCTCGTGTGAGATGTCCCTTGATATAATATTCGTCGATATCAAACAATAGCAGGCGAACCAACGAGAGAAAACTCACGGATGGGACACGTAAGCAGTCGGGTCTTCCATGAGGTCTTTACACTGGAGCGTGGAGTGTAGGGAGTGCACAGTGGGCAAGCCGTTCGCAGGGGGGTTGAAAAGGGAAAATGAGAAGGGGCCTCATCATTTCAGCCTGACAGCCCAAGATCCAAAAAAGGTAACTTTGGTTCGGGAATAGGAGTACCGACCAGGATTTCGACAGCATCTAGCTTCACTTCACTTCTGTCATCTCATTTAGTAACCCGTCGACGTGCTTACCATCCGATATTTGGCGCGCAATCGTCCCCCGAACGAGTTTCAGATAAACATGGTAAGCCTCCGCGGCACGCTCTTGTGCATGTGACGAAAGTACACCGATCCTCGACGAGTAGCTCGGCCCCTATAGTACCCACACGTAGCCTGTGCGCACAATGCGTCTGTAAATCTGGTCAGTGGGCATGTATTCTCACTGTGCAATCCTGGCGTCACGTTGCGAGACACGCCGGGACGCGCAAACGCCTGTTCGCAGTGAGATGCACGGCGGCTCAGCGAGATGTCGATGACACCTGCCGTGTGTGAGCCTCAGGTCGAGATATGTCAGCTACCTAGGAAGGGGGACGAAAATATGAGCCAGCGAGCTACCCCAGATAGGATAATCCCAGATCACAATTAGCCACTGGGCCACTGCCACCGGCACCGGCACCGTCCATGGGCATTGCGAGCGCAGCAAGGTACCAAGAGGGTTTCATCCATGTCATTGTATGATGCATCTGCCTCAAAATTGATGGCAGCCATCTCAGGCTCGTCCCCATATGGAATGCTGCTGCCTATCCTTTTGTAGAGCTGCCGCACACGCGAGATTATGCGATAGCCCCTTGGTAGCGTACAAACAAAGTTTGCTCGTCCGACATGACGCCCGCAGCTCTGTCCACAACTTCAGAAGCTGGATAGAGGTAAAGTCAGAAGAGTGTGATGGATGCCTGCTCGAGATCGCCGAAGATTGCAGGCTTTTACGCACGCATCGCAAGGAAGGTGTCAGGCGAGGACCGTTCGTGAATATGGAGAAGGGAGTGAAGGGTACGATCCATATTTGTGTCTATACACACAGAGAGGTGCATAGTCTGCCTGGCAGGAAGAGAAAACCCCGCCCTAGCGAATCATGGAACTGCCGCACCGTTGCGTCGAGCGTCGAGAGTTGAATTTCGCGGCGCAGCGCTGACAAGCGGGGTCTGATTCTGGGCGCCAAATAGCTGGCGCCTGCACCCGCAACCCGTCTGATCATCGGCGTGCGCTCAGCTACCACGCCAGAAAAAGCCTCGCAGCCTCAGTCCGTACAGGATCGTAAAGAGAGGAATTAATTAGAAGATAGAAGAGAAGGCAGATGAACGAAGTAAGAAAAGAGGCCAGTTCAACAGCGGAAGTGAACCATGCAAGGACATAGAAAGAAAGGGGGGGGGGGGGGGAGAAGACAGACAGAAAATAAGAATGCTCGAAAGGATAAGAAACAAAAGTCAATAGACAGACATGAATGTTGAATCAGGTGTCCAACTGCAGAAAAAGAGCAGAACAACACGACAACCGAGAACACCTACTCGCTGACGATGTTCGCAAGATGATCCAAATCTCTAGAAGGTGGATGATATTTAATTTTGCAAGGAAGGATAAACGAGGAAAATGATGAGGAGAGGAGAGGCAGAATACCCAATTTCTCTTAAAGCCGCCTTACAATGCTCTGCACGAGCGCACATAACGAGCCGATGGCATACGTCTCCACGAAGATGTCACGCGCGTGCGGCGCTGCCTGAACTGCAAGAGTATTTATCTCTGCTTCCTTATAGTGGGCTGTCGCGTGAATATCCAGAAATAAAAGAATCAGTATGCATGTATGCGGATTGTGGGTTGTAATCGTGAGGGTAACGGTATACAAATTGTAGGTAACGCGTAAGGTGGAGCAAAAAAGAGGGAAGGTGGACGTACATAGGCCTTGATAGAATGGACCCGTAAATTGACGTGCTCAACCACGTACAGGTGAGGGCTTCGACGGGGTCGAGGTAGGGGCGTCATGCAGCTCGTAGAGGACATACTGAGTATATCAGATACCCGTCAGTTTGCGACAAACGCGCCAAGGACAGTATAAAATGACAATAGGGAGAAAGTAGGAAAGCAAAGGGAGGAAACGCGAGCGGAGAGAGAATGACGCACCCGTTTATCCAACAGCATCTCGTATGCCTTCTTACCCGCTCTCCTCCATGCCCCTCTGTCTCCAGCCTACCTACATCCCCCTCTCTTATATCCGAGCACATATGTCAAAATTTGGGTGGAAATAGGCCCTCTAGCCCTAGACGACGGCGCGGTCGACGGTCATACGGCATTTATAGATTCGCTCGAGCATGTCAAAGGGGCGTGTTGGATGAAGGAGGGGAGCTAAGGCTAACTTTATTCGAACGGAATTTCCAAATAATAAACGAGTGAGCGGATTGAAAATCGGAAGGAGATGCAAGTGCGCAGCATACATTGAACGCGATCGAGGGTTCTTAGCGGCACTCGGCTGAACTTTTCCCAGGCACCTCAGCGCTCTCTCTGCTTGACGATGATCTTTGCGTGGTCGCGGAGGGTCGCGGCCATCGTCTTGCACGTCGAAGTCGGAGCGTGGGGGAGTGTGACGTGACGTCACCTCCAAGACGCTCAACGCAGCCGGCCCGACGCCCATCGCCGGACCAGCTTCCTTTGACTTTTTGCTCCTCTGCGCACATCAAGGCCTGCGCTCATGGACATTCTGGCGCAGGGCCGGAAACGAGAGTTGTTTCGGTGCAGGAGGGAAACCTATAGAATCGCGGAGCGTAAGGTGGTGGTCGCGGCGTGTTCAGTGTGTGTGCATCTTCTCTCGAGTTGGCTCGATTCGATCGTGAACGCGGTGGAGGAGATCAAGGACCAGTCTCTCGCCTTGCGCGATGCTCCCCGGGCAGTGCAACTGCAGTGCATCAACTCTCTGCAGCCCTCCGTCCGTTACTCGATCTCGTCCGGTTTACCACGCGTTCCCCAAACGCGACTGCCGCTGATGAGACAGGCTGACGCCTCACCCGTGCCCGCGCCGATGCAGACCATCGCTGACGGTCTCCTACACTCTTGTTTATCGACCGTTCTTCATTGGACATCGCGCGGCTCCTCTGCGCTTGCGGCCCCCTGCTCCCAGGTCGATCCCTGAACCCTCGTTGGCACTCCGCTTCCAGGAGCACATCACATCCGTCACCCACTACTACACCATAATCCCTTCAAAATGAGGCCAGAGGCTTTCTCCGCCTCTCCCTACAACTCTTGGGTTCAATGTCCTCCCGCCCGCCCGCGCCAAGAGCAGCCCCGTCAGCAGGCGAGCGTGTCTTTTCCCCTTTTTCTTTCTGGCCCTGTACTACGCTCAAGCGCTCAGTCCTGCGGCCCTTTTTCGCTATCTCGAATGCATATACATGCAGTGCTCCTTTCCGACAGGCCCCGTTAGGCTCCATTCCTCACTACAAAGAATGAAGGCGACATCTGTCGATTGAATGTCACAGATATAAGCATGCCAGGGCCAAAGTTAGGTTTGAGGACTCGGAAAGCATTTCAATCAGGGAGATTGAGGCACAGCGATGAAAATGCGAAAAGAGTACGCGATCGAAGCATGTATAACGCTCAAGTGCTGAATGTTTTATAGCCCTGCGCGTCCAATCGGTCCGACCTCATCCGATGCAATTTACTTCCTTCTGTATGCCGTGAATTATCGCGGGAAATTTTTCGCGCGCCTTTCTTGGCTTCGTCAACACTACAGCCCGCCTCTAAGGTTTGACATTGAGCGTCGATATAACCTGTTTGTCGCATCACCTCGCGTACACTCATCCTGAGGTCGTCCTGTGCTCAAACACGAGACAGTACAGCATCTACGTTGGCCGTTGTCCTATTGCTGTCGAGTTCAAGAAAGTGTGATGCGTCTGAGCGGTGCTGTTTTCTTCGACAACCATCTCCTCGTGCATCTGCTTGATCCCGTCTTACTACATTTACCATCCGACCTCTTTTCGCTTTTCCCTCACAGGTGAAGAGCTCCATCCCTTCCCCGCCCTGCTTCTCTTTGCATTGTCTTTTCTGGGGCCTCTAAGTATCCGCTTACTCACGTTCGTGATGGAATCCCCTCCCGTGTACCATTGGCCTACTTGATCATCACGCATGCGTCTCTAAACAGATGATCACACATTCCGGCCATCCCTTCCGACGCGCTCCCGTCAATTCATGTTGTCTGACCATGAACGTGGCTCATATCTCATTGATTCACAATCAAGAGATGGTGCCCTATCGCCGGCGCGCTAGCCATTCAGTAGTGAAGATACACCCTCGGGAACGAGATGTCGGTGAGCTCTCAGGAGATTTATACGCTTCGTACGTTTATGTACCAATATCGTCTACACACAATCTCAGATGCTTGTCTCCTTCCGATCGTAACCTCCTTACTGGTCCCTGAGAATAGCCTTCCCTCAATCGTCTTCTTGCCTCTCAATTCTGTGCAGTCTGGCACCCCCGTCCATGCGTAGGTGCGTGCACCTGCCTCCGAACTCGAGAATACGCCCGCACCGCTCTGTTCTTGACACTTTGTATGGTGACCTGCGAATGCTGCCAAGTTATTTGTCGCAATCCAAGATTGAAATCAAGCTCTCTCAGATTTGTTGCGAGCGGAGTGTCCCAGACGATATCCTATAGCGTGAGCGTTCGTGCTGCCATAAAGTAGAAATATAACTTTTTTACCCGTGTCTGCAACCGAAATCAGGTTGCTCACTTACTCCGGTAGCACAATCGGATGATGTGCGTTCCCCACAAACATCTTCACCGATTGTCTACTGGACCTGTGTGATCAAGCAAAGAAAGTTCGCTTGAGCTCGGTCCTTGCAAGGGTGCAACGCATCATTATTAGCCTTGCCAGTTCATATCAAGAACAGTTTCGTTCAAAGCACAAAACCGTCACAAGACCGTAGGTCCTGCCCTCCATCCTATGTTTATACTACAAGTCTAGAATAGACCGTATCCGAAGTGCACTTTTCTCTACACTTAAATCTTCAGTAAATTTCTCTTGCCCAGGAACACTGCGGAAGCACTGCGGAAGCACTGCGGAAGCACTGCGGAAGCACTGCGGAAGCACTGCGGAAGCACTGCGGAAGCACTGCGGAAGCACTGCGGAAGCACTGCGGAAGCACTGCGGAAGCACTGCGGAAGCACTGCGGAAGCACTGCGGAAGCACTGCGGAAGCACTGCGGAAGCACTGCGGAAGCACTGCGGAAGCACTGCGGAAGCACTGCGGAAGCACTGCGGAAGCACTGCGGAAGCTATGCCATGACTAAGCTCCTCCGTAACCAACCTCACTTAAACTCGGGTGCCATCCTGCATCATCCTCTCCAGATGTATAGCTTGAGCATTCTACTGTCAACTGCCTGCTCTCGTTGACTGCAACATGACCTTATCAAAGGCATGTCTGTTGATCAGACTACTTGGTTGATTGGTGCATAACCTAAACTTGCAATGAGGCTTTCTGTAGCGTTTTCGCCTATCGAGTTAGGTAGGAAGCCTTGGAGTAACAGAGTTTCGGATTGTGAAGATGAATTGGGGCGGGAACTCATGGGAAGGGCAAGAAAAGGAAGTTCCTTGTTTATGAGTCTGCCTCAAGCCACTGCTGAAGCTCAGGGTTGTTGTTCATGTCATTCATGATGCAGACAAAGTTTGGGCTGGGTCAGTCAGTGTTTTATAGAGCACATCAAATACTGCAGTGCGCAAGCAACCACATATGGGTCTTAGAGCCTGCATCGTAGCGCTCGAGATTTTTACGTATTCAGGGGTACAATTTCATAACTAAGGGCGAAAAAACCCGTTTCGGATACGGTCTAATTGGATGCATTTCCACAGGTTTTGGAGCAGTTCTAGATTAATAAATCGGAGTCGAACCTTGTTTTAGATTTGAAACTAGAAATCTTACAGAACCATAAGACCATCTATGACTTGGTGAACCCACGCACTTGATATAAGCGGAGCTTCAATCACGATCTGCCTCCGTGCAGCCAGCACGGATAAGTCCACCGCAGATACACCACAAGCCCACCATCTACTGTTCAGCTTCGATAACATTGGATAATGGCATATGCAGTGGATCTTGATGACTTGGTTTTGCTAGACTCTGGTATCACAATGATGATTAGGTATTATGGAGCGAAGCTCTTGTCTGTGTCAGTGTTTTCGCCTTAGCTCGCAGGACAGCAGTTGGATGATAGCGACGACAAGGTTCAAGCGGAGTTCAAAAAATGCGTTTACAATGGCGAATCTGAACTGGAAAGGGGGGGGGAGCCCCCCTTCCAGTTCCAAAATCTAGAAGGGGGGTCTCAAGCTCCGACAGAATGGATTCGCTCGTGCCGACGCGGCAACCAAGCCATCGGAAGAATCTAGCATTTAGAACTCGCTCTAAAGGCCTGTGGAAATGCATCCATTATGCATGATGCGACTTGGGCAAAGTAAGTAAGGCATGGCAAGTAGCCCTTTTCCTTATGTGGCCATCTAGATCCACGACACGCAACCAAAGTGTGCCAAGGGCAAGGATAAGCTCGGTCAAATTGCTATGGATAGTCCTCCGTTCATACGTATATGTGCTCCATCATGACTTCTCTGACATCTCACTCGTCATCTTCGGCTTGCCATTGCCCAGCTGACCTGAGACAGTTGTCTGGTCCAACACGGATTGATTGATCATCCACCCACAAACTCTGGCTGTGGTCTCTCACATTTGCAGTTCACCGAGCATGTACGGAGTACTGGGCAAGTTTTATGCTGAACAATGGGTGTACTCGTACGCAGCCAAAAGACTTCTGCTCGAGATCTTGCGAACCCAGTGATTTGGTTACTTTTCTTTACAAGTGTTCAGCCCCTCCAGACATTTCCCAGGTTTTGAGGTGAATGCCTGCACCATAGGGGAAGACTCTCGTGATATTATCAGAGAACGAGCGAGATCGAAGTCTACCTACGGGGGATATGGGGAAAGTGTTCACGATTAACCTTTCTGATCACGTATGCGTGCGTAGCCCCCTCGCGATGCAGCAGCTCGTTTTGCAAGTCACAATGGTCAACAAAAACTATATGCCTCGATCGATCCCATACTTTACTCGAACCTCCGCAGCCGAGAAATGTTGTTTCCTCACCGTACAGACTGCCGCTTCACTTATTCTTTGTGACACAGCAAGAACATATCAGGACGACGATGAATGACTCGCGAATCGACTAACTCACTCAAATGCCTAGATTGTCATATTCCTTCTCGTGCAAGGCAGATCTCCAAACACCGTACAACGCTCGATCATCATCGTCACCTCCGCGTGATCCGACGCGTAAGCGTTGTTCACCGTGTCCTTCGTCGAACAAATCGAGGGCTGTTGTTTGTAGAGATAGCTCCACCCGTTCAGCTGCGGGTTTTGAAGGGGGAAATAAGGCTGCGGCCATCACGAGGGGACTGGTAAGGCGAAGTTGGACAAGCTCAAGCTCGGATATCGACTTCCCCTTTATACCGTAGCTATTTGCTTGTACCCGTGACCCTCGCGAGACGAGAGAAGTGCCAAGAATGAGAAATAATGCAATTGCCGCGTACATATACAGCAATGCGAGGAACAGCACGACTGGCCAAAATGGATAGCGTCCGAGGACCTGTTCGCGCAGCACGCTTTGTCTGAGTGCCGGCTGTGTCTCGTTCGTAATGACAGCGGCCGAGCCAATGGCCAGACGGGCAAGATCCTGAGACAAGAACGCCATGACGGAGTCGCTGCTGTTATCGCTGAAGGCGCGGCCCTCGATGTTTGCGATCAGGCGCGTTGCGTAGTGGCCTAGGCGTGTTGGCCCTGCAAGCCCTTCCGAGAGACCGGTGTTTGAGAGTACTTCGTCGGTGGATGTGTAGGTGCCGTTTCGGTACGAAAGGGTGACATTATAGAATGAAAGTGTGCAGTTAGCGAGCATGTTCGCTAGGTTGCTGTCGCTCGACGCGAAGACCGCGTCTGATATTTTGGGGGATCCCATTGGAGTGTCCCCGCTTGATTGCCATATGAACTGAAGCCATATAGAATACATGTTCTTGGAGTTAGCGTTATATATATCTGAGGATCCATCGAGAGCATCAGACGAGATGATGTGAGAACAATTGTCGCAGTTGGATGTCTGAATATACACCCGGCCTTCCCCAGGGTCGATGTTGGTAGTGCCACCCGACCCGTAGTTAACCACCACGAATGATTTTGGGAAGCCAGGACACGTCACGTTCCCGACGGTAGTGCACGAGGGGGTCACCGATTGGCATGATGCCCTTGCGCCGAACGTGGTCATGTCAAAGGAGAGCAACTGCGGGACAGGAGTAGTGACAAGCACTGCGAGGTCGGACGCGTTAGCCAGCGTAATTGCACGCAGAGAGTCCGAGCTATTCGATGCTACAAGCATTCCAGGGGATAAATCGTCGACAGATCCGGTTCCCCAGTATCCCGCCGAGTACATGCAGTTGTAGATGGGGGGGTCAGGAACGGGCGGACACCGTGACTGTACCACGCTGTAATCTCCTAGAATGTCAGACTGTGTTTCTGATGGGACAAGAACAGTGGAAGTGACAGAGTGCAGCCAAAGGTCGATGCCACTAAGGATGAATGCGCTGAGATACTAGCCTAAGTTTGAGAAAAGATTACTTACTTGATAGCATGAGATAGAACGAAAATAAATAGAGCGACAACGAAGGCCTCCAGCAGCATAGACGCCGATTTGGCACGACCGGTTGACTTCCGACATAGATACTTGGTAGATCTGATGAGCGACAACACACCCGACGCATTTAATAGCTCTACAGTGAGCCCGTATCTGAAGTGGTATGAGAGATCTAATGCATTAAGGAAACAGAGGCACACGTACTGTAGCGGGGTCGGCAAATTCCCATTTCGATCGCTCTCATCTCGGCGGACCTGATCCAGCCAGACATGAGCAATGCGGAAGGCATAGAACGTCATCAACATAGGCGTCGTGATGGAGAGCACTGTTGACTACATAGAGTTCGGGCTCAGTCTCGTCGTTCGATCCTGATCAAGCAAAAAGACTCACAGCAGCGGATGATATGGTCAAACCCATCAAGCGCCCTGAGCGTAGCCCGCCGTCTGTCCTCTCTCCCTCGTCTAACAAAAAAGTCCTTTGGTGCCATGAATCTGTTGACGTCCTATGCGTGAGGACCCAGACAAGGAATACAGAAGCGATGCCGCCAGTAAGAAGAATCACGATGAGAGCGGGCAAGACTACACCAAGGTTGAGACGGTGGAGTGTAGATTCTGAATGATCACCTAGTTTCGGCTCGTCATCGAGATCAATATGAGAGGATTGGCGATCTGAGGGATCGTAGGGATCATAGGGATCGTAAAGCTCTATGTTGTCCCTGTCGAGGCTTTCAAGAGGCTCTACGGGGCGAGGGGAGGTCATGGTCAACGAACTTGAAAGTGGCTCAGTTCGTGATTTGCTTAATATGATGGCAACGAGTGGGAAACAACATAGCAATAACGCCGACCTTGGATACATGGCTCAGATCAGCACTGCAACATACTCGAGCGCCAAGTCAGCCACTGAAGATGTATACTGCTATCGAACTACCTAAACCAAGCATCCTAGAGATCACTTCGCAGGACTATTATAGACGAGGTAGGTCAGCTGATGAACCGTTTGAGGACGAAAGATAGTAGAAGGAGCTGCTATCAAGTGGAATCCGACTTGTTATAGCGATATCTGCGGGAGCAGGCCTTCACGGCTTTTGATATCACAGCCATTATACGAATTCTTGAGTACATTGGCGCGCCCGATCCCAGAGTACGAAAGAGCTGTAGGGTTCGAGAATCTGAAGGTCAGGTCTTTGACTGGTGAACAGAACGAACGTGTGATGGCCAGATGGAGTCGTGAAGTAGGCGAATGAAACTCTCCTTTGAAGATGGACCCGTGCCTCGAGCACGCACGTGAAAAACATGGATAGCCCGGGGTCCGCGACCGACTGGGCTCGTTCTTTCGGACCACTTTACCGTCGCCAAGCAACATACGCACTCAAGACTCCGCCCATCCATTTTCCCGTCAACAGTGACTACCCTTTCGAACCATCTCCACTACTACATGCCGCGCGCGATGAAAGACGAAAAGGCCTTGGACAGGTTTGACGGGCTTTTGTGGTATCAGGGCTAGGCCCTCGGCAACGAGATGGGGACTGCGAGGCTGTGGATAGCGCACTGGAGAACACGGAAGAGGAGACATGCCGGATCTCGAGGTCAGTGTCCAGATTTACCTTGCGATGCCGGGGCTCGCACACAAGCTCGTTCACGTAGAGAGTTGTATCGAGATGCAGTGGCAATATTATCGTCATTGGTGTCAGTAGGTCTCAATGAGTACTCCTCTCAATCACATCATGGTATTTTAACCTTAGAGGATCACCCGTTCGTACCCGTCCCCACGCCTGTGCCTTCATGCGTGGCAATCTTGGATCTCCTCAACGATTCCACGTTCATAACATAGTCAATCATGCGATGGAAGTCTTACAGGAGCACCGACACCAGTGAGTGCAAACTGTGGACTTGATGCAGCTTTCGTGATCATAAGCCCCATATTCATTCAGGAGTGCATATTCTCTCCTATCGGACGTTGACTGACAAGTTTTACGCACATTCTACATCCCTAGATGGAGTCAAATGAAACGACTTAGCTCTTGCCAACACCGGGCTCTACCACTTATACATTTCCCGTCAATCCCCCACATTCGAATCGGGCCACCGCGCAAGAGTCCCGCCACGCACGATCCTCTCCTCATGACTCTGTATTTGGAGTGACCCGGCAGAAGTACGATGATCGAGCCCGCCTACATAACGCACAACCTGCAAGTCGATCGACTTTCCTCACTGCAGCGCTGAGTCCTCCATCCACTACATTGTGCCTGTCACACTGGCCTTCAACTAGCTCACATGGTCATCCTGATGTTGTCGACTTCGTTGCCCAGGTCCCCAATGACAAAATCGAGGAGCGATATGAATACTTCTGCTCCAATTATATCACACTAGCTCTACATCAGTGACTCAGCGTACCGGGTTGAGCCAAGCATCTCAATAACGCACTGTTGGGATCGCGGCCTGGATGGAAAGCTCTCAATCTCTATTTCATGTTTAACCATCAGTAACGGAGATTGTAGATACTCTCATGCACAGTCCTCTTTGTCGATCTCCGCGATGCCTGAATTGTTCTTCAATCGCATCTTGCGAAAGAAAAAATAAACTGACAGCGAGGTTCGAACAGGATGAAGCGAAAATCATCCTCTGAACCGTTTCCGTACGTGCACCCTCTCGACCTCGCGGCAACACTCGGAATCAGATATTTTCTCTCAACTGAATCGCACACGTCGTCCACCTTATTTTTTACAACCCACGACACCGCAATATTTATGTTGGTTGGAAGGGTTCTCGGGTTAACGACGGGTACGTTGGACCGTGGTGCAACTACGTTTACATCCTCGCGTACTAGTGCGCCCACATGTTCGCGTTCATCAAGATAAAGGAGTCGGGTCGAGCACATAGTGCTGAGCTCGCAGGATCAGCGTTGCTACTAGTCGGTAGGTTCGCGTCCTGGTTGATACAGAGAGCTCCAGCTGATATACTGTTCGAGTCTACGTCAGGCATTACAAGTTGGATAAAAAATAAGAGCGTCCTTGCGACATTCCATCATCCGATGAGCCTGGAAGCTCTGATACCCTCTATCAATCCCAAAGACGCGTATATCAAGTAACTTTCGAGGTGGATTTCTGAGACATACCGAATCGACGTTAATGAAAAACGTTGACCGCAAGGTGAACTTCAAACTCCGCGACGTTGACAACTTTCATCCTTCTGCCATCAAGACGATGTTCTCGAGTCTTGTATGACGAGGATGAAGCTAGGAGCCTTGAAGTTAGGTCAATGATTCCCTGAAACCGATTTTTCTGTTAATATTCTGATGCCTATCTATTCGGGTTGTACACATCGTGCCTTGCGCGTGCGATAAACAGTCACCACACTGTTCGTCAACCTCCCACGGAAAGTCCACGTATACCTAGCGCAGAGGTTCCAAATGCATCGTCAATACAAATCACGAAGCACTCTTTATTATTCGTTGGGGATTCCTGACAGGTTTTCTCTGTTGCCCGTCCTACATGCATCAGCTCCCACCGGGATCATTGGCACTGCTTGAGCACATCTTGTATTCAGTGCTGCGCATGAAACGGTGCCGCCTCTTCTCCGACGCTCTATTCCTTAGTGTCTTCCCTGGCACCCCGGGCCCGCTAACTCCACGCTGATAGTCCCATGCAGATGTCATGTGCTTCGCGGCAACAGCATCCTCCCTCACGCTACATTCCAGACGCTATCTCATGAACAGAAGTGAGGGTCGAGAGTGGTGGTAGAGCGGCACATGATCTGCGATCATGTAAACTGGTATGACTTTTGTTGTACCGCGAATCTGCCAACGGTTCTCCCTTCTACAGCTAGAACAAAGATGGGTCGGTCATCGCACGACGTGGAGAATTCCCGTAGAGTGAATCTCTGACCGCATCTGACAACGTGAGTTATTTTCTGACACAATCTAAGCCATCAGTGCGATCAGGCAGACCGCAGTGTCACTGATGAGTCTAGATTATTTTACCAGATAGTTTCTTGATGTGGCACACCATTATCAAAATGACCGCCCAGTATTGATATGGATCTAGACGTCAATCATTGTCTCCTAGAGAAAGTACCATCATCCAACAGGGCAGTTCAATGACATATCGAACCGGCTGTTAGCTGAAGGGCCATCTACACGGTAAGCCTTGCTTCGAATGGTAAGACTTAGATCACCGTTTGCTTTCCGAACGTGTGATCCGTGTGAACTGATCAACCTGTTCAGTGGCGAGCGCATTTTTAAAATGAATAAGTGATACTCCCGCCGCCAAACGGGCGACAGGCCGGATGAGTATCCTTTTGGACCGCTTGAAAGCGCAACGCCATTCCCTTCTTAGCCATGGGGCGTCTCAACCGCGCCTATACACCCGCTCTTCCAGTCTTTCGCGACGTCGCGCTGATGCATCAAGGGTCCTAGCCAGTCCGTACGGGTCCCCAAAAGCCTCACGACGGCTACATCTTTGATCACGATGATGCCCGGAATGTGCGCCTGGCCTGTGCGCACACATTGATTCCTGGGCCGGTTTCACCAGGATTGTCACTGTCGTGTGGGCTCGATAATGATTCCGTGTGGCTGGCAGAATCGCCCGTCATGGTAGGCGCCCCCAACGGCAAGCTCGTCTTATTCCCATTTCGTAACGCTCCGCTCTATGCATGTGTTCGCGCTCAGGTTCTGCGTGCGCTACAACATCATGGATACCTTTCCGTACTCTAAATAGTTCATGTGCGACTTTTACAAGTCTGATGGCTCGCATCACCATCAAAGCACAGAGCCAATGCACAGGGATCATTGCGTGGGGACACCCGTCCTCTAGGACTATTTGCGACTACAAATGTCAACGGACACTCGATAGAAGCCCGACGGATCAGAAATAAATGTGACGTACGTAGTCAAATTTGTCTTAATTAATTGGCTTATGGGTACATGTGCCAACCAGGGACAATTCACTCTCGAAGCGCCAGCTAATAGCGAAGGCAGATGCCATATCTACCTATTCTGTCTTCAGCATTTCTCAGTCGAACATTAAATTGCAACTCTTTTGAAGCATCAGCACGCCGATGCCCAATCTAAGAATGAGAGGGTGGCCATTGTAGGTGCTACGACCGAACCCGGGGTCTTTCAACGTGGGCGAGGCGTCAATCCGTTGACATCGATTATCACGTCGCCAGATGCGTATGTGCGCAGTGGACGGCACTTCTCGTGTTCCTATCGCACGCGCGCGCGTGCATTTCGAGGGTGTGTACACATGTTCTCTGGCTTCGACGGGTTGCTGACTCTCTTCATTCCCTTGTAAGGCACCTGGGTGGTCGCGAGCTGACCATTAACGTGATGATGATCGCATATGCCGCATCAATGACTGAATGGCGACACAGGTCCTCCGAATAAAACTCACGAACCAAGCGTTCTAATGACCACAGAAAAAAGACCCGTCTCGAGATATCGTATTTACGACCTGTCAAAGCTGCCAGGGAGCGTGCACATGCTCGCCGCGGAAGGTCTCCGGGTTGCCGCCGGCACAGGTTCCGTGAACGGAGGCAGACTTACCGATCTGGATCGAACTGTGCTGTTGTTTGGACCCTCGATTCTATAAACGAACAAGGTTGTGGCCATCTGATTCCGAGCCTATCGCATCCAGGCTCACGCGAACAGCTAATTCGACTGACGAGAAAACACCACAGCCGCCGAGGGGGGGTCCGCCCGCCCATCAGAAAGAAGCTGTCGCGGGAGTGCACAGGGAGAGATCCGACCGTGCAACCCGAGGGAGTATGCGGGCGCTCACTGCCGGTGGCGACATGCAAGGAAGGCAGTTGCTCTTCTCGGCCGCGTCTACTCCCAGCCGCAAAGGCCCCATCATCCCCATCAGACGCAGGCTATCCATCCCCAGTGTCGGCTCTGCGCCCATGACCCCATCCGGCTCGAGCAGACCACTAGCACGGAGACTGGGGGGAGATCGCAGCACGCGGGCGCCGCCACCCACTATCAAAGCCCCGTGCATATGACGGGAGCGCGCGGGGGCCCACTTACAGTAGGCTCGCGCTGGATCTGGCACGCCTGGGACGATGCTCGGTCCACTGATCAATCTGGATGGGTCCGATCTGATCATCACGCGTCCCAGGCCGCGAGCCCGTGCCAGACGAGCGATTCATTCTTCATTTTGCGTTGCGCGGACTGCGTCGGAGCTGAGAACTGGGGGGCTCAGAGCGTAAGGGCCCTACTCAGCGGGCGCGCATTGCACATCCGAGTCCGCGAGCGTCGAGATCACACCGTGTGCGACCTCGCGCGAACAGGCGCCGTCCCCGCTCGGGCTCCTGTGTAGCGGTCACGGCCCCATCGAGTCATCGTGCATCAAATCCTCGAGCACACAGTTGACAATCGCGGCATGAATGCAAGGAAGCATCCCCGCGATGGCATCGCAGACGCGCCCGCGGTATCGAGGTGTACTTGCACGCCGGCGACCCACAAGCCCAGCGGCGCCTACTCTGACGTTCGCCAGAGGCGCGCGCCCGCGAGCGAGTCCTATCACCGCTCGTGTGAGTCAAGTTCTCGCCGAGCCAGTGACAGGTCCCCCTAAAAATTGACGAGGCGCCCGGGGACACAGCTGAGCCAGTGAGAACCGCACGCGTGCGCAATCGTGGCGGTTCTGGCAAGGGCAAGGCGGTGCGCGGTCGTGCCAGGGAGGACAAGGACGACTCGGAGTCACGAAGAAGAAGGAGCGAGGCGCCCTCTCGGGGCTTCCGAGACCACGCGTGCCCAGTGTGCCCACGTCGCATGTTTGCTAGCCTCGTCTGTGCGCTTCGCGTGAGAAGCGCATGCTATGGTTGGCGTGCTGTGTCGCGGTGCGCTAGAGCCCGCTGCACCCGCTACGACTTTTTCGGGTGGCAGGCCTGCGTTGTTTGACGTGCATTGCGTGCGTCGAATGGAAGGCTTGAGGGGATGAGCGGGGATGGACGAGGCCGTCGAGCGCGAGAGGGACGAGGCCCGAAGCGGAAGAAGGGCTGAGAACCAGGACACGGCGAGGTGCCATGAGGCCCGGCGACGACGATTCGACAGCTCTCGAGCCTGATAATACGCCTTCTCCAGCCCCGCCATGCTCGGCCGAGTCAGAACAGAGCGCAGAGTCGAGGACGACGCAAGCGAAGCCTCGCGCTGGCGTGGCCTCTGGACGGCGTGCACGATCCCACGGCAGGCTCTGACGGAAGATCCCTCTGACTGACTGTGCTTCGAAGGCGCCTGCCTGTGTACTTCCTGCTTCAGTGATGCTTAGACTGATGGGCTGATCGATATGAACTGATGCTGTTGATCACCCATCCCAGCGTTCCCATCATCCTCGAGCACGGCCATGCCCATCATCATCATCATCATCATCACCATCATTTTCACCATCCCTCCTCCGTATCATCGACCACATCATCGACCCGGCGACGACGCCGCAAGTCTCCTCCGCCCACCCGCCCGCCCGCACTCCCGCTGACATTCCGGCAGGACCCACCTTTCCTTTCACCCTAGCTCGCACTTTAATCCAGGAACGCCACGCCACGACACATGTACGTACACATAGGCACTAGGTACACATCCGTCCATTCTGCCCGTCGACGAAGGGGGCCAAAATTGCAATGGGCAATGATGCGGCGTACGTGATCCTGCGCCGATCTCGATATGCGCGACCGCCCTTCATTTTGCGAGCATTTTGATTTTTAAATTGCCAGTGCCGCTGGGAAGTAAGTTCTTTCTTTCTGTCGTTCGTTCGTTCGATCGATCTGTCTTTCGATTTGTGGTGCGTTCGTGCGTTGATGCCTGTGGAGGGTGGCGAGTGGCGGGGTGCGGGCGACGCGTCTCCTTTGTGGTCGGCTACGTGGATGCATAAATACATGTACAGTTGAACAGGACTCTGGACAGGATTGCAGATAAGAGAGCGAGCGGACGGGCGAGAGAAGTCGACGGGGGCAGAGAGCTTACGATAACAGCACAAGAAAGAGGTTCGAGAGCGGGTGACAGACAACAAAAAAAAAAAAAGAGAAAATTGAAACAAAGAAAAAGAAAAGTTCTTGTGGATGCGGAGCTATATACGATGCAGAAGAGACGGGCCAGAGCACGGAAACGGACGGAGAGGGGAAGAACGAAAGCGGGAAGTGCGGAACTGTGAAACGTGTGGTTGTACGTTGACCGAAGAAGCCGTCGAAGACGAGATAAATACAAAGAACGACTCGACGCACCTAGCGCGTCCCGGCGCTTGAGGTGGAGCGCGCGCGGCCTTCTCCCGCGCGGCACAGCCACCTGCACGGCGTGCTGGCCAGCAGAAGGTCACGACATGGAGTGTGCGGGAGAAGAGAAGGAAGGGGAGGGGAGAGACGCGGTCGACGGCGTGCAGCGCCGCATGGCAAGAAGCGGCGGACGTTAAAAAAATGAACCAGCAGGCAGACCAAAAAAAAAAGCAAGCAGGACACGCGGCGTCGGAACGGGTGCGGAATCTAATCCCGTCGTCTGTGGCTGGGGGTGGAAGGCGCAAACAGATCTGCGAGGTCCTGAAGAAAGAAAAAAAAAGAGCGAAGGTACCGAAACGGAGCAGGCTAAAAAGGGGGTAAAGTGTCTTGTACTAGAGACTGCGGCCGTGCACGCGGGGTTCCAAGAAAGAAAGTAGGGAGAGGGAGAGAGAAAGTGCGAATTTTGAGTCTCAGAGCGGCCACGAGCAGAGGAACGCAGGCGCGGAGGGATATATTTGATGCGCGCCGCGCGGGCTCACGGCGGGCTGCGCTCGCGCGTGCCCGAGGAGAGGGTGTGTCTCCGCGCGGCATGCGCGTGAGCGTACGGGTGGTGCGCGTGTGTCTCGGGCGGTGTCCGTGAGGCGCTCCCGTTCGCACCACCACCGCCGCCGCCGCCGCCGCCGCCGCTGCCCTCCGGCGCGTCGAGCCACGAGTGGATCTGCGGGAGGCGGCCGTTGCCGTTGACGCCGCCGTTATTGCTGCTGGTGCCGTTGGAGGGGGAGCCCGGGGCGGGGCGCAGGAGCGGGACGATGGACGGGTGCGGGTAGGTGTGGGGCGGGGGGAGCAGGTGCTGCTGCTGCTGCTGGGGGCTGCGCTGGCTCGCGGAGCCGAGGAGGGACGGCTGCGGGGCAGAGGCGGATACGGAGGGGGGCGAGGTGGAGGCGGAGTTCATGGTCGAGGTAGTGCGGAGGGACGAGCCCGAGAGCGGGCCGCGCTTGTGCGGGAACTGCTCCGGGCGCGGGCGGGAGTGGGTGCGCTCGAAGAGGCCGCACTTGTTGCAGAGCTAGAGCGGAGGTGAGCGCGTGCGCGGAGCGGGGAAAATGGGGAGACAGAAGAGCGCTGACCACTTTTCCGGGGTTGAGGCTGGAGCGGCGCCAGGTGGAGGTGTCGGTGGTGCAGCAGTTGAAGCAGCGCCTGCGGACGCGGTCGCTGAGCTTCGTGGCGGCGTCGTCGGTGTAGAGGACGTTGTGGAAGGAGGGCTGACCGGGGAAGGGGTATTGGGTGTCGTGGGAGTGGTGGATGGGCGGGGAGAGCTGGGAGGGGACGACGTGGGTCGGGGGCGGGTAGATGGCGTGGGAGGGGTGGGAGTGGGGGTGGCCGTTGGTGAAGCGGGACTGGTCGCGGTAGGCGAGGTGGGAGTGAGGAGGAGGCGGGGGCGGGGGATAGTACGCGCGGGCGCGGTCGGAGGGGTCGTGGGAGTAGTGCATGGGCGCGGAGGGGTAGAGCGATGCGGGGGGGTGCATTGCGAGGCCGGAGGAGGTGCGTGCGGAGGGCGCGGGGGAGGAGAGGGAGGAGCGGTCGAGGGAGGAGGAGGAGAGGGACGGGGACTGGGACTGCGGGAGGGTGGCGATGGGCGGGTGGGGCGAGTGGGCGAGTGCGTGTGTGTGCGCGCGGGCAAAGTCGTCCTGGTGTCTGTGTGGCGGGGAAGGAAAGAGGGGGCGAGGGGGGTTAGAACGCGCGGCGGCGGAGGCGGGACGGGGCCGGGGCGGGACTCGCCTGTTATGGAGCGGCAAGGGGTCTGTGCGGTGCGGCATCCGGTCTGGGTCGAGGATGGGCGGCAGACGTGTGGCCCCGTTCGCGATGCTGTGGGGGTGGTGCTGCTGGGCGGCGGCGGCGGCGGCGGCGGGGGCGGGACCGGTGCCGGTGTCGGTGTCCTCTGTTTTGGGCGATCCGTGCGAGGACGGGCAGAGCGCGCGAGTTTTGGAGGGAGGGTCTGCGCGATCGTCTGGCGATGGGCGGGAACGGGCGGGGATCGTGGGCGAGGCTGGGGGCTGGGGGATCTGGGCTCGCGGGGGCGATAAGGGCCTGGGAGTCTGGGCCGGACTGCTGCGGTTGGGGTGAGGAGTGCAGGTCAGGTCAGGGCAGCAGGCCGGGGTGGAGTGGAGTGGGTGGGTGGGAGGGTGAGCGGGGGATGGAGGGACGGGCGAGGGGTACTTAAGTGCTTACCGCATTGCGGGGGCTGTGGGTGGGTGGGTGGGACAGAGAGATGTCGGCGGGGGAGTGATGGTGATGGGACGTGCAGACGAGGCGCAGGGCGAGGGAGAGAAGAAGGGCCCCCGTCCCAGTCAGCAAGCGCGCTCGTTCTCTCTGCAGTCTCCTCTCCCAGACACCCGCCGCTCTGCCGGTAGGAGCCCTCCGCGGCCGCGCCGGATCACCCCGACCGGCCCTCCTTCCCAGTCCCCGCCAGCCCCGTCTGCCGCGCCACGAATCTCTGTGCCCCAATCTGGTCGCGTCCACCTTATCAAGACGACCCTGAGCCGCACCCGCCCCCGCACCGCGGCTCCAGCGAGCGAGACCCCTGCGCCGACCGTGCCAGCAACCCCGCCGCGTCCCCGCCATGGCCGCCACACACCCCGACCCCGCCCGCTCCCACGGACCGGTCCATGGCCCATCCTCGTCCGGTCTTCCATCGCGCCCCATCAGGCCTTCGCCCACCGCCTCCCACCCGCACAGGCGCGCGCGTCCTTTCTCCTCCCGTCGTCTGATCCTGATCCATCGGCGCTGCGAACCCTTGACCACCCCCATCCAAGCCCGCAATCCACCTCACCCCCATCCGATCAGATGTAGCCCAGGCCACTCCGCTGCTGCTCTCTCGCGCCGGCCATTCCGTGTTTCATTCATGTCTGCATTCATTCATGCCTGCCGCCCGTCCCGAGTCTTCCTCTTCGATTCCATCTGATCCCACCCGTCATCGCTTTTGCCTTTTCCGGCCTGGCCCCGTCCCTCCCTTCACTTCCCGCCTCACGACCTCCATTCTATTCTATCCTATCCTCCGCCGCACATCCCGTCGTTGCCTCTCCACCGTACCCCCCTGCGCCCGTGCCTCAACAGCTCCCTCCCGCGACCCCATCAGATCCCGCTCCCGCGCCCTCGCCACCTGCCGCCGACCTCCCCCATCTGTTCATCGTGATCCACTCCCCGAGCTATCTGTCTTCGTCGGCGCGACCCGCCGCCACGAGGGCGATGTACAATCAAGGACCCCGATCGCAACAGCGCCCGTGCTCCCAACCCGACCGCCATACGCCGCCTGATCCCATCATACATACATACATACATACATACACATGCCCTATCCGTCCCAGGCTCCGTCCCAGACGCCCTATCCAGGGTCTTGATCCCTTCGTACAAAGTAACGTATCCCCACCATGCCTGCGCACCCGTGTGCCGGCGCCTACATTTTGCACCCGCGCGCAGCGCCGCGCATCACCCGCCCCTTCTCACTCACGCGAGCCGCTCGCCCAGGTGCGTTCTGCATCGCTACAGACGCGATTTCCACGACGGAGATCCGCCATCATCATCATCATCATCATCATCATCACCCTCCTCTTCGTCATCATCGTCGCCATCACCATCCGGTCGATCAGCGTCGCCCACACGCTGGCAGGCCGCGACAGGCATGCTCCTCGCTCGCGCACACACAGGCGGCCCGCCCCCGTCTACGCTAGCACCGTCGCGTCGCGTCGCGTCGCAATGCACTCCACGCGAAATGAATTAGAGGGGAGCCTGCCTGCCTCATACTTACGTGTGGCGCGCTGCCGCCCGCTTTCCATTTCCCGCTTCCGCATTCCACATTCCACATTCCGTGTTCCATTTTCCGTTTCCATTATTCTCGCCGCCCGCTCGCGTCCCGTCACACATCGCACGTCGTTGCGATCGGCTCTTGTTTCTTTAATGCCATCAGCAGGGCGTGCGCAGTAGACCCGATGATGCCATTCTACCCATGATGCCTGACGCGCACGCTTCGTCGTCACCAGAAGCCTCGCCCGTCTGCCCGTCCGCCCTCCCGTCCGCCCCCCGCTTGCTCGCTCGTCCGCTCGTCCGCGGAGCCGCTAGCGGCGTCTAATGAATTCCCCCCATTTCTCCACGCGAACACGAAACCCATACCTGTTCTCCGCCGCGACCCGCGCACGCACAATGACGTGAATCGGGGTCGGTGCGAGATACAGAAGGGGGGCCCCCCCGCTCTCCTGGTCTGGTCGGTCTCAGAACCCGATGCCCGAAGCCAGGCACCCGCTAGCACCAGCAAGCACTCAGCAAGCCGCACGAGTCGCCCTGGTCTTCCTTTTTTTTTTTAATCTTCTTTTATATCTTCTCTTTTCTTCCGTTCTTCGGAGCTTTCTTCTCTCCCCAGAAAAGGGGGGAGGGGCGCGCGCATGCGTACCCAGAGAGAGCACGCATGCACGCACGCGAGATGCCCGATCCCGTTCTTCTGGCTCGCCCGAACGTCCGGCCGATGACGCACCCCTTGGCGAGTGCGTGCGTAAAACAGGGCGTGCTCCCATTTCTCAGCGGCGGGACTTTGCCTTTTTTTTTTGGGGGGGGGGGAGGGGCGCGTGTATTCCTGCACAACACGCTAGCCTCCTCTCGTAGCTTCTTCGCGCCCTTCTATCGTGTTTTTTTTTCAGAGCACCCTTCTCCCGTGCGTAAGACGGGTGCAGTGCACCTGCTCGCGCTAGCGCTGCCGTGTGCGTCGCGCACCCACCGCTTTGTCCTGAGCCGCATCACGCCCGCGCAGAGTTTGGGAGCGCGAGCTTGGGGCGATGATGCTGTTCGGCGTGATGGGGCGCGATGCAGTGTTGTTGTGGGCGTCGGGATCTGGGATCGTGCCTCTGCATCTGCATCTGTCCCCCTCGTCGTTTGGCGATGATCAGTGATTCCGTTGTTGAGAGGTCGGTCGTCCCCTCCGATGTGTGCCGATGACGCTTCCGCTGGACTTCCTGCGTCTTTGACAAGGCGCCGACGAGGGGGCGAGACACCGTGGCGAGCTACGACGAGGGCGCGCGCACACGACGACGACCGCATGTACAGAAATTTTTAAAAAAAAAGGCCATCATCGACGGTACGGCGGAAATCTTTCGAGCCCAACAAGGAAGATCAGAACCCGCGACCAGAACGCCACCGCCTCGAGTCCCTGGATGGCGAGCGGCGAGCAGCGCGCGGCTGCTATCCACTATCCCTGATTCGGCCGCGCGAGCGACCGCCGTGGACGAGACGAGGGCGAGGGTGCGCTAGCGCTTCATCACCGTGTGCTTTTCCCTCGCACCGCGAAAACACGCCCGCGGAGCGTGGTGCGTGCTGATGCAGCCGGGTCATCATTCGTTTGCGGCGTCGATGGGGGCGTGGGCCAGGCGCACAGCTAGAACGCCGGCGCGCAGACGTGATCGTCGCCCTCCTCTCTTTCATTTCACAAGTTTCGCGCACGCCCCCCGTCGCTGTCGCGCTTCCAGGCCCTCCCGCGCGACGCAACTGCACCCGCGTTTCCAAGCCCGTTCCGTGTCCTTCTGTGCCAGCCAGCCAGCCAGCCAGCCAGCCGTCCGTCGATCCTGGCCAGTCGCGCCCACGCGCGAGCCTTCTGATGTGTCGACGCCTGATGGACAGGGACGTGGGCGTGGACGTGGGCGTGATGCCGCGGTCGCGATCCACGCGTCTATGGACACGATCCGTGGATGGCCCGTTTCTGTCTTTGGTTCGTCCGTCCGTCTGTTGTATTTTCTGATGTGATGGAAGGGGGCGTGATGGGATGCGATGGGAGGATGGGGTGGGCACCGGTCGGAATGCATCGCGTCGGTTTGATAGGTTGCCTGTTTAATCACCATCAGCGGCGCGATGGCGATGGGGGCGGGGCACGGAGCCTCGTGCGCGGGCAGAATAGCACAGGACAGGACAGGACAGGACAACAGAACATCGTCGTGAAGATGGGATCGCTCGTCCCCGTCGCTGTTGCGTCCGGCCTCGCTCTCGTGCACATGGCTGGCTGGCTGGCTGGTAATAAAGGGGGGAGGGAGGGGGGGGGACAGACATACAAAAAAAACAATGTTTCGTATCGCGCGTAGGGCCTGCCCGCAGTTCCGAGCCACGTCCACCGTCCGCTGTGTAATTACGCCCGCCGCAGCTCTGCTCCGCGTGCGTGCGAGCTACGACGACGGCTCGCCTCCCAGGCTGCAGACCACAGACCACAGACCCGTCCGCTCGCCGATCGAGTCTCCAGCTCCAGCGTCCCTTCCGAGCCTGGGCCCCGACCCACCCGTCCGAGAAAGCTGACAGGCACTCTCCGACGCCTGTTGCACGCACGTCCATGCCTCGTCTGCACCTGGCGCGCGACACGGGCGATGGAACGCGCCGTGGCGTTGCGCTATTTGCTACTTCGTCGCGCGTCGCACATCGCAGACGTCGACGTCGACGTCGGCCGGCGGGACGTGTCGCCTTGCATGGTAGATGCCCTGCACGCCCCGACAGCGTCGGGCGGTTAGGCGCGGATTGGCGGATTGGCGACTCGGCGTTCGCGCGCGACGGGCGTGCGGCGCGCATGCACGCACGAGGCGCTCGCGCTGGCGGCCTGGAACGGGTTGACAGCGGCCCGGACCATGCACGACGTTCAGGCCTGCATTTACCTTTACCTTGGATCGGGATCCGTCCGCTGTGCCAATGTCCACCGCGCGTGCAACGTTGTGACTTTTTTTCCTCGCCTTCCGCAGGCTGGTGTTTCGCGGGTTCCTGCTGCATCGGAGATCCGCCGCTGAGCAGAGTCGCCCGCACAGAGTGTGCGGGATCCTCGAGAGCGCGGCGCTCGGAACCGCTCCAAACGAGCCAACGCGCTAGGTCGGTGGCGCTTTCCGCGAGGGATGCGCGGGGCGGTGAGCGCGCTCGAAGTACGGACTGGACGTAAGCGGACACCGCGGGCGTCGAGCGTCGCCCGACGCGGCGGCACGATAGCGCATCGGGCTGGGTGTCCGGGAGCGCGCGCCCGGACAGGGGTTCCATTCGCGGGCTCTGGGCTGACTGGGGACGTGTTCCGGCGGCTGTGGGTGCGGATTCGCGCTGGCGACGCGCGGTGCGGGAACGCAGACGGGTGGCGCAGCGTTGGGCGGGCGCAGTGCTCGTTGTATGCATAGATAGAATGGGCCCACAGGGCTGCAATGCGAATTGATTTAATTTACTTCGTGTCGTACGCCTGGACGCGCGGGCGACGGAATGTTCGGTCGACAGTGTGTCTGTCGTAGGCGAGAGCGCGGCCGGGGGATGCCGCGGGGACGGGATCGATGACGCGTGTGAACGCCGGCCGCGACGAGTCAGGCCAGACAGCCGCCGCAGACAGCCGCCAGTGCGCACTCCAGACACAGACAGCGAGCATGCACAGCTCGACAGCGTGGGCGAGGTCCTCCTCCTCCTCCTCCCTCACTTCCGACCGCCTCCGCCCGTCCACCCGCCGCACCACCCCGTCCCCGTCCCCGTCCTCGCCCAAGACCGGACGCGCCCCCCGCCCAGACGACGCGCCGCGCAGCCCCGCCGTGCGCAGACTCGACGCGCTGGTCGCTGGTCTGAGCGGGCGCGGCGCACAGCCCGCCGAAGCGTGCTTCTGCCAAGGTCCGCCCGCCGTCCGTGCTTCTGCGCCACCTGCGCCGAGCTCACCCCTCCCGCCTCCCCGTCTGCAGCGCGCACCCACGCGCTCTCGCCCTACACCCCGATCTGCACCCACTGCGGCCTCGTCCTCTGCGCCCTCCACCTCCCCTACGCCCCGTGCCCCCACTGCGCCTCCGCCCTCCTCGCGCCCACCGCCCGCGCCGCCCTCCTCGCCCGCCTCCACGCCGAGATCGCCCAGACGCGCGCGAGGGAGGACGAGGAGCGCCAAAAGGCGGCCGACGACATGCGCGCCAGGGTCGGCGCCTTCCCCTCCCTCGGCCCCGGCCCTGGCCCACAGAGCAGTGGCGGCGGAGGCGGCAGCAGCACCCCCCCGCCGCGCGCCAGCACCCCTGCGAGCTCCGAGCCCCACAAGGTCCTCACGCTCCACGGCGGCGGCGCAGGCCGCAAGGCGAAGAAGGTCACCCTGGCCTCCTACACCCGCTCTTCCCCATCCACCCCGCGCGCGCCTTCCCCGATAGAGCCCGCGGAGGTCGTGTGGCGCGCGCCACCCCCGCCAAAGGAGGTCGTCTTTGCCCAGGGCCCGAGGCAGCCGGCGACGCTGTGGGTCGATCTGCTAGGCGAGCGCGTGGTCTACGTCGATCCCCCAAAGACAAGGCCCGCCCCCAAGCCCAAGCAGAATCGCCGCGAAGGTAAATTCCTGATCATCATCGTCATAAAGAAAAGACAAACACCGATCGATACAGCAGCGGGGCCCGAAAGAAATCAATAAGTTAGAAAATAGAAAACAACAACAGGTGAGTAAAACGCGACGCCATCTGCGTATCGAGACGTGCAAAGTTATGTACTGATCGTCAACTGTCCGTGCCCCCCCAAAGCCAAAGTTGCCACCGAACAGATGCAAACAGATCTGACGCGATCGCAGGCGTCCCCTCGAAGCAACGCCTCCGACAGACGATGGTCACCGCCTCCCCTGACCCCCTTGTGATCCCGAATACAAATAGTGCCGCATATCCGTTAGGTCCTCCCGCAACCGCATCATCTCTGCGTCCTTCTCCCTCAGTCGCGCCTCAGCTGCGTCCAGATCCATCCTCACGTGCTCAAACTCGAGCGTGTCCATCTCGAACTGATCGGGCAGCGCCGGGGACGGGGGAAGAGGTATGTCTGGCGGGTCGGGCGAGCCCATGAGGATCAGCGTCGGCTGCAGGGGCGTCGCGAGCTCCATCGATTCCGCGTCGTCCTCCAGGTCGCTCATGAAGCTTTGCTCGGGGCCCGTCGCTGCAGGACGCGGCGGCTTCAGCTGCGTGATCTCGTCCTCAAGGCGTCGCTCGCGCTCGTGGGCATCCCGCTTGAACGCGTCCAGCTCCGCGCGCAGTGACTTTTCTACCTGGTGCAGCCTGAGAGAGTGAACTTGAGTGAGGTCGCGAATCAGAATCAGAATCCAGGTCACCGCGTTACCTCAGGCACTCCTCCTCGATTTTCAACACTTGAGAAAAGTCGCGCGCCGTTCCAGTTTTTGGCCCCTAAGAGAATTCGACGTATTCAGCATCGAGTTGCATGAGAAAAAGCGACGCGTCACGCACCTGAGCAGTCAGAGTCAAAGGTGCGGCGGCCTGACGGCCTTCAGTCTCGTAATCACCAGGAACGGGCGTTCGAGAAGGCGGCCTGGGCGTGAGCTTGCCAGATGAGAGTTCGGCGGGCGACCTGCGCTTGAACTTTGGAGGCTCGTCGAGGCGCGGCTTCATCCGATCCGAAAGCGAAGGCGAGCTGGCTGCAGACCGCACGTCCTCCAACTGGGCGCATAATAAGACACACGTCTCTGCGAACGAGCGCAAGGTCGCGACTCACCCGTGCCACCAGTCCCTCGACTTCCCGCTTCAGACCCCTGTTCCGCGAAGCAGACTTTTCTAATATCTGAATCGCGTCGTCCTTCGTGATGCGCACCGGGACGGGCTCGTCGGGCGGCGCGGGCGCGGGGGAGCCGTCGCGAGGCGAGCGCGCTTCCTTCGTCCCGGCGCAGTACGGGCACCTGCGCACGCCGGGGCTGGACGCCGCGAGGCGTTCGATCTCCGCGTCGCGGCGGGCGACCTGCGCCTGGAGCCTGGCGATGGTGGCTTGGGACTCCGCCTGGGCGCGCGCGTGCGCCGTTTGCGCGCGCTCGCGCTCGGAGTTGAGCGTGGAGAGGAGGGAGGTCGCGTATGCGAGATGGGCGGGGCCGAAGTCTGTTTGCTCGGGGGCCGTCTTGCGCTTTCCGGTTCCTGGTTGAGGAGAGAGAGAGAGAGAGAGAGAGAGAGAGAGAGAGATTCGCGTTCAGGGGTCAGGGGAGGGGACGGACGGCGTGGAGGCTGTCTGGCGTAGTAGGGCATCACGTACCGATTCTGCTCGTCGCACGCAGCGTGCTGTGCGGCCACAGCGCGTAGTCGTTGGTCAGTTCAACTGCAGAACGGGAGGGGGAAGGGAATGAGTGAGTCGCTCGACGACGACGCGAGGATCCTGCGCGCGCGGCGCACCTTTCTCGATCAGCTGCACCACGGCCTCTCTCATGCTATCGCGCTCGTCCTCGGCGTCCCGCAGCGCGACGTCGTACCCGCGCAGCTTATCGCGCAGGCGCGCGTGCTCGCGGCGCTCGCCCGCGAGCTCGGTCGCGTGGGCCAGCTGGAGGGCGTCGAGGGCGTCGAAGGTCGCGAGGACGCGGGCCTGGAGCTGCGCGGCGCGGTGCGCGTGGGCCTGGAGCTGGAGCTCGAGCGCGGAGATCTGCAGGGGCGGGGGCGGGGGCGGGGGGGCGTGTGAGCGGGGCGGGGCGGGCGGGGAGGAGCGGGGACGGGTGCGGACGTGGTCTGTTTTTTGAGCGATGATGTTGAGGAGGCTCGCGGTGGGGCCGGTTGTGGGCGCGGGCTTGTGGAGCGTCATGGGGCTGGCTACTGGGAGAGGGAGCGGAGGTGGCGCACGGAGGAGGGGCGGTCGACGTTCGACGGGAATGTGCGGCCATGAGGCTGAGACGTCCGGCTCCCGGTCGCGGAGTCCGAATCTCCCTCCCCGTTGCCACCCGCGTTCGCACTCTTTCTGCGCAACGGCGAGCACAGTACTGGCGCCGTGTCCTCCCCGTCTGGAGCGCCGGATTTTGGATGGGGGCTTTACAGCATGATAGAAGCATCCAACGTGGCCTTCGCCCGCTTCCCATCAGACGCAGGCCCCGCACAACGAAGGGTTCTCATCTCATTCGGCCGTCATGTGGCTATTACTACAGGGCTCGGACCCTCCCGGACATTCGTTCACGGCAGCTCAGGGAGCTTGTACCCCTCCTGCCTGATTTTCTCGCTCACCGCGCCCCAGAGGTCGTACGCCTCCCGCTCCGCATCAAAGTCGAGCAGCCACTCGGGGCGCGGCAGGTCCATCGACGAGCCGCGGTCTTCCAGGGTCGATCGGTGCCACTTGTTCCGCGTCGACTCGCCCAGGAGCTGTGCGAAGCGCACGCGTTGATAGCTATTTGACGTTCAGAAAATATAAGGTTGGATGACCGAGTGCGAGACACCCACCGGATATGCTCCCAGGACTGTACAGCGAGGGGAACATCCTCCCGACCGGCGAGCTGCAGCAAGGCCGCGAGCGACACGCCATCTTCCACCGCCTGTGACGCGCCCTGTATACTCGTCCTGCCGATGCGCAGAGCCAGGCGAGCGGATCAGCGCGCGCGCAAGGAAGCGGCGGTTCCAAAATGAACGGGTTCGCTCACGGTAAGAACGGGTGCGCCGCATCGCCGATCAGCGCCAGCCTCGCGCCCGGGCTAATCCACGTCGGCAGCGGTTCGCGATACACCAGTTTCCAGTCCACGAACGCGGGCGCCTTGGACAGGATGGCCGCGCACCGCGGGTCCCAGTCTTTGACGATGTCGAGCACGGCTGATTTCTCGCCTGGGAAGGACCAGGATTCGCTTATGTCTGCGTCGTCCCTGCAGAAACAGCAGTCAGAAAACGGTATGAGAGAGCGTTGGGTGAGGTGATGCTCGCTTGTGGGTCAGTACGCAAGAGATGGACGTCCCGTTCTTGCAGTTCGATGTGAGGAAGTGAACGTCTTGGCCTATGGACACATGAATATCGGCATGAAGCGCGTGAAAAACGAAGACAGAAGATGGTCGAAGCACGCACCGATCCAGCCATATAGAACGTCCTCGCCTTGTGCTAGAAACGCAGTCAAGGGATCTTGATCAATGCCGGCCGCCTTTGCGTCGAACCAGGCACGATAAATGGCATAACCCGACGATTTTGGCTTGTCGTCGTAGCCCTGGACGTAACGGCATCGGCGACGACGTCCCGAGAGCAAGGCCGAGGGGCACTTACCAAGACGAGCTTCCTCGCCACGCTCCGGACCCCATCCGCCCCAACGACGAGGTCGGCCTCCATGCGCACCCCATTGCTCACCACGCCCGCCTTCTTCCTCTCCGCGTCCTCGAAGAACTCCGTCACCCGCTGCCCCATGCGGATCTCCACCCCCAGCGCGAGGGCATGCTGGACGAGGATGCCGTGCAGTTCTGCGCGGTGACCATTGTACGCGTGCGAGCCGTAGAGGCTTTGCGGGAAGGGCTGCTTTTGGATCAGCTCGCCTTGGTAGTTGTGTATATGAAAGTGCTCCGCATGTCCGCATATCGGCCAGAGGCTTCCAGATTGCACCAACCATGTGAAAGGGCAAGCCGGCAGACGACAGCACGGACGTACGTGTCATGCAAGCCCCAGCGATCGAAAAAGCGGCCGACGTTGATATTGAATCCAATGACCTGTAAGTGTGAGCTATTGTGAGCAACAGCGCATCCGCAGCGATACCATACGGATGACGTACGTCGCCTACAGCAGAAAGTATGTTCTTCAGACGTGATTGAAGCAAAGTCGGGATGTAAGTGCCCACCGAGCTGCCTGTGTTCTTCGTACTTTTCGAGTACGATGACCGAATGTCCTTTCCGGACGGACTCGATGGCGCAGGCCAAACCAGCAAAGCCACAGCCAACAATGATGATACTGATTCCAGACGAGTCCTTCTGAAGTGCCTGAGCATATCCCAATTCGCCTAGGCGCTCGTCGGACAGATGCGACTGAGACTTGGGCTCCATGATCCCAGCTTTTCTTTAGATCTGCAGAAGTGTCGGGAAAATAGAGGAGGTGTGGATGAGGAGGTGATCTCCATCATCTTAAGTAGCGAGCTGGAAGGCGGCGGATCGCGCGAACTGTGCTGAGAACATACAGAAGGAGACCGATGGTCGGCCTCGATGCAGCATGTGGGGGCCTGAGCGGAGAATATTTTCATGGCCGGCAGGCTGAGCGGTCTGGAGGCACCAAAGAGATGAGCGCCGCTGCGAGGTGTTCTGTGAACGTCCGACGGTCGCTCCTCGGTCGTTGTGCCAACCCTAGCACCCCTAACCCCAGAGCGGGGGCCCACGCACTTGCCCGTGCTTTCAGCGGTAGAGGAGCGTGACCGGTGCTCGGTCATCGGCCTCGACATTGACCTCATATATCACGTGTGAACCCGCCCCGCACTCGCTTTATTAGCCTGCAACCGGCCCCCGTCCTCCCCACACCGTCCCTGCTCTCTCAACACAATGTCTTTCACCCAGCGCATCTCAAACTTGGTCGCACCCGCCAGCGGGAAAGCCGCCGTTCTCGCACAAAACGATAACGATGTTGTCATCGTGTCTGCCGTTCGCTCTGCACTGACCAAGGTTTGCTTTCACACGCGCGCGCGTCTGTCTCCTTGCTTAGTTTTGTTCCGTCGTCGTAGGGTAAGAAGGGCGGCTTCAAAGACACAAGGCCCGAGGAGATTCTCTCTGGCATCCTCCGCGCCGTTTACAGCAAGGTCAACCTCGACCCCGCCCTTATCGAAGACGTCACTGTCGGCAACGTCTTGCCTCCTGGCGGCGGTGCCAATGCTGCACGCATGGCTGGCTTCCACGCCGGCATCCCAGTCACCACACCCATCTCGACCGTCAACAGGCAGTGCTCGTCGGGCTTGACCGCGGTCAACCAGATTGCGGCTCAGATCATTAGCGGGCAGATTGATATCGGCATCGGTGCGTCGTCCTACATTCCCTGTATTTTCCCTTTCGCTCAGCTTGTGTTTTTTTATTTTTTATTACCCAGGTGCGGGCGTGGAATCCATGACGTTTGGTTATGGTGCCGGCGTCATGCCAGATGGCTTCTCTGAGAGCGTCCTCTCGAACCAACAGGCCTCGGACTGTCTCATTCCCATGGGTATCACCTCCGAAAACGTCGCTTCGGATTACAACATCTCCCGTGAGGTCCAGGACGACTTTGCTGCGAAATCATTCCAGAAGGCCGCGGCAGCTCAGAAAGCCGGGAAATTTAAGGACGAGATCGTGCCCCTCAAGGCCAAGTGGATCGACCCGAAGAGCGGCGAAGAGAAAATCATCGTTGTCGACCACGATGACGGCGTTCGGGATGGCGTCACGAAGGAGAGTTTGGGCAAGCTAAAGCCGGCTTTCAAGGCCGATGGTTCAACTCACGCCGGTATGTCCGCTTTGTCGATCTGGGAGACGTGTAGGCCAATTAATTCCGATGCCGTGCGTTCTAGGGTCCGCCTCGCAAGTCTCCGACGGTGCCGCGGCAGTCCTGCTCGCCCGACGCAGCGTGGCCAAGCGTCTCGGTCTGCCCATCGTCGGCAAGTTCGTCGCTGCCGCCGTTGTGGGCGTGCCTCCCCGGATCATGGGCGTTGGCCCAGCCTACGCCATCCCGAAGGTTCTCCAGAAGGCCGGGCTGACTAAGGAAGACGTGGACTTCTTTGAGATCAACGAGGCATTTGCCAGCCAGGCAGTGTACTCGGTCCAAACTATCGGTATTCCTTTCGAGAAGGTCAACGTGAACGGTGGTGCCATCGCCATCGGGCACCCGCTGGGTTGCAGTGCGTAGTTTGCGATCTGCGCATGCTTTTTTGTTCAATGGCTAACGAGTGCACGCTGTTTCCAGCCGGTGCACGGCAGATCGCGACAGGTCTCAATATCGCAAAGCAGACGGGTGGCAGGATCTTCGTCACAAGTATGTGTATCGGCTCGGGGATGGGGATGGCGGGCGTGTTCGTCAGCGAACACTGAGCCTGTGCAGTCCCCAGTGGCTCGATCTCTGGTTTTTCGCATGCAGTTGTATCATAGCAGTGTCGCTACATGTACACGCCTTGTTTATTTTGGTTTGGTTTCAGGACGTTCATATAATCGCTTGGGGCGCATGACGGCGTTTACATCTCTGCAAGCACGCATGAGTAAGGTGGTACGCCATTCGGTGTTAGCAGTGTCATATCTACGCTTTGAGAAGTCCGCCGTGCGTTCCGATCTTTACATATGTCCGTCTGAGCTCACCGAAGATCTCCATAGGTCTTCTCGGTCTGAAAACAGGTGCCTGTGAATTTACAAATTAAGATTGAAATAATCTCTTGTGCGACGCTTTTGTAGTCCGAGCAATTCACTTTACATTCGTCGCAATACGCAACTCCACGTGGTTATTAGCACTCATTTCAGCGGCTCGAGGTTGTGGGCACCTTCTGAAACCCTCCGCTGACGTCGTACGTCTCGCGTTCCGACCGTGTCGCATCGAACGGAGCTGTCTACTGTGGGCTTCTTGATCTGTTCGCCGACGCGGAACGCGGAGAGATGTGAGCGTCGCGGTTTATTTGATTCTCCTCGGAACCGCCATGATTAGCTGACGCTAGAACACTCAAAATGCAATAGTCTTTGGCCGCCTGCTCACACGGTGCCTCCGCACAATCTGTGAACTTTCAGACACTGGATTATAATTATCTGTTTTTGAGTGCTACTAGACCCAGGTGATATAGTACTCACCTTGCTCATTAATATCGGTATTCACAGAATCGACTGCTCCATGACATCTGGCTGTGTCTTGTCGCGACGCAGGAGTCTGTCTAACATGCCCCCCGATATACGACGATGCATATACGAGCAGACACACTTTGATGCGGCGGCGGGCGTGTGAGTGATCGTCCACTTGTCATCATGCTGGTTTTCTTGGCATAAATGAAGTAAACCTTATTAAATGAACCCCCGTCCTGCCCAGTCCTGCCCTTGGTTACAATCCATAATTGCCGTGATCGTTGGAGCCGGCTGAGCCTGATTTAGACCTACCACCTGTAGAAGACCCTTCGAAAGTCTTGTGCGGTGATATCATCCTGCATCTCGCAGCAGAACGGCTGTCTACATGCTGTGGAGGTCAGCATTGGAGACGAACGCGGCTCACCCCGAACCTTCACATCGCCGCAACATCCGTGGCCTCCCCCTATCTAATTATTCCGAGTAAGAGTCCACTTGACTCCAAACTCCCCGAACTGATATCCGCCTGCGGAAATAGTAACGAAGGGTGCTTCTGATACGCGAAGCGGAAGGCTCGACGGCAAGATACGGTGAGCGACCTATCTTGGTGCTCGAATTTCCCATTCGGCCCTGCCTCTGATTTGGCCGCACATTCCCGCACAGCGGAAGGTTGTCGTGACCCTGACCAGGACTCCCAAACTCGTCTGGACCTGTTTGGTCGGACCCTGCTCAGCGTGGGCAGAACTCCTTCGAATGGCTGTGCAGACTGAATGGGGCACACCTTTTGTGACATGCCTCCTGACTAGAGGACACTCGATCCTTGTTGATCACTGTGCTCATTCAGGTTGCGCCCAGTCTTCCTAATCCGTCCATGATAGCAAAGCTACACAATTTAAGCCCGTCTATTTTCATCGTGTGGCCGGTCAGCGCACCCAAGAATAACCAGACTACAACGGGGCAAAATCATCTCTCACTCGGATTTCGACAATTCACCGCTCTCGTTCCATTGACATTGCTTGCGATGCATTTCTTCGCCTCGCATGGCTGCAAAATCAATGGACGCCCATTGGATCTCGAAGCTTAAGCTTCCACACCTTTATTCTTTCGAATTCCTATTCAACGGCTGGGATTGCCGACTCTCAGACGTGAGTTATCAATCGTAGCATGAATTGCAAAATACGCCCGAACTATATTGTTCCAGGCTTGGGAGCATTCCTATTGAATGTACTTGGCTCTACATCTCGAGCAGTATCAATTGGAATCACGAACATCTATGGGCTTTCCCTCTAGTCCATACACGCCCTTGTATCAATAAACCGTCAGATGATCAAAGAGTTCTCGGGATGCGGCAACAGGTGCGGTAGCTTATCGTTTCAAATGTGATTGTATCGAATAATATCTATAGGAAATCATCTGGCATACGTACGTATGCATCTGACCACCTCCACCTGACTTGCAACGGCCGCGAAGACGGATGCATGCCGCGCGAGCATTTGCCCTGATCATCGACGCAGATTGTTATTTTGCGTCATGAGTAAAACGAAACAGGCCTGGTGACGCCTGGTGAGGCTTATCATCGTGAGGTGATGCAGCGGAGTCATAGGTCGCTTTTAGACCCGGAATGTCGGGCTCCGCAGTTTCGCCCTCCCGTCGAGCTGGCGAACAGTGTCGCATTCAGAACTCTTTTGAATCGTAGAGCGCATGTATTAGTAGGATCGACCGGGGCATCTCCGTATGAGAGCTCTGAATTCTTAGAATAATTGGTGCATAAGAAATTGCGGATAAGGACAGGCTCGTTTGCGACGAATTGACCCTTTCGGACGGATGTTGGGACACAACCGAAATGCATAATCTCATCGACGGCGTGAACAAGCCTGGCGGATCAAGAATGTTGTCTCAGTAACAATTTGCGATGTAGGCCGAGACTTGGAATGAGATATTAGGGCGTCCCAGTGGCGTCCCCCGTTACCATGTCGTCTGCCCACTCGCCTGGCCGCCGGTAACTTAGCCAACGTGTTGAATGCAGTAGCGAATTGTGTCAATGATGATCTGCCAGCGACACACACTCAGGGAAGGATGATTCCCCGAGTTTCTCGAGACTTGAGCTTCAAAAATGCCACGTCTTCCGGCAGTCACGGTGACCTACGGTGGCAGAGGATCCAGTCAATTAAAGTAGGAACTTCTCGATTGATCCGTCTAGAGCCGCCGACACCTTCATGGAAGGACGGAGAGCGACAACTTCTGAGATCTGAGTGACAAGGGCTTATCACGTGGCACTCACCAGGTACGTGCTCGCTCTGATAGCACTGACCGAAACAAGGATCAAGTCTCGCATCGTTTTAGCTGAACCGACCAAGAACCTCAGTATGTTATGCTTTAAGCGCAAGGATCGGCTCCGAGAGGTTCCCGGAAGGAAGTGGAGAAGAAGGACCGATGTGTGCGTAGTTCGTAATGGGGATCAGCTAAGATCCCAAAGCGCCAGACCAAGATATGTGTCGGACTAGGAACTGATGGCCCTACAGGGCCATAGCGGCGCAAAGGCGCCGTGGGTCCGTATTTGGTATACCAATGGCCAACGACGAACGGACATTTGAGGCTATGACCGCAAAGGCCCTGGAGCGCTCGTAGATTACGCGGCAGGGCCGTTGCATGTGGCGGATGCCGTTTGTGAGAAGGAACGGACATTACGGCTTGAGAAGGCGAAAAGGATGTCAGGTGAGTAAAGCGGACCAGCTGGTTGATGGGTGGCCGCAGATAACTTAGCACGACAGTTGGACAGGACGAGGACGTACACGTACGTTCCGGAAACCATCGGATATCGATAAGTCGGAGGGCCGAGGAATGAGGCTCTCGGAGGATGGAGCTAGCAAGAACGTGTTTACCATGCCTCGATCGACGGACGGGGCTGGTGACCAGTCTGGGTGACGGCAGATAGCAGACATGCGAGGCAAGCGAGATGATGGATAGACAGACGGGCCTACGGACTCAGCTGATGCGGACGCGATATGGAAAGGGATGCTCTATGAAGCTGAGTTTGGCTGACCGAGTTCCTGAAGGACCGCACTATTTAGAGTTGCACCTGGGCGCGGTTTCCAAAACGAGCTGGTGGTAATTCCGGATCGGACATGAGCCCGTTGTCCGTTGATGGGCAAGAGAGGGAGAGAAACGAACGAGCGAGCGAGCGAACGAACGAACGAACGAACGAAGATTGTGTGTACTTAAGAGTCGGGGCTGGTTAGGATGTGGCTGGGGAGAGGAGAAGCCGTCATGATCCGAGCACGAAGGGGCGGGCGACGGAGATATGCGCGGATGGAGGACTCGGCAAGTTCCGTGCACTCAGTCTCCATCCTTCCAAAACAGGATAGACGCCACCGCTGCGTATGTCCGAATGTTCCCTGAAATGCCGTGCGCTACGATGCACGGTGTGATGAGGAATGGTCTGTCGACCCTTCGTCTGACTCACTCAACTCGTAAGGCTACGGACCAAGCATATCCGTAAATCGGTGACACCTCCGCCCGGCTGCGTACCGTGGACGTGCCCGCCGAGGTTAGGGCGCCGTTCACCGCGTCTTTGTTGATTTGTATCAGCCCCCGTCTTCATTTCTCCCGAAACAAAATCATCATTTGACTGTCCAATCTTGGCTCCCCCTGTCCTTATATCCCTTCACTCCGCCCGTCCATCCAACCTCTCCGCTTTCTTTCCCCAATCCCTTTCTCCTGCTAATCTTTCTCTTCATGGATCCCCCGTGGTCCCCGTCGTCCGGGAAGAGACCGCGCAAGCGAAAGGCTCGCTCTCCGTCTCCAGAACAGCCCCCACATTCTCCCAAACGGGCATCTGGCTCACAATTGTCTGCGACTGTCTTGCCCCCAATCCGCGAAATGCAGGCTTTCCTTCCTTCCCCAGGCCCGCCCTCTCAGCATCCAGAGGATGTATATCCCCAGCATCCTCAGCCGACAGGATTTCCTTTATTCTCAAGCAGCGATTCCCGCTTCGTGTCCCAGGCCGGACCCTCTACTCCCGCTGCAGAGTATAATCCCGAGATCATGGATTCAGAACCCGAAGCGGACGCAGAACCAAGCGGACGTCCCAAGCAGAAGCGTCGACGTCAGGCTCTGAGCTGCACGGGTGCGTGCAGTCTTCTTTATTCTCCGCCCTCACCTGATAGCAGCCCTACACACGCCTGTCGCCTCTCTCTTGACTATCCCCCTCTGCTGCGCACCTGGGCTGCGCGACGTCACGTTTGTTTCACCTTGCGAACCGTTGCGCGCAATATGGCAGAGTGCAAGAGACGTAAAATCAAATGTGATAGGTTCGCCATTGCTTCTACACCGTGTTTTGCATATTGATTTTTCACTCGCGTAGAGCGCACCCATGTGGACCATGTGCTCGGCGTGGTGACCAGAACAAATGCCAATGGCATGTCATTGAGCCTGTGTGAGTTCACCGACACACTCCTATCTCATTCCAGCTGACCATTATCGTGGGCTCCCCCGTAAAATCCTTCAGCGATAAATACGTCAGCCGCGCCGAATTCGATGAGGTCAAGGCGCGATTGGACAAGCTAGAGGCGATCGTCTACGGTACACCGCCTGCCGCGCTCCCTCCATCGAGTTCGATAGAATTGTCATCGAGGTCGGCAACCATAGGCGTAGGCATGCCGTCCGCGGCCAGCTCCTCACGCCGATATACCGAACCCCATCATCAAATCCCTCCGTTTCCAACGGGTCCCTCTCGCAGAGAAGATTACCCTTCAAAGCACACCTCGTCCGAGCATTCCAATCCCGCATCCGTGCATGTGACAGCGCCTTCCCAGACAGCGCATCCAGCCCCATCACAGCCTCACTCTCAGACTTACCTAGGCCAACCGAGCTCTCAATCGTCCCCAACATTCCGTTCGTATGAATCGACACGTTCTCCGTCTCACCACTTCGGAGGAAGCGGCGTAGGCGGAGACACCGGTCCAGGAGCCGTGTCCATTGCAGGCCCTTCCAGCGCTGTCAAACCATCCCCATTCTCTCTTTCCGCAATTACAGCACCTTACAATACGCCGGTTGCACCTCCCCTTCCACAGCCTCATCCAAAAAACTCATACGCGCAGACGTTCACCCCGCTGGGCGAGCGCCTGTGCATCAGAGTAGTCCAAGGCCCAGCGGCTCCCACTTACCCCCACCTCAGCCACATAGTCGACAGCCTCAGTCGCAGTTTCACTCCCACTCGCGCTCCGACGTTCCGCCCTTGCTCCTGCAGCCACCGCCGACGTTGCTACCGCCCCCGGCCCGCACGCTGTCAGCGCCCCATGATCACGATGGGCGAATTGATCGTTCGAGCCGCGCGAGGGCGCTACCACGGCGGTTCAGCGATGCGCGCGCATACGCGTTCCCACCGGAACCTGATGCTGATAGCGGCGAAAGGCACACTCCAGACGAGTGAACGTCGTCTTCACGCTCCGGGCGAATTTTGACCCAGATGCGTGAGCAACTCCCAAGTATGATCAACCCCAGTGTACAGCCTCGTATCCGTAACCGCTGCGTTCACCACGCCACTGATATCGATAACTCGCTTTATTGCTTTCATTTCCTTATTTCCTTGTCATGATGCTTTCATTCTGTTCCTCGCGTATTAAATCTATCGCATCGCATCAGTGCTCATGAATATTTACTAAATCTTTCCTCCATATAGCTCATCCCAAATCTTTAACCCCGCTCCGTCGCTGCTCCGGGAACAGCTAGATTTATCACTGCCCGTGACCGGTTGACCGTCTGCCCATGAGGCTCCTTGTATGTACATGACAGCTGATGCTATGGCACACGCCACTGGAATCCACTGTCCGCCCCCTTTACTGGCCTCCTGTATCACGAAGCCTGCTTCTTTTATCCTCTCCGTTGTGCTGTTTCAGGCTATCGTTGTTGTCGTCCACACCCCTCCCTACCCTGATGTCCAGAAATACTTCAGGCTCAGCCGTCCCATGGTCTCCTTGTGTTTATGTATCGCCTTTTTGACATACACTGTATAAATATCTTGTTTCCCTTCCTTTTCCGCACTTACATAGAGCGTCTCCATATGCTTGGAAATCAGTTCTTAGACAAATATAATATGATGCTTATTTGACCCTTCCCTATGTATGTTATTCAAGGCACTCTCCCACATAATCTGACGTGTGGTGCAGCTTGACAACCCTTTGACACCTGCTGATTGAAAAATGCCGCCGAGCAATTGTGTCACAGCCAGAAGAGCGTCGTGTTCCATGTCCTCGCTAGACGCAGGAGCGCAAGCCAGATCACATGGTGAACATCGAGAGGGAGTCCCATGTCGTCCACTGCAGATCTCGTGTATTGTCTCATAAGACCCGGCCGAAAGGAAGCGCTTGGAGGCGTCGGGGACGTTTCCCCAACCAAGAGTGGCGGTTTCGCTCCTACCCCAGCATGTTCTAGCCAGGTGGGCGGATCGCTAATGCGGATGGGGTTGGCGTAACCATTTTCCCTCTGCGCCTCTAAGTGTCGAAGAGCTAACGGATTTTTTATGAGACACGCTCCAACGCGCACATCACGGAGAAAACGAGTGACATGCACGTACCTTCGGGTGCCTCCTTTACGATGCCCTACATACCCCGAACCTGATTAATGAAGGCCGGGGCTAGCCAAACGCAGCGAACCGTACCATCTCATGACACGCAGCCCCACGATGTGCGAATACGTATGTGCATTCGCCTACCCCTGAAGCGAGGGAAGTGCACCGAACTGTGATATGCCATCGTGATAGTGACAAATTGCGCAAACATGGCAGGCGAATAGACTGCGTATCTACGGCAGATTGAGGATGGTGCAATTAAGAGAACGGAACGTGCAACGCTCCTCGCTCCGAGGAATGACGGGTCGAGGAGAACGATTCGAGCAATACCATCGATGATTGATTGATTGAGATTATCACATGGGGGGATTGGGAATGGAGTCACAGGTGTGATTGGAATGTGCGAGGAGAGGACGGTGTTTGCGTGCTGCCTTGCCGATATGTAAGTCGGCAGAACGCACCGTCAAAGGGAGATATCGAGATGGTATCTTCCACTCAAACTGTCGGATGGTTTATCTGCATGTGAAAAAAGATGCGAGAAAAATGCATAGAGACAAAATAGACAGGCAGGAAGGGATACAGCGTAAGCAGACCGCTACATTCAAGGCAAACGGCGAGTATACCTTGTAAAGACGAAAAAGTCACCTCTCGAGCGGTGCACATCACGTTGAAACTATTTTGGAAACGCCTTGTGCTATCACTAAGCCCGCAAGGGCCCGGCGGACAGCAGTTTGGCCATAACGGAACAGCGGATAGATGTCTGCAAGATTGAGTACTTCAAACGAACCATCTCCGACAATACTCGCAAAGCAATAAGCTTCCTCACCGGGCAAAGCTGTCGATAAAATCAGAGGCCGAACCGCGATGGGAAAGCTTGAAAACGCACTGTTGCGGCGTGTATAAGCAAGATGATCAGATAAGAGGTATGCCATGGCGATGGCCGCTGGAGATGCGCGGGATAAGCCGTCGCTACCGCGGCAAAGTTTCCGTCTACGACGATCATAGGCATGGAGGCAAATTTGGATAGAGATACTGTTTTGACCAGAAACAAGAAAAAAACGAGGTATGCTGGCAAGGACTTGGGCTCAAGTTGGAGGTATTCTGGCACGTGCCCTTTGCTTTTGATGAACGATGTTGCGATAAGAATGAAGCTAAGCTTCATCAACGAGAACTACGTCCGAGAATCAATATGATGACGCTTACACATGAGGATGGACCGTGGCATGGTCGAACATCGGGGTCGTGTGGGAATAAGATGGGACTGGCAGGGTCCAATTGACGCGCAGTGGCATAGCTGCAATAAACATCTGGTAAGCTCGTGGGTTGAACCAGGCCGAAAACATTCAAAAGACAACATTGGACCGATTGATGCATTAGGGCGCTGGTGCCTGAGTTGCCGTTCTCGGGGTTACCCGCATTGAGGTTGAGAGAAAGGGAGAGTAGCTGATAAATTCAGAGATACAAAGTCGATGAGCATTGAGCATATGGTAGAATTTCTGGACAGCCACGGCCGCAATGCCAAAAGATGCCTTTGTGCAACGTCTTCGTCGTGCGGCATGTTCAAACAATAAAACGTTGGCTGTGCGGAGCAGAGATACGCACACGAAGACGAATGAGGGACCGCAGATCAGTCTGAATTCGTCGTCCGAAGTTGCATTGGAGGAGATGAAGTGGGCTGTGTGGCTATATCTTGACCCATGACGAACATAGCTCAGGCCGTCTGGGAGATGCCATGAGTACCCACAAAGCCCGCTGAATGGAGCACGGTTCCGTGTCTGAATCATTTTGATGCCGAGAGCGTTTCCGCGTCGGCGATATGTGAGTAAAGAGCGTGGTTCTTTTCTCGCAGTGAGCATGAGACGCTGCTATGAAAATAGGGGCACAAGGGGAAGCAGTAGGAGCACATGTAGGGCCCCGAGGCTGCGCCAGCATGTGTACGAGGACAGACAGCTGGAAGAGAGCGAGCACGGCGCCGGCACGACGGACTGAACGTGGAGAGCTTGCTGCTTACAGCGCTCAACTGTCCCACGCGCAGCCCTCCCACACAACCCCCACCATCCACCGCCATCTCGCACACCCACCGTCCCCTGCAAGTCCTCTCTTGCTGTTGTTCATTCTCGCCATCTCTGACCTTCTTCGCAGCTCTCTCTCCAACCACATCCTCATCGCGATCACACGAGATGTCCGAAAAGGTTGACACCTCGAACGAAACGAGTGTCGCTACCAAGGACGGCTTGGGCTCTGCTCCTAAGGCGATCATCAAAAACGTCGACATGAGCGAGGAAATGCAGCAAGAGTCGGTCGACATCGCCTCACACGCACTTGAGAAGTTCAACGTCGAGAAAGACATCGCCGCCCAGATCAAGAAGGAGTTCGACAGACGGCACGGTCCGACTTGGCACGTCGTAGTTGGCAAAAACTTTGGAAGCTATGTCACTCACGGTGCGTATTGCATTTCAATTCCCCAATCCTCGTCTTCGATTCCATCTGCTGGCGTGTTTGGAGCGCCATCGACTGCGCATCACCTGGGGTGCCAATGTCGACTCGTGTGCTGACGATCCCGTTCGATACACAGAGACTAAGCATTTCATATACTTCTATGTCGGGTCGCTCGCCATCCTCATCTGGAAGTCATAGACGTCTCGCGTAGATATAGCGTATTGGGCAGAGGGCAGTAGAGACCCAAACGGAGAATTGTAAGAGAACACGATCAGGCATGCCATACCAATCATCCCTCCATAACATATACCTGAATCGCCTGCAGCTCATCTTTCTTTCTCGTTTAAATGAACAACATCTTGTATCCATCGTCACTTCTTGATTCCACCTAGTTCGATGCCCTTATGCCTGCAATGCATTCCTTTCATTTGCCTTGATCTATTTCCAGCGCAATCAACGTTTCGCCATCAAGTTCAGTATTGTGACCATGTGCGACACAAAGCTAGACCATATTACAACAGGTCAGGTACAAATGTTCTATGGATACAAGGCGAGATGCCGGGAAATTTGACGAAACATGACATCCTCCGGTGCAACATGTCCATGAATTGACAAACCGAGACTCCGATGCTGTCCCAGCGCTCTCGTTAAGTCCGTCCTATAACCTCCACAACCGCCGACCCTACGCATTCACCATCATCCCCAAATACACCGATACTCACCTCGCCCACATCCTCCCTTCTCGGGATGCCCCAGAACTTGACCGTGTCCTTCCTGCGTCCCTCGCGCGCGTCGAAGTCGGCATTCACGAATTCAGGGAGCGGCTGGCCCGATATCTGCCTCGCCACGTATGTCCGCGGCTTTGCGGACTGCGACTCTGTCGCCGCAGACATGATGTGCACTCGAAACCGGAACCGTTCGCCCGCACGGATTAGGATCCGTTGTCTCTCGTTCTGTTGGCGCATCCCGGCGCTCATGCCGCTCCCTAGACTTGACCGTGCCCGATGCGAAGACTCCAAGGACGAGAACGAGTCCGAGGCCGAGTGGATGCGGAGAGTGCCAGCCTCCTTATCCTCTCCTAACGCACGGACGTACTGCATCCCAACGCTGAGTTCGTCTGGGCCCTGGCCCCGGGGCGGTGCGTTCGATATATTCGCGATCTGACTAGTGACTCTTCTTTTACTCCTACCGCCGACCGCAACGCCGTCAGAGCGCTCGTCGGCCCTTCCGGCGACAAGAGATGCAGGGAGGTCTGGGACGGGTACGCGGCTGGCGTTTGTAAATGGAACCAGGCGCGCCTTTGCTGAGCCCGCAGCAGTGTCATCAGGCGTCGAGTGGTAGGACATCCCGCTCGTACTCTTCATGCTCCGTACGCTCAATGCCCGCGATGCCGTCTGTATGACGGCCTCTATAGCATGTGTTCTTGTAGAAGAGTTCGATGACAGCGAGTCTGCCAGAGAGGCCGCAGAGTCGATCGACAGCCGAGCTTCATGCCGTCCAGGCTGCCTTGAAATTCTAACGTGAACAGCGCCGGGCATGGACGGTGTCGTTGGAGGGCCGAAATCAGCTCGTCGTTTCGGAATAGATCGATCCCCAGTCGAAGAATTCACTGACCCGTGAAGACTCGAAGCTGTCCCGGTCGCAGAATAGTCAGCCCCATTAACAGGTGCTAATGGGTTTAGAATTGGGGTAGAGGGGCCCGTGAGCCCCATCATCCGCATCCTCCCCTCCTCGGAGGACAGCAACAAAAGAGGCTTGCCAATCACGGGCTTCTTCTGTCGGCGGTACTTGTCGCTGACTTGACGAACGGTAGAGCGGAGTTTCCCCAAGAATTCGCCCTTGCTAACCTGTCCAGGACTGGCAGGATTAGGCAGCGCAGGCGAGTTCCCTGCAGGGTGTGTGGCGACACGGCGAATACCAAGGCCATGATCTCCGTAAGGCGCTTGCGCTGGGACCGTGCTATGTGTGGCTCGCATGTTATGGTCTGGCCCTGTCACGATGCTATCCTGAGACTCCTGCGAGCCCGTGTGCATGTTGGACCATCCGTATCCTTTCTCAGCGTCAACTCTGGCGTCGCCTATTCCATACCACTGCCGTTCCTTCTCCGTCCATCCACGAGACCCCTCTTCGCCAACTAGCGCAGTATCCTTCACCCTCGCACACCGCCTAAATGCCGCCAGGATTAATCCGAGAACCAAAGTCCCACCGATAACTCCAAATGCGATTCCGAGACCGAGCAGCAGTCTCTTCCGGGCCGCGCTGGACAGATGCGCAGTGCGGGGGTCCGCCGGCTTGGTATGCTTGAAATCAGATGGCGTCAGCGAGATGGGAAGACTGCTGTGCGAAGTCGAGTGTGTAATACGAGAATATGCGGTGAACGTCACTGTGATGTGACTATAGTCCACGCTCCCCAACGGGACTACCCCAGATAGTTGCGCAACTGTAGAATCGAAAACCAGGTATGATCCTGCCTCATCAGGATCGAAGGATGCGGTCAAATTCACATCGTCATGGCCGCCGACACCAGTTCGGTTTGAGAAATATGATATGAGATTGAAGCGGACATCGCCTCCCTCGTCGACAAGAATGGGGTCAAAAGCCTGTTCGGAGAAGTAGGACGGCACAACCGCTAGAGAGACATTGGTGTACACCGTCTGGTTGTATGTCGTCTTTAAGGTCACCGGAAGGACAGGGCCCACCTGCCCGTCCAGTTCTTTGGGAGGCGTCCCAGCAAGCTTTCTGCTTCCTTCATCGTATCTTAGCCAGTTAGAATACTTAGACGTCTCCACAGAGAGGCTAGATATATCGGCAAGTTCTACAGGCTCTCCATCCAGTAAGATCCCTACGAAATCATCCGGAGATGAGAAAGCGACATCGAAAGGGGTAACAGACGTGATATTTATGGTCGGCAAAGACGCCCCAGAAAGAGACACCTCATGTTCTGCGATCACGACATCGAAAGGCAGCGAAGCCGCAGAGTAGCCCTCTTGCTCTGCCGCGTGCAGAGCAAAAGAGAGCGTATGAGGCGTCGGTAGATCCTGAGTGGAAGGCACAACACCGTTCAGGGTGATGCTTTTGGGGTGAAAGACCATCCAGTCTGGCAAGGGCGAGCCATCCTTCTGCAGAACAGAGTAGTAGACATTCCTCGGTCCGACGAAGGTGTCCCAGTTGAAGCCGATGCTGAACGACCATTTGGGCGGGATCCGCAGCATAGGGTTGCCAGTATTCAGAGCAGAGTTCGGAGACAAGAGGAACACAGAGGATAGGGACGGATTGGCGTGATAGAACTGATCGGCCACCGAGGTGTTGAGCGTAGGAGCGGGATCGGGTGTCACACACAGCGTGAAGGAGGAAGACGCTGAGTCAGATGAATCTGGGTCTATTGCTGTGATCTTCACATTGGGCGAGCCTTCGTCATCAGGTCTTGGTGTTCCCTCAAAGGTTCTGGCCGAGGAGTCGAAAGACATCCAGTTCGGCAAAGATGAAGCGTTGTACACAAGGGACGCATTGGATGATGACGAGAAGGTGAGGGGTGAGAACGACCAAGAATATGGCGAGTTAACGCGTGAGATGAGGGGGAGTTGTTCATCAAGCGGGAAAAAGACCGAGACCGTTGATGCAAGGCTCGTTTGAGCAGAAAGTAGTAAAAAAAGAATGACGAACATAGCGATGACTGTTTGCAGGGTCGGCGTCGACGAACGCAAAAGCGGTGTCGGCCAGCGAGACTGCTTCTTATGATGGAGAAGAATAAGAATGAGCGACGAACGGCGGCGGCGGGACGAAGAGCGAGCACAAAAGGCACAGCAGATGTCGATGAGGCGCGGAACGGGACAGCACGCACAAACAACGCGTCAACATGTCGTCACATGATTACATTCAACATCACATGATGCTTCTATACCTCAGCACAGAAAAAACAAACACAGGGATACGGGAGGTGGAACACAGCGGCGAAGACTAGGATATCGTAAAGGTCATCCGGTAGTGCAAGGAAAGAAGTGGAAAAAGAAACGAACAGTGGTGCTAACGAGACATATATCGGAGAGCGTGAAGACGAGAATAAGTAACTTAGGCCCCAGGGACGAAAGGCGCCAGCCCCGCTGCCTGCACCTTGCCTGGGTTTTCGTTGTTCAATGCCCCAATGAGCTGGATCAAATCGGCCCTGATCTCGTCACCGACCTGGTCAGGCCCGTTGGGGTCCAACACATGAGCGAACACCAGGAGCAGGGCATCGATGTACGCATGCAACAACTGAGGACTTGCACCGAACAGGTAGAAGATGGCGCGGAAGATGGGACGATTCTCCAAATAATCGTTCTTGAGCGGAAGTGCGCCGATCAGGATGGGAAGGACTTGGTCGACAGGGACAGCGGCACTGTTGCGCAGGATGAAACGAGCGACAGCACCAGCTGCGTTGTCACGAGCATTGAGCTTTGCAGAGTTTGCATCTGCTGGTACATCGAACAGCGGTCGAAGGGCACCGAGAAGAGGAAGATATTGAGGAGATAAATCTTGCTCGGAGTACTCAACTAGCAATCCAGACGCGAAGGCAGCATTGCTCTGCACTTCAGCATCAGGGTCGCTAAGAGCGCGGTAGAATAATTCTAGCAAGGGTTCTGTAGACGGCGTGATAGCGCCTCTCATGCCGGAGATGATCTCGGCTAGGCACCCGATGGCTGCGGAACGGTCACTGAGGGACCGACTTTTTTTCTACAGAAAGCATGAGGTGTGAAGACCGTTAGGGCTGTGAATTTACGCACATAGTACTTAGAAATAAGAGGGAAGAACGACGCGAATGCAGTCGTGAAATCAGCGCCCAGAGCGTTGGCCATCGCCGCAACGAGGTCGCCAGCAGACGAGATCAAGACTGAGTCGTACTCAGCCTGGTCTTCAGGTGCTTCCTCATCTGCGTCTTGGTCAGGGTCTTGTTGGCAGATAGCCTTCTGTTCGAGAATTTGGACGGCGATGGAGCATATTTGATCGTAATCTGATAGGAACTGGGTGAGTGGAAGCTCAGAAGAAGAGACGGCGCCAAACTCACGGCCATCCAGGAATGCAGGCCCTACTTTGTTGATGGTCTCTGCGAGGCCAATACAAAGGGCAGCAACAACGCCCCTAAGCAAAATCAGTCAGTCGGTCTACTGAGAAGCGGGGGGTTTTGGGAAACACACTTATTATCTTCCGACTCGTACATGTCGAGAAGAGGGGGAAGACTGTGCCCAATGAGCTCCCTAACATGTTGCTGCAAAGGAGCGGCCTTTGCACAAAATGTCAGCAAGCATTTGACTGGAAGATAACGAGAAGCGCACCACAGTGGCACCAGGTTGCCACTCCGGAGGGTTGCTCAACTCGTAGAAGGTGCGGACGATCTCCAAGAGCGAGTCGGTCGCAGACTTCCTGATCCCCTCGTAGTAGTGAGGTAGTAAACCGACCAGCTCGAGGGTGCACTGTTCAACATATGGCAGGAAGCTGGTCTTTGTCGCAGCAAACAGGGTACCGATGGTATCAGCAGCGATTTCCTTCTCAACGGCGATCGCGCTGTTGACATCGAGCATCTTGTCAAGGTCGATATCTTCAACTTCGATTTCCCCATTGACGTCCGCGTTCGACCCATCGATGATGGTGATGGCATCAGAAGGCGATGAGCCGGATGCAAAGGCGGATGCGTCCAAACCGTCCACTGAAAACAGGCTTCAGATAATGTATAACGACAGGAAGATATTTGACACTCACGAGAACCACTCTCCTGACCACTTTCTTCCTGCTTGCAGCTTGCCAAGAGAGGAGGAACGACAGCAGCCAACGAGGGGGCAAACTCTTCGCCGAATACACGAGCCATGACACCGAAGAATAAGAAACTACATTCGCGCAGCCTAGAGCTGCCCATCTCGATGCCTTGAAACGCCTGCTTCATCATGTCATTGAAGTACGGTCTGAAGACATCCTTGCCAACGGCCTCGGCGAATGTGCCGACAGCATCCATGGTGATACCACGAAGTTCCGTCTCCTCACCCTCGCCAGTGAGCACGAGGAAGTGCTGAAGGCGGTCCATGGTTGGGCTGAAGTAAGGAAGGAATTTCTCCTTCGAAGCATGTGCAGCGCTGCCGATAGCACCAGTGACAACGGCCTTGACTGAGACGGGGGCAGTCTCCAAGAGACCTGACAAGCGTTCCATGATAAGATGAAGATACTGCTCGATGACGTCGTGCAGGATCTCGAGAAGAGCATCAAGCGCTGTACATGCCGAACGTTGGGTGACAGGGTCTGCGACAAGGGTCATTATCGCCTGTGAAAGTACATAAGCCGAGTGCAACTCATTTGTAAAATCGATGCGAGACGTACAGGTACAAGGACAGCGTGTTTTGCGACGCAGTCGTCCTCTAGCCACTCGCACAAGCAGCTAACGGCGACACAAGTCGCTTTCCGGACACCCGCATCGGGATCTTGAAGACCCGCTTCAATGACAGGCCAAACGTGGACCATAAGGGGGGTCATGAATTCGCTGCAGCCTTCGACTGAAACTCCGAGGCAGAGCATAGCACCGCGACGATGATTGCCATCAGGAGAGGTGAAGTACTGCTGGATGAGGGCGCGAAGAGGAGGGAACACTTGGGTAGGTGGGAGAGACGTCGCAAGGGCATCGATAATGCGCAGAGCAGACTGTAAGGCTGTTAGATCATTCATATAAAACCAAATTAAGAGCACATACGCGGGCGGGTGCGTCGTCGTCAATGTCTTCAGGCTCATCCTCTGTAGTGATAGGCATAAGACCCTCCAGAATTGGAGCAGCAAGGCTGTTGCTCTGAATCTTCGATTTTTTACTGGTTTGGCACGTAAGTGGCAATGATTGGCCGGTAAAGTAGGAGGACATACTACTGGACAGTCCAGTTGAGCGCGTTGAGGGCAAGAACGCGAAGCTCCTCATTGAGATTGCGGTTGCTCCCGCAGGCAAGAAGGAACTGTACGAGCTGTGGGATATGGTGGCTGAGAAGCGGAATTTCCTGGAAGATTTTCATTAGAAGCGGCGGTGATATCAATGGGGTATCGAACGTACGAGGATAAGGAGCGTCTCGAAGACGTCGAAGAGCTGACGCGCACCGGCCTCGTCATCTGTCTCCAAAGTTCCTGCAAGGACTTGGATCATAGCCGGAAGAAGCAGTTGGAACGATTTCTGCAGGACATGTCAACTGATGGATCTTGCATTAGAATTCATGACCCTTACGATATCGTCTTTATCGTCGGCATCGATATACTGCGCGATTGTCCCCAATGCCCTATACCCTGTTTGGTCACCCTGATCAGAATTCAGGAGACATGTACTCACCTCACGGTTGTGATTCTGACTTCAGCACTCTCAGGATCCTGGAGGAGAGTTTCGAACAATTTGAAGAAACTTTGGAGATGCTCCTGGAATCCCTCGACAATATTCTCGAGAACGGTAAACAAGATGTACACGCCAACTTCGCGATGCTCGACGGTGGGCGAAACAGCGGTCTGATGGAGGAAGGGTAGCAGCTGAGGCCATGTGCCGAGAGGAATCTCAACAGAGGCGATGGCAGCGATCACTCGCGCAGTGGAATGGCGGACGAGCTTACTGAGGACGAGCCAGCGAAACAGAGACCATGAGATCAAGAAGAAAGTAGAATGTCGCAGGAGAGACGAACTTTGGCTCGGCAACAATGAGCTCGGGAAGTTTAGACTTGATCTGTTCACGGTCCGCCTGAGGCACCTGCGTCCAAAGATCGCCACTGTTTTGCGTGACGCGCTTTCGCATCTCGACAGCGCCAAGTTGGCGCACCTAAGATCATCGAGGGGGATTTAAGAAAATTGTGCATCTCAAAGCTCGAAGGCGATACGTACTGGCACTTCGGGAGAACTGGCGATGATACTAGCGAGGGCTGGGATACATGCTGGATTTTTGTAGAACTCTTTGTTCAGCTGAGAAGTTGCCTGCGATTCCATAAGGTGTGTGAGTCGAAGCGATTATCGGTGAAAGACAAGAGATCGCGTACGGCTTTGAGCTGAACAGTGTCATTGGCAGTCGACTGGAGAAGGAGGTTGTGAAGCCCTTGCACGAAATTGGGCTGTTGATGAAGAAAATGATTGAAACGTAGGACGTCAGGCAAGAAGAAACAAAACGCACGTCCATGACTGCTGGTCGTGAAAAAAGAGAGGAAGGTGAGAGGAGGGTGATTAGAACCAAAGATTTGCGGCAGCGTACACGGTATGAGCCAAAATTTTGACGGAGTTTCAAAGCCATGTGGCATCCTCACGTGTAAGCCGCCTCCCAGCACAATCTTGCCACTTGGTCTCGTTCGTCGCATCGTCTGGCCGCCCTCTCACTGCATATACAACAGCTTTCCCGCATACCCATAATCTTGCTTGCAGAGCATAGAGACCTGACCTTTCATAGATCAAAATACCACACTCGCGTTGTTTCAGCTGCGACAAACAATACGCACAGAACAGCCTCCGTGTCATGTCAGCCGCGGAGACTAACAAAGAATCAGGTATGTGACAATTCTTTTCAGTTGTAGACGGCTTTTTGTCTCGTCAGCAAGGAAACGCGGGGATCGATCTATGCCCGTTTGCATCGTGTCAAACACAAATGCAATAGGCACGATGTTTGCTTTCATCGATATTCCCGAGTCATGGCCACACGTGTCAAGAGGGAAGACTTTGCTAAAATCAATCCTCTTCTGCAATATGGCATTTTATCTGTTCTTCAAGTCCTTCAGCATAGGCATGAATGTCTGACCTTGTGCCGTCAAGTTTCGTTTCACATAGGACACTCCGATGTACCATGGAAGGGATCACAATCAATGACGACTGATTTTCATCATTGATAAAAATATGCTTTACATCAAAGGATATCCGAAAGTTTTCGCCGAGACAATGCGCTTGAATCTAACAACCGCAATCCTTTTAACTTCTCATTTACATTGTAATCTACACATATGCACTTACACGTATGTAGGTCCAGTGCGTTGGTCGTCCGGGATTTGGCCGCTAGCAGACGTCTTGGGGCACAAAAAACTGTCGCAAAGTTGAAGCGTGCATTTTCCCAATACAACGATTCTCCCGAGCATGCTTCAGCTGTGCGATACAAGTGTGAGTACATTGCTTGGAGGAAGGGGTGAAGGTAGCGTCAATGTCACGCCATCTTGTCTTTGACCATTCAATGTACGCTCGCTTCTATTCGGAAACCCACAGGAGGCTTTCAGACCGCTGCACCAACAGTACTACCTTAGGGCAGTGTGAGACTCCGGGAGCTTCAGCCGTGATGATTTGTGAGCCCTTCTCTCATACCAGTCCGCGCAACCTAGACATATACTCGTGGCTAGTCACGATTACCTGAAGTGCAGTGTTGATACGTAGCACTGTTTTGTGAAATTTATTTCAGTGCGCGCTCTAGACCTTGGGTTCCTCGTCAAGGAACGAATAAATCTGTTAGCAGACCAGGGCAAGATGTCAGATGCGCTAATTCTGCGATATCAACGTTTTGCGTCAATATTTTTACTCAGATGTTCAACATGTAGTATTGTGGTCAAGCCTTGCCCTGGCGACGTTGCGATATCGCGCATCGTGAAGGGTAGCAAGCATTACTCTGGGGTTGTTGTTGGGTTTTATATGTTTTAGTCTCCTACAGTCAGGACTTATGATGGGGGTGGTCATGACGTTCGCTCCATCAAGTCATGTACTCAAGTGAGGATTGTCGGGGACGAAGCTGATGTACTCTACTGAGATAAGATAAGCACGTGGGAATCGCGGCGTCACCGCTTGCCCTCCAGTGACTGCGCCGTGCGTGCATCTTATTGCCATTACTCCCAGTATCTGTCCATTCATACCCGCTATTACAGCCAGCAGCAAGGAGGCCAATACTTTGGGTAGCTTATATTCCTACTCCGAGCATGGCGCTCACTTGTTCTCGTTTCCTGCGTTTCCTGCGCTCCATCTTCATCCCAACCACCACAATCGTCGGGTTTTCTTGCCTTCTCACCTTCTTTTTCGTTCTCTATCAACCGACACGTGGACCCGGAGACCTCCAACGCTTAGGCTGGCAGGCATGGGACACAATCTCGGCCTCTGCACCTTATGCAGGCGTAGGATCTACAGATGCTGAGACAGGCTCAGCCACGCCTGCAGGCGACACGTCGCCGCCAGAGGGTGTCGATTGGTGGAATGTTACCAAGCCAGCGGGAGGTTCTGCCGATAGCGCAAGCTTGCCATTGGATGTCTGGAACCCCTTGTTGCCTCATGATACTGGCCGTGAGTATCCTCTCCATCCTCGTCAATGAATGTATGTGCTCGAGACGTGATGGGATGGCCGAAAACATACCCGCGCGCAGCTCGCAAATAGGCAGAACAGAGTCAGATCAATGCTTACTTTCTCTGACCTTCTATAAGAACGGTCTGCACCCAACTCATACTGACCTCGCAGGTTCGAACGGGCCCCGCATGACAGCAATGCTAACAAATAGCACATAGTTTCTCAGATTTCGGTGCAACGATGCATGGTCGACATGCGCGTAGGTGACCTATGTAGTCCTGCTTCCTCCAAAGAAGAAGATGCTATCAAAGGCAAATGGGTTCGCGTCGCACCTGATCTCAATCTTCAATCCGGAATGTGGCATCTGGTACGCTAATATTTCGAGAAGTATCCTACATACTTATCTGACCCCAAAATCTGCCATGCATAGCACGTCTACTATCGTCGAACACGGCGCCTCGACGTACCCCTAATCACAGACTTACAACTGCTTCCATCCACTGCATCCCCTGCCAACCCTCCCTCAGACTCTTCCGTTTGGCACAAAGCTGATCTGTCGATTCGAGATGGAGTCTATCGTGCCGAGCCCCTGTTCTTATGGTACCAGACTGGCAAGACACTGAGCGATATGACGGCTGAGGAAAAGTCGGAGCTTATAACCGAGCTGGACGTACTTTACGGCGATGGACAGCCCTGGTTTGGTTTCGATAAGTTGGCGCCGCCCACCACGGAAGCTCAGCCAGGTCGGAGGGAAAACGTGTGGTTAACCTATCGACGGGGTGTCAAGCGTGCGTCTTATATCAATATTGCCTTTGGCTTGGTGGTTAATCAGTAACGCGCAGCTGTCCCTCGCGCGTCTCCCCTGCACTTTTCGAGCGACGGACGCTTCAAAGTCATGCAGGTTGCCGACCTCCACTTCTCGGTTTCCGCTGGCTCGTGCCGCGATACCAAGCTCCCTTGTCCTTCTTCTTCTGATGGCGGTGCCTTCAACATGACTTCTACGCTGCTCGCGCGAGCTCTAGATGCCGAAAGACCCGACCTCGTTGTCTTCACGGGTGACCAACTAAATGGACAAGGAAGCTCTTGGGATGCTAAGTCTGTGCTCGCGAAGTTCGCTCGCGTCGTAGCCGAGCGTCAAATACCGTGGGCTGCGGTTTTTGGAAATCATGATGACGAAGATGCTCGGGAACGCGGCTTGAAGAAAGAACAAGTCAAGCTGATGCAAGGGTTGCCATACAGTCTCGTCGAAGCCGGGCCTGGGGATGTCCACGGCGTCGGGAACTACGTTTTGAAAGTTTACAGTGCAGATGCGAGTAAGACGCAGTTGTTGACGCTCTATTTCATGGACTCTGGGAGTTACTCTAAAGGATTCGTCGATTGGTTCGGGTTCTTCACACCCACGGAGTACGATTGGATTCACCAGGTAAATGACTCGCAATTCCCCAAAATGATCGATACCTGACTCTTCTTCACCTATCAGGATCAAATCGATTGGTTCCTCCAAGAATCAGGTATGCATGATTTTATTTAGAAGAGTTCCATATGTTGATGAATTTTATAGCATCCATATCTGCCATCGAGCGTCCGTTCACTCCTGACGGTTCGAAAGACCTCAGCGGCATTTGGAGTCGCCAAGATCAGTACACACCAGAGACACGCAAGCTAGCTAAACCCAATGCAATGATGTTCTTCCATATCCCATTGTTCGTATCTTGTTCTCACCTCATCAAACTCTATTGACTTGCGAAACCATCGCCAGACAAGAAGCATACAGTAAGGCTGATATGGGCGCAAACGGCCGTCCACTCGACATCGGGCTGCACGACCTTGAGAGGCCTGGAGCTGCGAAGACCAATGGGGGGATGTTCGAGAAGGGCCTCATGAAGGCACTTGAGAGCGACCATCAGAGCAGTAGAATACCTGAAGTCAAAGTTGTTGGAAATGGCCACTGCCATGGTAGGCCTTTTCACACTGACGGATCGCAGGGAACTGAATTCTATTTGCGTTCAGTAACGGAAAACTGCAAACGCATACAAAATGTCTGGATGTGTTTCGGAGGCGGCAGGTATGTATCTTGCATTATTACGAGATGCCCGTACTGAATTCCTCTATTATAGTTCATATGCTGGCTACAGTAAAGTCGGGTAAGTGTTCGTAAGTTGCTTTTCGTCTGACATGCAAACATAATCACACAGATTCGATCGTCGGTTCCGGATCTACGATGTCTCGGACTATGGCGAGACAATCCGGACATACAAACGTTTGGAGAACGACAGAATTATGGACGAGATGATTCTCGCAGGACGTGGTGCGCCTGCACCTTGGGAGGGCCGATGAGACTGTAGACAGGCGTGATTGGGGATTCGACAGATTGTATCAGTATCATTTCGGCTAGTAATCTTATTCGAGCCACGGTCTTCTAATGTTTCAGGCAAGGTAGCCGCAAGATGACGCAAGTTCTTGTCAGATGGTCAGGGTGTCCCCATGATGTTAGAATGATGATGCATAAGCATGGCCGGGGCTCTCGCCATCTAGATCCACCTAGGCAGTATTTTTGTATCTCATGCTGCTCTGCGTTAGATGACAACCATGTCCAACGGAAACGCACTGAAGGGATGGCATCCAGGAGAGAAAGCCATCCAAGAAATCATCCATCTGCCAGCACGTGTATCCCTCAGCGCGGTCACGAGCAAGCTTCCGGAGCAGCATCGTATCTTCCACACCACTCGTCTGCATTTCCTACCTACTACCACACTCGATGAACACGGTCGCCCTTGGGCATCTTTTCTATGTTCTGCCGATGGAAGACCTTCGTTCATCACAGCACCGTCAGACAGTAGTCTTGTGGTCCAGGCGCGCGTTTGGCCAGGCGACCCCATCATCGACAATCTTCAAAGTAAGCGCACTCCAAAGTTGATATCAGCCATCGGTCTCGAAACTGCCACAAGGAGACGTAACAAGTTCGCAGGCTACGTATCTAATACAAGACTGCGGGACGGGATTTTTACTCTCGAGCTCACAGTCAATCAGGCCCTTGGGTGTGTGCTTCGCCATACTCGACTGCAGCACGCTTACTAATTTCTTTGATTTTCGAATGTATTCAAACAGACTTTGTCCGAAATATATCAACATCCGTACACTTCGTCCACATGTCGACACTCACCCCCATGTTGCGTACAATGAGCTGGACCTGGACGCGGATGATCGCCTGCCGAACGACGTTATATCCTTTATTCATTCTTGCGACACGGCGTACCTAGCCACTTCCTACGAAGCTGCTCCATCCGACCGCGACATGTATCCGTCGCATGTCGCGACCAACCATCGTGGCGGCCGACCTGGATTTGTGCGTGTCCGGCCAAGTGATCATCGCACTTTGGTTCTCCCTAATTACGCAGGTAATAATCAATATTCCTTTGGCTAGGTCGTGACATAGATTGAACATATCTCCTCAGGAAATCGTCTGATGAACTCGCTTGGCAACATCTTCGTGACACCACTAGCTGGTCTTGTCTTTCCGTCTTTTACCGATGGTTCCGTGCTCTATGTTACTGGGAGTGCTCGGACACTGTTCGGGTCAGCCGCCCAAGCACTCATGCCAGGATCAAACGTTGTTACCACCATATACGCCACTGGCTTCGTGTTTGTCGAAGACGCGTTGCCTCTTCGCCAAAACGACAACTCTATTGAGCCTAGTCCTTACTGTCCACCTGTCCTCTATCTCGCCGAGGAGACACCTCCCACAGTGAGCTACGGCGACATCACGCTATCCTTGATTCAAGCTCAAATACACGATGCAACGCTCGTCACATATACTCTCAAGAGCAATCGCGCAGTCGATATCAAGCCGAGCCAGTATGTGGTGCTGGACCTCTCACATTTCCTCCGAATTCGCTCGCATGAGTTGGTGGAGTGGGACGAATCTGAAAGAACCGAGAACGACGACTGCGTCCGAACCTGGACGGTTTCGCACAACCCTACTCCGCAGACACCTCATACGTTCTCTATCACAGTGAGGACAATCTCTGGCGGTCTCATCACTCCCATCTTGTACGCGATCACTAGCAGAGCCGCCGAAAGACATCAGGCTGGCGACGTCGTAGATATGATGGAGCAAAGCATTTGCTTTAACCTCAGAGGCGTTGGAGGTGAATTTACAGCGCCGGAACCAGTTGCTGCGTGCGATGGGGGTCGGCGATTACTTTGGGTCGCAGGAGGGATCGGTCTGACCCCCTTCTTGAGCTTGACACGCCATGTTGCTTTGTTGGCCAACCGCGGGTATGGGGTATGGGACGTCGCATTGGTCATATCGACGAGGGAACCGGAAGTTATGCTTCATTTGTTGTCGGAAGCACTCCATGTCTCAAAGGGCGCAAGTGAGGCGACAACAGATGCCACACTTCGGTTCACTGTCCATATCTTTGGGAAGAACTTCAGCCTCACGCCGTCGAACCTTCTGATGCCTTCTTTGTCACTTCACACTGATGAAGGTAGGCTTGATGAAGACGGGAAGCTCTTTTCGCAATTGGAGGCGAAGGACAGGGAGGTGCAAATATGTGGTCCCCTCCCGTTCGTGCAGAGTGCCATGAAGTCGTTAGAACGTGCAGGTGTCCGTTCGGACAGCGTAAAGAGGGAGAGGTTCACCTATTGATCTTTTACATAAAGCCATGAATGATGCGACATCGGCGGTCGGATTTATTGCTACCATACAATCATCGTGGTTGTGACACTTGAGATGATGGGTTACTAGCGCTTTGAGATCTGGAGATGCCACTCTATCGACATGCATCAGCTTCATTTTGTGAGTACCTTTATATTCGTTTCTTGCGTCATTTTGCATGATCTGGTCCTTCAATTCTGACATGCGTCCTGTGCTCTTTGTGGCAATTTAGGTTCAACATACACTCCGACCTGCCACGATGCCGATGATGTTCACACACGTATCACCGATCAGCTGATTTGTTAGGCGTCTAACCACCTATCCAACAACTAAATACGCTGCCCCCGCCTGTCAAGGAGGTCGCGCGCCCGCGCTCAAGGTTCCCTCTGTCGTCGCCTTTACAGCATCTAATTCATCCATCTTCTTCATCCAGCTGACGAACCTTGGACTCAGGACTTCTCCCTCGGGCGTCGCGCGAAGATCGGCAAGAGGTGGAAACAGGAAGAAATCTGCCCATGTCACTTTGTCTCCAAATACGAAACCCTCCGGTGCCATGAGCGACTCTAGCTTCGACAGCAGGCTCTTTAACTCCTCAACCCCGTCCCTGATCTGCCCCCGGATTTCGGCATCAGACAGTTTGCCCTCGTCATTCGCAGCAACGCGTGGCTTCACGACTCCAGCTTCGACCGCAGGAAACGCTGAAAAGGAATAGTTCCTCAATACCGTGTTTTTCCGTGATGGGGATGAACATTGCTCACCGTGGGAGCCAGCGAGACTCATAAACTGCCACATTTGCTCTTCGATGACAGCCCCACCGTCGCCGGCGTTGATGTGAAGACTTGGCTGGGGTGCGATCCTATCGATAAAACGCACGATCGCCAGGCTCTCACACAACTTGACATCGGCTGGCTTGCCATCGAGCTCGTGGATGACAAGGGTGGGGAGGTATCCAAATGGATGATGTTTGTACGCGATCTCTGATCGTGCTAGACAGCGGACCTGCTTATACGGGAGATCTGAGAGGCCGAGCGAGCGAAAGAATACTGTCATTAAATCAGGGGGCAGACAGAGTGAATGGAACGCACGCTTGTACTGCAGACCGAGAGTCACGGAACGCGTAAAGGTACTGAAAGGGGTCCCGATGACTGTGTATGGGGGTTCAGACATGGTGTTGAGAGGTAGGACTCGGGATGAGCGGCGCTCTGATGTCCCTGGTATAAGTACCTAGGGTCGATTTGTTAAGTGGGGTTATTGAAAAAAAGGATAAGTAGCCGGCTTCCATTTTGGCAGTATCCAGATAGTGGTAGGCCGACCATATTGGCTGTCCCTCCTCTCCGTGCGACACGGTGGAACTTATGAGCGGTACACATGAGAACACCTGCCCCACATTTTTTAAAGCCAGCGACAATGATTTACATATACAACAACCGTCATTGTGACACAGTATAAATCAAACAAGATCAAACGGTATTGGTATGAACAGGATGGGTCATCATAAGTTCCGACTCCGTGCATCACAAGGGGCACTTGACAATAATGTCACGACGCACGGGCTTGATCAGAATCCATGTCAGCGCCATGCACGGGGCACGGAGTAAAAGGGATCATACCTGCTAGGCAAGGACTTTTGGGGAAGACAGCATTTTGTATGGATACGGGGCTGGGATGTTCTCGTCAAGTAGGAAATACTGCTGCGCCTCTCTCGATCCACTGGCTCCATAGTCCTTCAACTCAGGGCTGACAGGGATCGGATCATACTTCGCCAGGAGCGCGCGGACCTTGGCTAGCGCGCCCACGCGCTTCGCGGGGGTGCTGAAGAGAATGTCGAAAATCCATTTGGGTTGGAAGACAATGGTGACGCCCCTGGCGTGGCGTGACCGACGGATCTGATGGGCGGGCGTCTGTATGACAGTGAAAAACGGCTCTCCGCCAAAGCAGAAACACCACTTGTCAGTGTCCATGTCGCGGGGGATGCTGTTTGGCCAGGGTTTGATGTCGCGCTGGGCAGCACCGTCGAGCATTTTCCAGAATAGATCGTTGTATTCCTCGATCGAGCGGGGGTTGTCGTTAATCTTGGCGAGGAGGACGAGGGATGTGTTGGGGCCGAGGGCGCGAGACTGAGGAAGGTAAACTTGAAGATTAGCGACAAGGTGGCGAATGTGGCGAGGGTCTGAGAGGTCGTCAGAATCAATGAACATGTAGAGTTGATCATCTGTCTTGAACCCCTTCGTCGCGTAGATGCACGGAAAGACAAGCTCCTCGTTCAATATAACATTGGTGTAGTTGTCGTAGGCTGCGCGCTGCCACGATCCTTCCCCGAAGCGTTCGTCGACCTGCGCTCTTCGAGAGAGTCAGTGATGATCCGATCAAAGGATTCGCCACTTCCCATACCTGGAGAACAGTCCTTCGTCTGGATTGACATGAGTTTTTTCGTGGTGACTGACAATTGTGTTCGACTATGAGGGTGATGAGCTTAACATGAGCACAGCGTTGTACCAGACTGGCCCTTACGCGAGTGAAGACGAATTTTCGAAGGCGAGGGAAGATGGCAAGGACAAGAGCGAAAATTGATGCCGGTACAATGTAGTTGGTCATAGTGTTGCAATCGGTAGGAGACGAGGATGAGGAGTTGGATTAGAAATGGAGAGACTGAGCTCACTTTTATACTGGAGATGGTCTCTGAGTTTGAAGTGTAGCAGTATAGTACAACATAACCATGCGAACGTCTGGGCTCTGGCGGAGGTGTCATGCAGTTCACTGACGCCTGGAACAGACCCCCCTCGGAGCATACTTGTCGGAACGAGGAGCCCCATGAAGAATTTTGACTTTGTGGTGAGAAGCGACACATGATCTCAATCAAGATCCTGATACTATAGATGTATATTCAACAACAAAACTATAAGTAAAAAATGCCCGGAGATTCGGTTTAACATGCCGCATACCTCTGAACGCATGGCCCGGCTCAGACGAACTCTACGACTATGGCACCTGAGCAGCCGGATGATTGCGCAGGAGCGACAGCCTGTGTCGCAATCGAACGTAATGCCTACAGACCATCGCAAATCAGCTAAAACGCTCATACTAAGCGTACGTACGAAACTTGCAATACCTGGATTTCATACTCGAAAATTCGGGATGAGGAGCTTGGCGTGAAACGAATATGCACGCCATCAATGATGCGTGTTTGGGTTGGTGTTTGGTTGTGCCGTAATTTCTCATCATACTATCGTATACTCTGGTGAAAAAATCTGTAAACACAAACTCATGAAAAGTTCCTTGTGCACCGCCCTCGCCATCCGAGGGAATGTTGGATTCCCACTGAGACGGCAGTCTGCTGGCATGCTGTACGGCACCATGACACAAGTCATCACAGTGACCAGTGACGCCTTTGAAGATGTAGAGAGCAATTTGTCGCTGATCCGATTTTCGAAAGTGTATTGAGCTCCAGAACAGGGAGATCACAAGGGCTAGGATGTACTCTCCAATGATGACTAACACAGAAGTTTGAGAAGGGGTCCTGGTCATGCACAGCATACGCTGCGGCGCGCGCTACTCGAGCCGCATGATTTGAGCGACCTGTCGAGGGTACGTGACGATGCCTCCTACGGATCATCGATCAGCGCTTAACACCGACCGAGGCGCTCTGGACAATGGCCGTCATTGACTTGAGCCGCCATGTCATAGCTGTGTGAGCAGGCACCATGTTCAGTAAGTTACCTTACCGCCTGCGAGATCATGTAATGAATCGGCTTATTCCAGATTTCAGCCTGGACGCCAAGGTTGAGAAGGAAGCACGAGCGTGGGAACTTCGGCAGACATCCTCGGTGGGGAGTGTTGATCGGCTGAGATTAAATGCAGAGATTTTGTGACCATCCTGACGAGCGCTTCCGCCGTTTGTTTCGACTCTGCAACTCCAATGGTTACTCCATCCATTTCTTCTCCGAAGGACTCCGGTGTGCACGCGCGTGATGAACCTCAAGTATGCATTTCAATCGTTTCCAAAGCATTTAACGTTCTAAAATTTGATTCCAGCGCAACAACGTTTTCACTTTTTTTGATCAATCAGAAGCTGCATAGTTAAATGCCCATCAGAGAAGACGAAGTCACATAGAAGGCCAGAACAAGTAACTTCGCGCCGGCTTCGAAAGCTCTCTACCTCGACCAACACAGACTAGACTTCATTGATGACACGGGTCACAAAGATCCTGATATCCGCCGCAAAGATCTCACGACTCAGAGCAGAAAGTTTGGAGTACGGCATCCCTGATAACTCTGAAATCTGGCCCTGATGGTTCTCCTTCTCCAGTAACGTTATGCGACGAGGAGCTGAGTTCCCGGCCATTTGTTGACAGTTTTTACGGCGTTCTGGCTCTTCATAGAGGTCTAAGGTCGAGACAGTGTTGAACTGAGCACCGCTGTCTACGGATCTGCTGCGATATTGCGATGGTCGGACGGCACCTGACACAATTCAGTCTCCGGAGTTGACACCATGAACTTCCGCTGGCGGTTGAATTCGTGCATTTGGGTGGGTTTGACTTATATAGATGCTTCCCACTTCTTTCTGCTTCCAAACTCGCACCCCCAGTTCACGAGGCGATATCTCACCTCTCCTCGGTGGTTCCCGACATGCACTTCTCTATCTCTCTGGGCACGCTTGGTTGTGCCCTCTCCTTCGCTCTTGGGGTCTCTTCTGAGGAGAACAAGCGTAATGACCAGCCATCTTTCAATTTGTACCAGGGCTCGGACTCCCAGGACTCCGTCTATAATGACCCTGCTTCCAATCTCCAGTATACCCTGTCTTCGGGAAATCCGTCAGTTATATTCTAATTTGACGTCTTGTTTCTAGCATTCTCACATAGTTATTCAGGTATCCGAACCCATTTATGTTTGATAGACTTGGTACGACCGGCCCTGTACTGTTGCAAGGCGTGAATCTGGTACCCATTTCCTACTTTCTTCGTGTCGTCGTCGCACATGTTAACATCTTGTAACTGATTCCAGATCGAGGAACTTGCCCACTTTGTCCGCGAAAGAGTGGTATGTTATTTTTGCAGATCTCTAATATAATCATAAATTAACATTGACACAATAGCCAGAGAGAACAGTTCATGCGAAAGGTGCAGGTGCACACGGATATTTTGAGGTGACTACAGACGTTGGCGCCAAATACAGCAGAGCGGATCTTTTCTCAGAGATCGGCAAACGGACATCGGTAACTGGGCGCTTCTCCACTATCGCCGGGAATCTTGGACAACCAGACAGTGTTAGGGACCTCCGCGGACTGGGTTTCAAGTATGTTATTGTACTACTATGACACGTTCTAGTTCTCACATATAGTCATCACCCAGGCTTCGTACTAACGAAGGAATTCTGGATTGGGTGCGCCTTCCTTTTTTTCAGTTTCTCCGTGTCTGAGATCGTGGCGCAGGTGTTTTTGAATCATCCAGTGTTCTGGATTCGTGATCCAACTAAATTTCCTCGTTCGTCCTCCCTTCGCATAGTTCGTTCTTATCTGCTCACGACTTGCTCGCAACTTTTGTCAGACTTCATTCGTTCGCAAAAGCGTAACCCTCAAACCCATCTTACTGATTATAATGTGTGTGTATTAAGTGCCCTTGTATTGCAAAGCATGACCCAGACTCCTTCTAGAATTTCTGGGATTTCCTATCGAACAATAATGAGACCATCTATCAGGTCATGCGGACGATGTCTGACTTGGGTACACCGTATGGATTCCGGTATGGGATATGTTCGATATATGTCCACTATGACTGACCGTGCTCGCTCATCAAGGCACATGAATGGGCATGCTGGAAACACTTTTCGTTTGGTGAAGGTATCATCTCAAGGTTTCTAGCTGTTCGTGTTCGTGCGTAGGCTAACACTGCCTCGAAATTTTAGGACGACAATACATGGAATTACGTCAAGTAAGTCACAATGATATGACAATGTCTGCACCTTCTGAAGAACTCCTCAACAGGATATCGGCATACACCGATCAGGGTATCAAGAACAATACGCAAGATGAGGCCGTTCGAGTCGCGGGCGAGAACTCAGACTTTGGAATCTCCGATCTCTTTGAAGCTATCGAGGCCGGCAACTACCCGTCGTGGACAATCTATTTCCAGGTGATGGATCCCAAGACTGCAGAGAAATTCAAATGTAGGCTTCTGCTTGGACAGTGTTCTGAGCCACTTTCTGACCGTGAATGTTTGACGATAGACAATATCTTTGACCTCACAAAGGAATGGCTTGTTGAAGATGTGCCGCTTCAAGAGGTTGGGCGTATAACATTTAACCAAAACCCGTTCGTAATATTGGCCTTCTATCTATATTGACCGATTATTTACCAGATGCCGATAGAACCAATTACTTCGCAGAAATCGAACAGATTGGCTTTGACCCGGCCCAGATGGTATGCAGTCATACGTCGATTTGTCTAATTCTCCGGATAATAATTTTAATTTAGCCACCTGGAATTGAACCCACCGAGGATCCTATGCTTCAAGCTCGGCTGTTTGCATACGGTGGTGCGTATGACGGTGCCTAAGTACACTTGGTCGGTGACGGCTCACTTTCTACGCAGATGCTCAGCGCTATCGTATCGGCATCAATCACAAGCAGCTGCCCATTAATGCTCCGATCAATCCAGTTGGTCTGTGATATTCACACTGCCTGATTTCCTTCGCTCCACACTGATCGCCACTCACTCCAGCTAACTTCCTTCGTGATGGGTTCATGAGCTTCAATAATCAAGGTTCAAGGCCAAACTACATGTCTACCATCGACCCGATCAATCTTGAGCAGAGACCCTATAATGACGACAATCATACCATATGGACAGGCGGTGCGGTCAAGTACGTCAGCCGGCCAACAGAGCTCGACTTTGAGCTGCCCAGAATCTTTGTGAGACCATCGTTTACCTCGCTCGCCATAATCCAGCTGGTCTGACATTGTGGCATGCACAGTGGAATCAACTTTCGGAGACTGACCAGGAGCACCTCATCTCCAATGTTGTGGGCCACCTCGGGCGTGCAACCAACGAGCGCATCAAGAGGAAACAGTGCGAGATCTTTGCCCACGTCAACGCAACCCTCGGTCAAAGGATCGCGAGTGGCGTGAACGTAACGTTATCATGAGCTGTATATATGTCGTTCGTTATTGATGATTTACCTGTGTATAGTACAGTTTCCACGATCTATTGCTTTGTCTTTCTCGTTCAATCATTTATTGTATTTACATATGCCTGCGATTGCCTCTTCTATACATGACATTCCATCCACTTGATACCAATCTCACATCTCACACACACTATTTCTTGACGACACAACGAGTTTGCCTGCACTCAATGCTACATAGGCACCCCAGTGATGTGTGTCCGCAGTGCATGAAAATAGACCCATGAGGATCGAACTTGTGGAGCGTCTGACGGTAAAAGATAAGCTGTGAGACAATCCTGGCGGCGTCGCTGCCAGAATCACTTACTTGGTCATGGTCATGGTTTTTGGACTCATCACCCGCAAAGTGCCATATGCGATTCGCCACGGTCACAGGGGTTTTTCGCGACCACCCCACACTATATTTGGGCCGCCACATGCTGCACGGTTGGCAAAGGGAACCCTCGGATGCGCCAGCCGCCGCGACGAGTCGCGCACGTCAAATCGTTCGGCGCTTGCTCCGCCTCCGGAGATGCATACGTTTTGCGTGGGTATACTCAGCGTCCCTTTCGCAAGTTCGGGGGTCGTCGGTGGCATTAAGTGCGCGCCTCAGGAGTAATCGCTTTTGTCCACCTCCCTCCGGTATCGGGGTTGCAGTCGTGGACGGGGCTTCTGAGACCCGTGAGCAGTCATACAAATATCAAAGGAGATACCAACACGTAGCGTTAACATCCTACGACTTCGAGCCTCAGGAAAAGTCGATGCGAATGCGGGTATTATTTGGAACAGATCGTTGCGAGCAGCATCACCATCGTGAACGTCAGTAAGAGACGGGCCCGAGAGCACGTCGGCCATTACTGTCTTTTTGAGATTCCGAAATAACGTTACGGACTTGCGGGCTTCGCGTGCTAGTTGCTCATTTCCTCGTCTTCTTCGATCCATCTGATCGAGGGCGGGGGTATATCTCGATAGACCGACAAATTGGACTTCGGTCGGCGGTAAATAACAATCGATCGAGGAGCTAATTATTCAAATACGACAACGCTCTGGGGCACATCATGGAGTGAGGGCAAACAATTACATTAAGGACGTCAGACGTTTGTGGACGGACCACAGCTATAAGTATCGATCAAGACCACTGCATCTTTTGGGCGGTCGAAACGGTTTTATTCCGGTCTGCCTCCCGCCCGCGCGTGCTATCAGGACTCGGGTCCGTCTCAGCGCCTGCACCATTGGCTATGTGCTGCACGATCTGACGTAGGGGTGATACCGACGCACGGATAGTTTTCAGGTTGTCGGTGTCAGAGACGAACGCGTCGAGCGTCGGCCGTGACGAGAAGCTCGAGCTCAAGCCCGGGCTTGTTGGTGGCAGACCTTCGACAGCGGGAGAGAAATGCATAGATGCAGGCATATGGAGCAGAGGGGTCATGGGGACCTGAGCAACAAAAATCATGAATAAATCTCGTTGAGCATGTTGATGTAGTGTAAGTACCGGCGTGGCTCTGATGGTCTGCTGCGCGTCCGCTGAAGACCAACGAAGGCCATCTAGGTCCGTAAACTCAGCTTGAACAGATTGAAATGAGTTCAATAAGGTGAGGCGCTGAGACTGAGAGAAGTAGAGTGAGCATGTGTGTGCTCAGGTCGACGTGACAAGTTATCAAGACTCACTTCGGTCATCACCAGCGCAGCCTCATCTTCTCTTTTCATCTGCTCCTCCGTCTCTAGCAGTCTCTGGACTCGCAGCAGTGCGCGTTCGGACAAGTTATTTACGGGCATGGAAGCTGTGCGCGGCCGACGATTCTTCGTGTGTTTTTGGGGCGAGATGAAGGAGGGAGAGCTAGGGAAAGTGGCGATGGACATGTCGGGATTCAGGAGCAGCGCGACGGAGAGAAAATGCAAGGAAGGATGCGAAAATGGCGGGGAGGGTGGCCATTACCTGTTGTATGTGGTCTTGGACTGACATCGCCGTCGCAGACAGCGCCCAGCTGAAACCGGACATTTTTGGGCTCCGACACGCTCCGATATCGGGAACCCACAGCTAGCCACAGCCGCACACTCCTACATACAACACCTCAAAAATTCGTATCGAAAAGGGAGCGCGCATTCAGCATCTTCGCGTCGCACTGAGTGGTCCAGGTGAGTTTCAACCTTTACACTCTTTTACTGAATGAAATCGCATCCCAGTCGTCTTGCCTGCACTCTGCGCGACTTTCATGAGCTACGCTGTTGCAAGTTCATCTGCGAGCGTGTGGCTCTCATCCCCGGTGGGTGGCTCTCGAAGAAGTCATCCACAGAACGCTATCATGGCGAGTCTTGTGCAATATCAATCTCTTCCGAGCTTATCGTCTCTATTACCGACGGTGTCCCAGCGCCTTGCTGATAAGAGATACGCTTCAACTAGATGCACCCGCCGGCAGATATCAGCCAAGAGTTCCTGAACTAGGTGTGCCGCCGGCTGGTGTGACCACCTACAATGAAGATCTGTTTCTGCCGCAGGGTCCGCTTGCAGTGCTACTTGTAAGCGCCTTGCTCTATTCAGACGTGCATCGCATGGATTGTATAGATCAAATCGCTGTCGTCATTACTTATTTTTATCATCATTCAAAATCAATGAATTCACATACCGCGCAGCCGCTTCGGCCAGTGGCGGCGAGCCCTACAACCGCTTCCCAAACCGCCCCCTCTATACCCCCTGCAACTGGATCGGTCGTCAATCTCCCTACGTCGTCATTGCTTCTGTGGCACTTTTGGAACTATTCCTTAAGTTCTTAAGGATGTGTTCGATTATAGAGGCCGTGAGAACCTCAGCCTGCGAACAGTTTATCTTTGGCATACTAAATTTGCTTCCAATAACGATTCGTGCACACCTTTTGAATACTTTCCCTTTGATCTCTAATTTCTTGTTCGAAGGTCGATTTTGCAAAATCTTGGTCTTTTTCATCGTTTATATAGCCGCATATACACATGCTAGGCCACAATGACATATCAGGATTGCTGATGACGAGTTCAAGCCTTTCTAAAGCTGATCATTCCCTCCCAGTACGTGTCAGGATTTGTACAGAAAGTATATAATACATCTTTTGATCGAAGACTGTGCGGCTCTGTGTAGAAAAACACAGGCACGATATACTGATTGAAATGCTTTTCGTCACTAGACACCGTCTCAAATGTTCAACGAGAACTTGAGCATGCTCCCCTATCGAAGGGTCTGGTGGCACGGTGAGCCCCTACTTATATTGAAGATTCTTGTTGAAGATGTCTCTGGATAGCATGCCTTTACCAGCATCGCGTTTCCATCATCTTCGACCCACCTCATCAAGGTTGTCCTTATTTTGTATTGCTACACAGCGGGCAAAGTACCATGTGTTCTCGAAAGTAGCGGAACATGGTGATTACATGGTGATTACATGGCTAACTTTTCTTTTTTGGGTAGGTTGGCCATGTAATCACCCTTTATCGGTTGATTCCATGCTGAACATATCCCGCGGTGTTATCACGGAAAGACGCGACGTCCTTTCCGAGTGACTTTGTGACTTCCCAACCGCTGCGCCTTCATCCACGTTCATCGTCTCTGCTAGGCATCTGTCACATGACGTGATCCACAAGCACCCGTACTGGAGCAATATCGATCTGGAGTCCAATAATATGTTTTTTATGTATACCTCTAAACATCTTTTCAATTCTCATCTCCAGGGTAGCATTAAACTGGAGAGTTCCATGCAATCGGAAGATCGCGCTCATAAGATACAGTACATCATAAGATACAGTACATCATAAGATACAGTACATGGTACGAACAGTACAAGAAGGAAGTTTCCTACGAAGTATTCCAATGAGTTCATTCAAATTGAGCTTGACGAAGCTGAACTCTCCCTGGCCTCCGCCATCGAAACCTCTGACGGCACAAACCGATGGTCTTTGATGATTCTCTCCACATCGGCTATCACTTCCCCGTTTTTGGAAAAGGGCCTTCACTCGGGTCGCAACGGATCGAATCTCGTCATGCACCTTATGCGGCGAATGCTCCGAATTGTAGGTGCACGCCTGCAACGCAAGATTGAACAGCTTGTTTGTCACGGGAGACGCAGGCCTGTCAATTTCTTTGCGAGTCTGCATTAGAAGGAAGAGGCTCTGCATGATAATCGTGAGGTCCACGATATAGCCCATCATGCCTCGCAAGATATTCGGTCAGTAGTAAATGCAGAGTAATCAACATGCCTTGAATGCCATTAGATGGACGCAATTCGAAACGTACGTCACTTCGAAAGCTTTGTATACCCACGCTGAATCTACAATGCTCACTGCATCGGGGATCGCGAAAGAAGCAGCAGGAGGAACGACTCCAGAGATAATGGCTGCGGCACCGGCGATCCCACTCAAAGACCTGTAAAAGCTTGAGCATGGGAACCATCGGAAAGTTCATCATGGATAAATATAGTATAATTTTTGGAAAATTCTACTTCGATCGTCCACGAGATGTATCTGGAGCTCGGACATCGCCTTAGCCTGCACCCGTAAGAATCTGTGCGTTCATTGATGAGCGAGGAAGATATATCGACTCGTGCTACTAGCTACACACCATCTCAGGATCATATAGCCCCCAGATCCTTTGCGTAAATTAGGCAGTGAGGATATGCAGGTTAGAGTATTTACTGTACGATGTCCCGATGAACCACTTTGAGCCACTTGTCCAGCGATCTTCCTAAAACCTGGAAGCTCGTCGAGAGTCCTCACCAGTACCCTTCTCAAAAGGTTATCATGAAGAAAGGACAACACAAGGGAATACTCACTTCGCTTTCCGACCCTATGGAGAGGGCATCCACTTGTCAGGAACGATGTGATTACGCGCATGTACAAAGCACTCACTCGATCGAAGCATCTATCTTCAAGTCCACGCTCTTCTGCTGAGTGGATGTCACCATGCAAATCTTCGTCGGGGACGGGAGGTATGAGACTTTCCACCAATGTGTCGTACTCATTGAACACCGCAAAGATGGGAACTATGCCGCACTGTTATTCGAATTCAGTCAGAATTACATGAACAAAGGCTAACTACCACGAGCTTTGAGCTGGATGATCATTTCGTCGGCGATTTCGAGAAGACTGCCGCCGTACGTAGGGACTGCGGTGCAAAGCCTGAAACCGCATCAACGGGCAGCATGGAGGGACGGAGCCCGACTCTCAAACCGGATTGCGTGTAGTTTGTCCTTGATATCCGTCATTCGGCTGCGCTTGTAGATAAAATTCAAAACAAGCTCCAAGGTCCCAGCATCACCATGGGAGGACCCCTGCGAGTCGTGCAGGATGAGACGTGGGTCTTGGGGAGAAGTTGTCTCATCTTCGATGTCGGATACGACAGCTGTGCGACCATGCTCCACGACCTCGAGTGTGTAATTCAGTATACGGCAACGAACGTAGCTGTCCTGTGAGCAGCTCTGAGTTTCTCACCGTATGCTCAGCCCCAAAGATCGCGTTGATTAGACGAGATTTCCCAAAACCGCTCTCTTGGGACAGGTCTGTAGGATCTCGTCGACAGTAGACTTGAGCTCCTGCTCGAATCTGGTTTGATTTTGAGACATGATAGAGTGGAGTCCAGTACTGGTGTTCTGAAGTCGTGAAGTGTAAAGTGGTTCCTGATTTTGCAATCAACAAGGCGGTGATGATTGAAGAGCGCTCGAGCTATAAATAAATGCGTGATGACAGGCAGAAACGGTTGCGACACACGTTGATACCGAACTGTCCTACGTCCCATCCGCAGGCGTTCCCCAACCCCAGCCTCCCTTGTTATTTTGTGTCACACCCCATCATGGACGTCTCGCCGAAGGAGATCAGAGAATTGTGCCCGCGTTCTCGGGTGTTAATCGTGGATAGACGGAACGCTGGGAAGACGACGGTTCTTGAGAAGATGACAGGGAGCGCGGCTAGGGTCAAGCCAGAGATCTGAGATGAGCAGGGAAGATTGATGGTATGTGCTCTCCTTCATCACGTGTCATGCGGCGGTCATCAGCTCGGTATCCCAGCACAATCCAGCGCTCCTCAAGCCAGGAATCGAGGTGCGTCTGATGGTCATGGGTTCACGACTGCCCTCACCGAACGTGGACATCTCACCGTCTACTTCCAATATAGCAGGGAATGAGCAGAAAAAGTTATGGCTCGTGGTATGTTCTGAGGCTCGTGCACTTTGTGCGTGCGAATGAGCCCTAGCGAAAGGGCTTCATAATGATCATCGACGATTGTGTTTAGAGGAAGGAGAGTATCGGACTAGTATCGGCGCATGCTAGCACGTAGTGTGTGTCGGGGTCGGCAGAGAGTTGTAGAAAGCCAATGAGCACCCAACGAACAGAGAGGGCCTCGTCGGCGCTCGCAGAAGAGGCCTTTTCTTTGACGACAGCTACGTGAGTCTGTTCTCACAGAGAATGGCCTGAAGATTCATTTGCAGTCACGAAGTGTCGATCGTTGGTCTACACGATGAACGTGGAGGCTGCTTGAGGCATAGAGAAAGCGGTGCCAGGACAGACGAGCGTGCATCGCACAGTGGAGGCATGGATCAGGGGACGGCCGGTGCAAGCGAAAGGGAGCGGCTTGCACGCTGATGATGACCGGTCCGGAAGGGTTAGAAGAGCACAAGCCGATGACACAAAGACGGCCAAAGTGAAGTGACGAGGGAGGACGACCCTTCCTGCTCGCGTCGTGGAGGCTGATGCGTTGATGACGACCCTGGGAAATGTTGTTCGAGGAACAAGGACTGCCCGATTCAGAGCAGCCCGAGAAGGTGTCGCCGCCTTTCACAGCGCTTCCCTCTCACTCGGAGTCATCGTCGACGTCAACGTCGATGGCTGATGTGTCATGGCACGTTGAAGAGGGCCCTCACTAGACATCTCGCATCACAAGCCCACATCGCCGAGCTCCTCGCATCTTCGAGCGTTGGAAACTGTTCTACGGACAACGATCAAATCCACCTTGCTGTGCGAATGCGTCGTCTCGACGACCACGCAGTAGAGACACATTCAGGAAGGAGAGTCCGAGAAGAGGTAATGCAACGACGCGTATTCCATGATCATTTCCTGCCTCCTCTCCTAATTGATACCTGTTACGCAACAAGGAGATGATCATCGGAAGGTGTCTGCCATCTAGGCAAGAGCCGATTGCATCTGCTGCCTCGTGCAACGAGAGTCGGGGCAGCCAAACATCGATGTCTTGAAATAAGATTCTGACCTGTATTCACGATAGACGTACCTACTCTATTTCCTCTGTCCCCGCACAAATTCAAGCGCATATATACCTCCATGGGCACGCAGAATCTGATCGCGCACGCTGACGCTTGAGATGCCGCTCATTTGCCACTTTCACGACCTCATAGCCCTGCCGTGTTGCGCGCCCGACTCTACACGCTCTGGCCTTCACACTTGCCCACCGCTCCTCGTCGTCGCATAGATATGACCTGAGGCGCCGCTTCTGCGCCCCGCATTGAGCTTGGCGAGAGATAGGCCGGCGGCTATGTGTTTTGCGATACAATACATCCTGAAGGAGGAAACGGAGACGCGGAACGCACTTGAGGCCTGAGGGACACTGAATGCCACGCGAATACGAAGGCTTTTGTGTCTCCTTAACTTGTACTTAGCCCGGACCCTGATCTGGAGGTATCCAAACGATTCGATGGCAAGGATGAGAGCTGTGTTTCAGATACGAACCGGTTCGAAGCCGAAGAGGGGCTCTTGCAGGATGGGGCGATCGGGGATTGAGAGAGTGTGTGCTGCGCAGACCGCGCGCACGCCGACTGGCATGTAAGAATGTAAACGTCCAGTATGACAAGTAGGAGCAGTCCACGCGTTCACGTTGGCGTCTCCCTCTGCTATTTCATGAGCCTTGCCTTGATATTAACAACCACTGTAGTCCAGCACTTCCTGCGCAACTGGCGTGGGCCCTCGCAGGGCCGAGTCTTTGCGGAATGATGGACAAGCTTAAAGTGCATATTCGCTGTCGGGCACGGCCAATCAAGTGACGGCGAGACTAGTTACGCGGTCGGAGTGTGTGATCCCGAGCTGTCGGACGCGAGTGCGTGGGATGAGAAGGGAAGCCTGGGTAACGAAGAACGACACGCCTGAGCAGGATGGAGAGTCGCACGGGAAAAGGGTGGATGGACCTGGTGACCGCTGATGGGGCCGCGCTTGGCGCTTGCGAGCGGGGGGACCTCGAGCTGGAGGGCGGGGAGCTGGAGGAGGACGGGGGACAGGTCGTGTTGGCCGTATTGCTCTGGGGTCGCGATGTGGTAGTAGACAGGACGATGTATTCCGGCGAGCACGGGAGAGAGAAATGGTGACGCAGGCTGGGGATGGAGAGCGATAAGCGCGCGGAGTGCTGTAAGTGGGCGAGGGGGAGCGATCCACTCGAGCGTGGCGAGGGGATCGACGATGGCGCAGGACCGGGTGTCGCGTCGTCTGAGCCGGCGTCGCGCTGGGAGGGCACACGGCGGACGCAGCGGGCGTCCGGGCACATCGGGAAGTGAGGGACCTGTTCTGGATCGTGGGGGATCTGCGCGGCGGTCCCATTCTTGACGCAGTCGTCAGTACACCCAAAACGGACGTCCACGTACCCCACACTGGGCCGCGGCCGTGTTCGGGCGCATCCAATATTACCATCGTTTTCAGCCCCGAGCCAGTACCACCGTGGGTACTGGTCCTGGTGTGGGCAAGGGCGACAGGAGGTGCCTGGGGCGCGAGCACGTCGGCGATCAGCGTGTCGGAGAGGAACGAAGGGGAAAAGCACAGGGAAGCAACGTCGCGTCACACTCCTCCACACTCCAACTTTGACGAGCGAGGTGGTGGCCGCGACGATGGCTTGCGAAGGTGAGTGCGGGGTACCCAGGCGGACATCGAGATCTGCGCCTTGGGATACGATTGCTCTCGGGCCATATCAGGCGTTTGGACTTACTGGGGCCGAGGTATAGCTGAGGAGCAGAGTGCTTCGTTGTGTTTCGTGCTTGCATTTGTTCCAGGTTTCAATCGCTCATCTTGCGCTTCCCTGATGCCAGCTCTCCCAGAGCGGAGACTGCCAACCCTGACATATCACCTGGCCCGCCAAACTCCTTCCGTCGCGCGCGTCGACCCCAGTGCACTCCTCCGTCCGCCTGCCCACCTCGGCCCCGCTCTCCTCAGATCTGCCTCTCCGCATCCTAGATCAGTCTTGCGACCGGTGGCCCTCGCATGGCTGTGCTGTCACTTAAATTTGGGAGCTTCACCTCCGCGTGCACCTTGCGGTTCCAGCGTGGCACTTCCGCGATCGGCTCGGAGAGACGTAGATCGAGCAGGAGGTGAAAATCATGTAAGAGTGGATTCGGTGGAGGCTCATGGAGGAGGGCAGGTTTTGTGAAGCGATCGTGGAAGAGATGGCAGAACGGGTGCATGTCCTTCTCTTCTATCCCCATTTTCTAGGCCTCCTTCCTCTGATTCGTCCATTGTTTCTCGATATCTTGACACTTTGCCGCCGCGCATCCATGGATGGCTGGCAGGCTTCTCATCATATCGGGACGCTTTCCTCGAGCTGTACGACGCACTCGTGCCTCGGCTACTCTGCAGACGTAGATCATACGACCTGTACCGCCCATGCGAAGCTCTCGTCATCGAAACTTTCAATGGACTGTCGTGTTCCTGAAGGTCAACACACGTCCATCGGCCAACGTACGTCCATCTTCTCTCCTTGCTTCCTCTCTACCTTGCACAGTCCATACTGCGTACCGATTGAATTCCACTACCCGCACAGCCATGTCCCATCGTCGCACGTACTGATTGTCCCCTTCTCGATGCCCAAGTGATTCCGCCATTACACGGCAGCAGAGATCAACCTCTTGCGGTTCGGGTGGTGCCTTGCGTGCGCAACGACGCTCGTCGAGAGATACCCCGTTGGCTCGACGTGCGCACTCGCCCAGGACGTCGCGGCTCAGTAAGAAGGTGCGCCGTTCGGTCCTCTTTTTCTTTTCTTCTTTTGTTTACCCCTCCCCTGCTCAAGAAAGGATCACTCACCGCCTGGAGATCTCGTTGTAACAGTGCTACCGAACAGGCGTGTTTCCCTCGTCCTCTCGCTGCTACCTTGTTTTGTCCGGCTGTACGCCCGGCTTTGAGGCCGATGGATGTTTGTTTGTTGCGTTTTGTTCGTGATTCTTCTTTCTTTATTTTCTCCATAACAATTCACAACTCTACCGAATTTGGTATATTTGCTTTATCTTTTCACTCCTCGTAATCATGGAATGGAGTTGATATACTTTCATCTTCCTTAGCAGCCGCGTGTACGCCCATGATAGGATCGTGGGAGAAGGAGCGCGAATGCCAATACCAGCCGATTGGCGTCCAGAATTAGGTGCCGCTCGTCAGTCCCGAGCACCGCGACACTTGATTCATGACGGTTCGTGTGCCCGCGCACCTTTATACCCTCGTTCAGATTTTTTTTCTTGATCTGATCAATGGTCTCACAGTTTCCCGCTGCCTCCACCAGACTTACTATGAGCATCGGGGTCTGTCCACGGCGTGCGACCCATAGCAGCTTCGCACGAGATGTTTTTTTCTCATTCGTGATCATTCGCTCAGCGCTGCTCATCAGCCGCATCGCCTTTTCAACGATTAAACACTCTGGGGACAGCAGAACCGGGGCCACATCCAGATGATAGCGCGGGGGGGAGGGGGCAAGGAGGAGCGCTGAGAGATCGGGGCTGCAGCATTCACGTGACTATGCACGCGAGCGTCGAGCGTGCGTCTACGAGATTGGTCGGGTTCATTGTGAGCGCATGCCGATCGGCGACGAGTACTGCCATATTCTGTCTTGATTTTACTCTTCCTCGTCTTTTTCCTCTTCCCTTTCTCCCTGCAGTACAGGGGATCTATGAGTTCGCTTTCCGTAGTATGTTTTTGACTCGACCTCTAGGATGCCGATCTCTCACGGACTTACTTTGCACACAGCGCCCTGCTCAGCAGTGGATTGACTTGCTGTACCCATCTCGGCCCGGTATTTTGATAGGTCGACTTGTTCCTCAGGTGAAGCAGGTGTTCTTTCGTGTGTTTGATCCTCTTAGCTTATATCTCCTCAAAACCCCATCCGTTCTTTTGTAGAATATAAATATAAGCGGTCGGATTGGTGAGACATGGTCATTTCCCACAGCGTTCCATGGCTTTCGAGTTCTGCCGTCTCGAGCAGTTCTACGCGAGCTGGCTCGTATTCGTCCGCTTTGCTCAAGAGGTGGAAGTCGAGGGAGGCTGTCATCTTCCACCGTGATGTATTCGGGTCTATCGAAGCCAGGATCTCAGAGGCCACGCTTTATGTGGACCTTTTGCATCATGCTGGCATATGCTCAACCTCGAGGAAGCAATGTGCAGCGCGGCCTAGTTAAGATGAAGTGGGTGGCGATTGAAGTTGCAACGCATCCGCCAGTGGGAATAGAACGGACGATTGTCGTGAGATTGGGACGCCATTTCATATAATCCGATACCAACGCAGTGGTACCACGAGGCGATCGCACATACAGATTCATGAACAGTGAGTGACGATCTCGGTGCTTCCAAGCAGTCCGCTGACCTTGCTATTTTTTCTCGCTGAATTAGGAAACTAATATCGAGATGAAACGCCCCTCCGATGGATTGCACTCGCGCACCCTCCACAAGCGGCCCATCTTCGCGCTCTGCGATGTCTGCCTTATCCTTCAATCGCTCATGCTTCTTCGCGCCCTCGTTACCGGTTCTGATAACAGAGATAAACCATACAAGGATGATGGCTTGCCTAGCGATGTGGGAGGCTCGCGGGCGTCATTAGTATGCTGCATATCAGCTAGTTGCTGCAGATGATGTTTCTTGGACCGTCTTTGCTCCGATTCATTCGCGGTCCGTCAACGTGTCAGCCTCGAGCACTGTGGCACCCGATGTCGACACGAAAGCGCTCGTGCTCTCGTAACTCCGTCATTTTATTCAGGTGTTTTTTGTCCTCTCACCATCTCAAATTCACGCTCATGCTTCAGGCGCATGTGCATAGATGCACCGTGTCTTTCGCGCCTTACGATCTTCGACGACCTCGCGCAAGAGTCCATCACGCTCTGCTGCAATTCCCTCCGTGCCGTTTCCTGGATGATCGTAAACACACGCACTTTTCGTTTCCTACGATCGTTACCCGTGCTTGGTCGTGGTGCGTGTTGGATGACCACTAGTACTTACACTTGTTTGGCTGCACGGACAATGACTTGCGACACATGCTCACCACGGTCTGCTCACGCACATTCCGCTCCAATTCCGAGATCATCAAGCTCAGATAGTGGGTGGCACACAATTCTTGCTCGAATTGGCATAGTCACACCTGGAGAGAAAGGGCCGGCGCGGTGATTTGGCCAATGGGAGTGGATGTGATCTGCTCGGAATTGTATTCCGCTATCCCATGACTCATTTGCCATTCAGACGCGCAGGAATATCAGATCAACTATGTGCATGGTGATCCTAGTCGACTCCCTATTTTTGGTCCACTTTGCGCGATATCGACAAGATCATGCGCGCATGTGAAGGTGTTGTAGACAACCTGCCTCTACCCTTTTGTGACGCCTTTTTTTTTGCACGGGGATGACTGTCTCAATATTAGGCCTAGCGTCTCTGGAATGGAATCAATCATGGCCATCGATCCCGCTGTACAGACGAGCTTCAAGTATGCTCGGCCGTGGGCAGGATGCATGCAGGTGTGTTGAGAGGGAGCGTTGGTGTACATGATAGCTGAGAAGCTGGCCAAGTGGCATCGAAAACATGCGGTGCTTATTCGCCAATTTTCCCTTTTTAGGTTAGGAGGTTCCATGTTGCTGTCGTATGGGCGGTTATCACTCATGCGTAAATACTAAATAGACCTTTGGTCAGAACTTGGGTTCCGATCAAACATGAGGTACACGTTGAATATCTCTCCAAAACGATATATAGTGTCGCTATCGGTTGCTTGTCTTCACAACGCTCCACAATTCGGTCGTCCATCATACAAATCTTGACCGATATTCCTCAGTCTACCACAGCATTATGGAGAATTCAATCTTGATCTCTCAACGAAGGTGAGTGCTCGGTCATTATTCTTCCAGCCGTTAGTCAGTTCCCCTGAGACTCATGTTTAGGAGCATTGAATATGAGCTTGTTTCACCACGCACAGATATGCATGAGACGCAAATCTCTATGGAGCAGAAGCGGAGCATATGCAAATGTAATGCGATGGGAAGAAACCTTGTTGTCTGCATTGATGGCACGTCGAATCAGTTCGGTCAAAAGGTCCCAATATTCCTCAATTGTTTTGCGTAGAACAGGGTTCAGATACCATTTTATTTTTTCTAGAACACCAACGTCATCGAGCTGTATAGAAATCTGGTCAAAGACAATATGCAGGCCACGTTCTACAACAGTGGGATCGGGACATACGCCAAACCTTCCTGGAAATCCTGGAGCTACTGGAAGCAAGTAATAGATCACAAGGTTGACCTCGCCATTGCTTGGTGAATGAAATTTCTTATCGTTCTCCCTCGTTGCCATAGGTTCTGCCACTGACCTTTTATCGCACGCTAGGAATTTTGAAAACATTGTCATCGATGCATATCGATGGCTTTCGAATAAATATGTCGACGGAGATCGTATTTTCTTGTTCGGTAGCAATCTTTATCGCAACACGCGCGGACATCTTGCTCATTATGTTTAGGTTTCTCACGAGGGGCCTACCAAGTCCGTGCTCTGTCTGCAATGATTGACAAGGCAAGGACTTTTAAGGTGCCATCCTATCTTTCCAAATCATCTGACTGACGCTGCCGTCTAGGTGGGACTAATCCACGAAGGCAACGAGGGCCAAATCCGATTGTATGTGATGCAGTCGAGTAGATTATGTAGTCCCAGGCTTGACCTTTACCACAGCGCGTACGAGCTCTATGCCGATCTGGGATCAAAAAAGGAACAGCAAGCATCGTCAGATATCATAGATGCTATATCTATTCAAACAACCATTGATCAGGGCGCACGACCGCCGGACATGGCTGAAATGTTCAAGAAAACATTTTCCAGAGATGTTTGGGTTCATTTTGTGGGCGCTTGGTAGGTATCATACCATGATCCATCTTTGACTACCATCTGAACGCAACTTCCAAGGGATACTGTGTCGTCTGTGGGGGTTATACGAGAGAGAAATCTTCCTGGCACAACTGATGGAATGCAACACGTCTGCTTCTTCCGCCACGCTCTTGCGCTGGACGAGCGTCGCGTCAAATTTCTTCCGGAGTATGCGTGGGGTGGGGTGGCGAGGCAATCGACTCGACTCGTCGAAGGGAAGCATACCGAACAACGCTCGGATCTTCTTGCACATACAAAAGAAGTATGGTTTGCTGGAACACATTCTGATATGTCAGTCGAGTGCTCCGCTATCATTGCACGTCATCTAATAATCTTCGATATCAACAGAGGCGGTGGCAACGTCTCAAATCCCAACATGGACCGTGGCAAGCCTCCTTTGCGATGGATGTATCGAGAAGCGCAGTCTGCTGGACTCCGCTTGAAGGATACTGACCTAAAATTGGAGTGGGCTACATTGGGCGTCATCAACGAGTCGCTTACGTGGGTCTGGCAGCTTTTTGAATGCTTCCCTATCAAACAGCTATCCTACAAAGATGCAGAAAGCACCATGACCTCGTGCGTGATATTCCACTCCTACGCAATTCACAGAGCTTCGTCTTTAAACATGGTCTCTTAGCTTCCATCTAGGGAAAGGACGCCGAATTCAACCTGGTCAGAAAATCCATCCATCGGTGATCTTTTCTGATGGCTACAGCCCGAAAGCGATTCTTCAAACAACCAACGGCCCACTTCACAATTGGATCCGTCTCTTCCAGTCAGATAGAACAGCCTCTAGTGATTTCGACAACCTCTGGTCATGGGTGGAATCAGATCTATCCGATATTGCACGGTCGATTATTCGAGATATCGATGGTTTAACGACAGACCCACTTCCAGCGAAACGCTTAAAACAAATTATATCCACTGGTAAGTTTTTGCTGCGAAGAATCGTGGTGTTGATCAAGATATTGAGTATTCATCCATTAGACGAGGGTGTCGCAGCCATCCGTCAATGTCCAAATGCCGTTGAATCCTTATCATTAGCGTGGCGTAATCTTGGATATGATCAATCCATTGAATTGGTCCAACCATTTCGATCCGTGATTCTGGCAGCTCTGCAGAAGATGGATCCGACCACTGATTTCAGTGAATCACTGCGCTTGCAGACAGCTTTGGGGATCACTACTCTTGTGATATCTTCGAATGGGATACTCGCTTCGGGTTTTCTGGACGGAACCATCCGAATCTGGGATGCGATCACTGGCCGTATGAAGCAGGAAATCAAACCGGGACATGCTGCCTCTGTCACCTCGATCGATTTTTCTCTCGATGGGAAGAAAATTGTTTCTGGGTCCGGAGATCGGACGGTCAAAGTTTGGGACATCACGACTGGCGAAACTTCCGAAAACTTAGTAATAAAGCACAAAACCCGGGTTACCTGCGTCGCGTTTACTAGGAACGACCCTTCATCTGTGGTTTCAGCTTCTTTAGATCAGACTGTGCGATCCCGGAATATAGCATCTGGGGGCACTAGAGAAGTGCCGTTGGAGGAGTTCACAGCTATCGATTCCTTTGCATTTTCGCACGACGGAATTCTCGCCGCTTCAGGTTCTTCAGGTCGGACGATCCGAGTCTGGAATGTACAGACAGGGAAGGCTATGAGTCAACCATTCGAAGGTCACACTGGCTCCGTCAACTGCATTGCATTCTCTCCTGATGGGAAGCGCCTTGGGTCAGGTGCTGGGGATGGAACTGTACGTGTCTGGGATATAGCAACAGGGTATTCTAGCAGGCCATTCGAAGGACATTCCAACTCAGTCACCTCGATATCGTTCTCGACTGATGGCAGGCATGTCATTTCCGGTTCCATGGACCGGACTATCCGAGTCTGGGAGATAGATATCCGATCTGGTAAAGCCATTGGCACTCTCTTCGCAGGGCATAACAGCTCAGTGACCTCTGTCGCATTCTCACCGGATGGAAAGCACTTCATATCTGGGAGTTTGGATGGCAGTATTAGAATTTGGTATGCTCACCCCTTTCGAGGACACGAAGGGCCTATTCACTGCGTTGCGTATTCGCCGGATGGGACGCGCGTAGCCTCTGGTTCATATGATAGAACAATCCGAGTCTGGAATTCAGTCACTGGCGAAGCCATCGGGGAGCCATTCGTAGGACACGAAGGAATTGTTGGGACCATCGCATTTTCTCCAGACAAGAGACACATTGCTTCGGGCGGACAAGATAGGAAAGTTCTAATCTGGGATGTGGAAACCGGGAAACTCGTCAGGGAGTTATTCCGAGGGCAAGAATATCCTATCCGCTCGGTCGCCTTTTCTCCAGACGGGAAGCACGTTGTTGCAGGTTCATATGACAGAACCATCCGAGTCTGGGATGCGTCAACTGGCGACTCTATTGGAAACCCGTTCCAAGGACATGAATTACCAGTCTACGCTGTTGCATATCTCCCAGATGGAAAGAGAATCGTTTCTAGCTCTGGAGACGGAACGATTCGAGTTTGGGATGCGAAGACAGGCAAAGCCAAAGGGAACCCGTTTCGAGGACACAAGCAAATCGTCACATCCGTTGCGGTCTCGCCAGATGGAAAGCATGTCATCTCGGGTTCGGTCGATAACACAATCCGAGTTTGGGATGCGATGACAGGTGAAGTCAAGAAGGTATTGGAAGGGCACAAGGGGCCTGTCGCATCCGTCGCGCATTCTCCAGATGGGAAATTCATGGTTTCGGGTTCATGGGATTTGACGATTCGAATTTGGGATATGAAGACTGGAGAAGTGATTGGAAAGCCATTGAAAGGCCACGGTGGGCGAATTGCATCCGTTGCAGTTTCGCCCGATGGACTCCATGTCGTGGCGGGGTCTGAGAATGGAGCTCTTAGTACGTGGGATCTTGCAGGATTAACTGACTCGTCTTCGAGTGGATGGCAGCCTCATTCCTTTCCATCTTTACGGCCAATTACCACTGGGTTAACAAACAACTCGCCCAGACATATTTCCGAGAACGTTGAGGTATAGTGTATGTATGCAGCTGATGCTTGGTTAATCCACCTCAGACTCATTGTGATGATGTAAATAATGGCTTGGACATTTTGCAAATGCCGCACCGTGTATTGAATCGAGGGGCACAAGGATAAGATGTTGAGCCTGCTACATTATTCATATAACCGAGCTAGAATATGAGACCATGATAACAAAGGACCGCGCTGGAGTTGGCAGATTTATATTGTAGCGCGCAGGTACGTGGTACGAAGGGTGATCTCTCATCATCGAACTAGTCCCTGATGCTGACCAAGCAGCAACCTTTGAATTCGGGGGCCATTATGAGGGACCACATCAGGAATCTGACTGCCGAGACCTAGCTTTTGCTAGGTCCACTGGAGCTAGAAATGTCTAGAGATAGCTAGTGATGACTCAATATCTTGGTGTCAGTCTGTGTAGATAATCCAAGCTCAATCCTTTCCAAAATGGGATAGTGACTCTAGTCAAGTCTTGCAAGACAAGGCAGATGTCTCTCAAGACATCACTATCTATGACCAGAGACAGTTCTAGGATTATTAGCTATCTTGTAAGACAATAGTGAGCACAATGAAAAGCATGGAATATCTTGCTTATCACTACTCTTTACTCAATTTAATGCTGTTACGAACTGCTCATTTGGTAACCCCAAGAGTAGGAGGTTCTTCCCTAGGTCGCTCGTGGAGGAAGAGTGGAACAATGGTCTCGACTGTACGCATAGCACAGGAGCCAGATGTGTATTGTAGTATAGGCAATAGGGGTGAGGAAAATAGTGTGAAGACTACCCTAAAATAAAGCTCTGTATGTGAGAATACAGAGAGAACAAAGACTTTGGTTTGAAGACCACAGTAAAACAAAGTGTGTGCAATAGGAAGACTGCACAGTATGAAGACTGTGGTTTGAAGACCACAGTAAAACAAAGAGAATAGACTAAAGAATGTTAGCCTATTCTATGGGCCTTTTATACTACTTTAGGAAAGGGTGTGAGAATTCTGTATATGTATCTTATGAGTATTCTCTAAGTTATCTCTCTTAGAATAACTACTCTTGCTTCTCTGCTTGTCTCCTTCCAACCAAGAGGACAAGGAGCTCCATGCCTGTGTGTGAGTAGTTTGTAAGGCAGGAAAGGATGCCCGCTGCAACAGGCTCATAATACTCAACTAGTAATGGGTGATCCACTGGGAGTGGATGACCAAAGATAATATCTGTACTGTTAAGCCACTAGGCTTATCACGTGCACTTGTTGCACTAAGAAGGGTTCCCTGGGCTAATCGTGATAGTGATAGCCCAATGTATAAAGACGACCAATCACCTTCAGGCTTGTCCTCAAATAGATGGAGGAGGTGCTGGTTAACCAAATGTCATTGTTCATCTGGTATGAACAAGTCTTTTCTGATGCAACAGATGACTTCAGAGGGGTCCTAACAAATGACTCAATAGGCAGCAAGTCCTTGATATATTGTGGGTGGTAGAGGATAATAAGAGCTTTGAGACGAGTCCAGTGCTTTGTCAGACTAAGTATGGTTCTATGGATCTGGCAGAGTTCACAAAGCATGGGCTGAAGGGGCCAGACACCGGGTGCAGTGTAGAGATCAAGATGTATACAAAGTGAACAAGCTGATCTTCTAAGAAGCTCAGCTTCCCTATATATAGTACAGGCTATTTAGAGTAGGATGGTGATGAGCATGCACCTGTGCTAGGGTCCAAGGGAGGTATTCAGGAAGCCCTGGAGAGATACCAAACAGCGCTAGACAAGTACCGAAGATGCCAACTTTTACCGAATATGGTTGGTCCCTACCCAACCGACGACAAGCCACCAAAGGACATTTGGTAGCACTTGGGTCAGTTCACCCACACTTTACATACTTACCATGACCACATAGGAGTGTTATGATAAGTGTTGATGAGATCAGAGCCAGTAGTCCATATTGGTTGATGTCCTCCATGAGTTGGTTGGTTCTTATTGCTTATCTTCCCAACTTCCACATGGTCGGTCAAATGCTGATGAGCATGCACCCATGCTAGGGTCCGAGGGAGGTATTCAGGAAGCTTTGGGAGATACTAAACAGCGCTCGACAAGTACCAAAGACGCCGACTTTTACTGAACATGGTCAGTTCTGGCCCAACCAATGACAAGCCACCGAAGAATGTTTGGCAGCACTTGGGTTAGTTTGCCCACACTTTATGTACTTACCATAACCACACAGGAGTGTTACGATAGGTGTTTACGAGATCGGAGCCAGTATTCTGTATCAGCCGATGTCCTCCATGAGTCGGTTGGTCCTTATCGCTTATCTTTCCGGCTCCCACATGGTCAGTCAAAACGCGATCTTGCACCATTACTTGGCCACCCTGGTCGTACGATACCTCTTCTTTATTTTCATTGGTTTGCCAATGCCTGTTCCATCAACCTACACTTAGGCAACAGATCCCAAATGTTCGGGATTCCGCCATTGCTGATTAACTTTTACCTTATCACCTTCGGAACCCATATGGACATCTCACCTACCTTCTTATCTTCTCTGATCACTAAGGCTTGGCACTTATTTGATATTTACTCTCATTTTCTTGTTTAATATTTTACTTAGGGGCTCTGTTTACTATAAAAACCTACATACAACTCTGGAATAAACCAGCTTTTGCACCCTACAGTTCAGAGCTCATTTGCACTCGTCTCAACCATCGAAATCATCTTCATCAACACCCGAAAACTTGTCATCTTTGTCGTTCGGCCTTGTTCGCATTTGTACTCATCTTTCCACCCATACCCCTCGTCCTCCCTCGTATATTGTCAGAGTCCCATGTGGCTCTTTAAGCACATAGTTGTCAGCCGCGACACTACCTCCTTGTTACCAACCAAATTGCCAACACGACTGACCAAATTGCCAACATGACCAACCAAATGTTTGGTCGGTGTTTGGTGCAGTCCCGAAACCATTCGGGCGCTATAATCTCACACTCCTCGCTGCTTCTCAAGTGCACCATCTATTTCTAAAGTCCTCACTAATGATTCCTTGTGTATCAGATACTAGCTCCAGCACCCCGCATTAAAGATTGTTTTGGTGTTGTGCTTGGCACTTAGAGCCACCTCTAGCGTATCAATGGACATATGGTCTGTGCTTCTAAACACTAAGTAATTCGCAGCCATTGTTTGTACTCTGTGGCTCTTTGATGTAACCATATATAGTAAGTATATCAAATGTCTGTCTGCAGCAATATCAAATGGAACTCAATCACGATCGACATCTGTAACCATAACAAGAAGGGGATCATAGTATCATTAGCATTTATATGTCAGCATGCAAATGGTAGTCAGCCCAAGTCCAAGTCATGTGCATAGCTCATGACCATGTCCTAAGTCACATGCCTTCCCTTCTGTCCACGTGCCCAGCACTTGTTAGGATGCAGTCCTAGCATGTACCTTCATATATGCCTCAGGTCATGAGGCCACCTGGTAATTGTGATGGTCCTATCAGTATAAACTGCTATAAAGGCCCAATAAGTCATGATCATAACAGATGCCTTCAAAAGAAAAGGGTGAAACTATGATAATACATCTGTATTAGCTCTGGATTATATCTAATAATGTCTCAAAGTATCTAAAAGTGTTAATAGCATCTAAAAGTATCTAATTTCCTAATTAGGAGCAACACATTGTGAGCATTGGATTGAATTTCCAAATTGGGAACCACTTCTTTCTGTGGCTAAAAAGATAGTTTCTAATTTCATAATATTAGTACTAATTCTATACCAGAAAGTCTTTAATTAGTAGTAAGAAATAGTAAGTACTATTACTCTATCAGTGAGAAGGTAAAGATGTGACATATTCTATGCTGTTTTAGCATATTACTCTCCTTCATGTATGCCTGTACCATTATCTTGTAGCTCTTTTATTGGATTTCCAGTTACTTTTACAAGGGATGTAGAAAGAGAGGAATGTGTATTGATGCTCCAAGATCAAGCGCCAGTATCACCACGGCCTCGAAGGCTTCCTGTAGATTGTACCATTTGCACGCCTGCGGTACAAACACAGCGACTTGATTGAGCGTCCACCAATTCGCAATCTGTGGACCATGGGAGACTACTCATCCTCCAGAGCATCCAAGCGTGATTTCTTGGCAATGCTCCAGAGAGCACCGCTGGAGGCACCCTAGGTGATTCGTCTGTATAAGTGGGAGTGGCTCGTATCTCATCCATTGTACAACACATCTTGAATGGCTGGCGTGTGCAATCAATCACCAGCTACACCGAGGGAGAAAAGAGGTGTCTTCTGTAAGGAGCAGGCGGAGGCAGATCCGAAAACGACGGTACTTGTGCTGAGGGATATTTATGCAGACTTTTGGGCTACAATCAAAGGGATGCAGATGTCGTCTTTAGGGGGGGGGGGGTGTCTGACAGCTTTTGATCGATTTCCATCTTGCTGTCCTGGATGTGACGATTGATTTATGGCCTTTGACTTATACTCTGTTTCAACTAGGTCTGCTCAGTCTCAAATTGAAGTACCCTCTTTATTTCCTCAGTTCGACACGCTCGAGAAATTGTCCATAGCCCTTCCAGTACAATTACACATGAATGTTCCACATCATAATCTCACCCACACTGTTTGATGCGCCGTGCAGGTATGCGGGATCGCTCAGGATGGACCGGGTGCAATTCGAATGTCATGAAAACTCGACTTGGAGGATCTTCTGCCTGTACCTCAGTACTACGTGCATATCGGCAACCTCTATTGCATTGATCAGCAGGAGGCAAACAGAAGTTAGAAAAGAGAAGTGAGCCGGCCGGCACCCATCACGACAAGGACCTGGCTACACTGCCACAACCATGCTTGCACGCAAATGAATAGGATTTGCCTTCATCGTCTCCTACCTGCCAGCGTCTGCTGTGGTCATATACATGAAGATGATCCGGGGCAGACGCCAGCTATCATGGGCAGTGCCACCACTTGGTGAACAGCAGATATGATATGTTGTCGAAGCGTTGGGCATATGCGTAGATAT